CAGTATCTACATTTTGCAGCATATACCCAAATTGAATATCAAGCCAATATCCAAGATTTTGATTGGTGATTTCTTCGGTATATTTTGCATCAACTCCATCACATTGGTGAACATGTGTCTTGCACTGTATTGTATTGTATTTTGGGTGGAAAGGATGTTTGTTGATATATCTATTAAACTGTCGCTTTAACTTGCTTGCTTGGTTCCAATGCTCTATTTGTAGTTGAATCAGTTGCTTGTACGCCTTTGTTGCTTCAACTCGACTCCTGAATCCTTGGATACGTTTTGTAAACCGCAGTTTGACTTTGACGAGTTTAACATCAATATTCACCGTTGATCCAATCATTTTCATGATATTGTTATTGGGGTTTTCCTAATGGCAACAATAAATCAACGACAAAATTCAATCCGAGCATCTCGTAATGGACTCTGTATGAGCCAATTGAACCACTATTTTCGTCCAAGTCAGAATTACTTTGTAACAAGTTTCCAACAGGTTTCCAACATTTTCAACGGGTTTAAATAATAATAGAAAGTAAATCCAATCCAATTGTTTGTTGATACCATTCCAAAATGGATTTTCTTGGGTTTATTCAAAACCACCACAATGACATTACACATCACAAGCACATCCTTAAAATCCAAGTATCTACAAACTTTGATCGTGAACTCGGTCTTGATCAAACCTAAAAACGGTCAAAAGTATCATGTTGAACGAAATCTAATCAACCATCTTGTGAAAGTAGCAACCCACTATTTGTGCAATGATATTGAACCTATTACTCATGAAATCATACCTCGATATATGCTCAAGTTGGACAACCCAATCAAGGTGGATCCCAACAAACTCTTGAAATCAAACATTCAATTCCTTGATGAAAAGTATCATTCAAAATCAATACAAGCCACTTTATCATTGAATCAATGAGTTGCTGAACAAGAGTTACTACAAGACATTGTATTGTATGTATATTTTACATTCTGGCTTAGTACTTTGATCAAAAGTCATCATCACACTGTAACGGACGCTCAGATCAATGTAGACCGAATGACTCATCATGTATTTAGCGATTCAGATGTTCTTGGTAAAGTGATGGGAAAACAGCACACATTACAGCATAAATTGTATCAAATGGTAATGAGTGCCGATGTAGACGCCAAATATGTTAAATATATCATACTATGAATCCGTAATCTTGATGAAACCCAGCACCATTTCTTGAGTCAAGCAAATGCTGGAAAAACACATCCAGTTCATCGTTTGCCATGTTGACACTTGACTTGTTGTATCTGATATTCCAAATCTACCGCATACAGTGGTATTGTTGGTGAATCGTCAATTACATTCAAAGTATGTTTGATGGTTATTGTGGTATTATTTTCAAACGATTTGCTGATTTGAGGTAGCCAGTAAGTTATCATGATTGTATTGCTGGGATTTTGGTAAATATTAATTATTTTCAATAACCATTGACTATTTCCTATTTTGAATACTGGTATCTGGCCATGGGATATGATGACAAATGACTTTAATGTGTCCAATTTCAATTCTGATTGTGATTGGGATTCCTGTTTTCATGCAATTGGTCAACGATTTTGAATATTCATTTCCGTCGACCCAAAATACATTACATTCAGTTTTGAAACAAGTCTTCAAACAAGGTTTTGATGCAAGTTCTGTACAATAGTCACATCCTGTTGTTCTGGATTTGCAATTCTTGTCATGATTGTGTTTTGTCTACAGAAATACTGATGTTTAGCATTAACCATGTTCCAGATTCAACGTATTTTGTTTCTGCATCAGATTCTCTAGGTTTTTATGGTTCATTCTCTGGTCATCCAAGGTGTTCTATGGCCATTGACGTGAATTCTGCATTGAAAACCTCGATTAAACAAATATTCTGTGGTACCAATCATGAGCAAACGGATTTGGCAAACAAGGTCATTGAACAGCGCTACAACAAACGCATTGCAAACTATGATGAACTTGAATCATTGGTATCAGAATGGGGTGGAAAGTTGGACGAGTCGGCTCATGCAAGAATCAAGTTTTAAAAACCTGGCTAGTATTTACATTTTACTATTTATCAGTCATAAATGTAGAAGGTGTAAAACATGAGTTCAAGTATTGATTTTATCGAATTCATCAAGTTATTGATTGCAATAAATGAACGCTGACTAGATGTTGGCATGTACTACACAAAAATCAACCAAATCATTGCAACTTTCAAGTACTATTTATTCAGTTTCAGTTTTAATGACATTGATTCATTTTTACAATCTTGGACAAAATATAGCAGTGATTATGGGTGAATCTCATCAATTGTGTTTGTTCGAGTCAGAGCATGAATCTGGCACGGTAAGCAACCAATCATTTCAGGTCATCCACTATTGTACGCCAAGTCTTTTATCCAGGATTGCACATCTCGAATAAACAGTGTGTGACAACTATGGACACATTTAGCAGTAATTGACGGTCAAGAAACTGGTATCAATGTTCCATGTATACTACCAAAGCGTGTAGTTTAATTGTGGTTGTTTGATTTGTACATATTTGTATGACTGAATGATATGGCTGCAGTTATTTAATCATTTCAGTACAGGAATGAGACCTTGAATGTATATTGTAATCCAAACTTTATATTACAAATATTGTTTAAATTGACTCTTGGGATTGTCAGTCCAATAACATGCCATTAAACGATCATTCGTTGAGTTGAGTGGTGATATTGGCTGTATTGGTTGGATAAACACTGTCGATTGTTGAATCAACACAACCATCATCATATGACACACAATCATACTATAATGTTGAATCTATACTTTGTGCACTCTTAGTAATCATGCATTGTACGATCACCAAGTTTGAACTCACATTCATGTATTGTGTTTGACTGTCAATATTGTCAATACAACTCTGTACACACATTTATTGTGTTTATCACCATCCAACTCAATCTCACCATTTCAATCAATCTTGGTCAATGTTGATGATTTACACGCTAATTCATTATCCAATCTTGTCTGACATTATTATTGGCTTTAATCACGTTTGGTTTGTACAACTGCCATGAGTTGTACTACCATTATCATTGTGTATTTGAACACCAAGTATTCCAATACATCAATAATACTACAGTGTAAACAGTAATACAGTCGATCAGTATTGTGACAAGACTTTTCATTCAAGTTTGTATTTGGAAATACTCGATGATTTAATCACCACACACTGTTTATTATGCATTTTAGTCTAGTGTTCCATTTTACGTGAATACAACTTAAATGACAATTTATCTGGTACTTTTCATATAGGAATTTCATTCAAATAAAACAACATTCGATACTCTTCCTACACTACTATAGTTTTAGTCGGCTTTTTTATCAATCTCGGCCATGGCTGCGGATTTTGCCAAAAGTTGCTGTGCCCATTTTACCACTGGAGCATCAATCATTTTTCCATCAATGTTGAATGCACCAATGCCAGCCCGTTTGTTTTGTTCAAATCCTTCTACGATGCGAGTTGCCTTTTCAATATCTACACCATTGCAAAGAATTAGACAAGGCTATTGCTGTATATGAGCATGACAAAAAGACACGGTTGATTCTGAAAAAACCAAGAGTTACCTGAAGCGGAAGGAGAGAAAAACTTGTGAATGGTTTGGATCTGTTTGGGATGAATTGCCTGTTTTCCCGTAAATCCGAATTGACGACCTTCAATGCATTCGTCAATCTGCAATTACAAATCATCAAGATGTATATGTTCAGTAATCAACCTCGACAAGCGAGATATATTCCAGAAAGTCCAAATTATTACTTACAAGTACATTTTCATTTTGAAAATCAACACAGACAAGATCAATAGACTGGATACCATATGCACAAGCAGTTGTAACGACTGTTTGTCTTGCATGAAGCATTTCCAATCGAGAAGGAGTACGTATCAAACTCAGATCAGCAATGTAATCCTCTGCCGCGACTTTATTTGAGTGGTAAATAATATTTACCAACACATCAAGATGTTACTTGATCTGTCAAGTTGGTTTACATTTTAAATGTCAAAACAATAGGATTGAATGTGAATACTACTTACAAACCAATGCGTCGATACGAGGATCTGAAGATGCGATCCTGTAATTGATGTTAAAACTGTGCAAGCACATAGCACTTCAACAGTACACTTACTCTCTGATATTCAACAGACCGAGCGCACTTTCAATCGATGCCATGATTCGAATATTTTCCCGACTAAATCCAACGGGAGTCAGACAAGAAGATGAGAATGAAACAGTATATCAACGCATAAAGATTCTTACGTGGAAGGTGGAGCAATTGAATCAATCAGGCTCGAGATGGCATGAATGTCACGCACAGAGTTGACTTTTGGGATGAGAATGGTTTGCAAATTCTTGGATCGAAGAATGACATTCAAATCGTCCAATTCCAAACCAGAACCAACAGAGTTAATGCGAACAGCCTTTTCCGAGTGACCCACATCGAAGCTCTATCCAAACAGTAGAATATAAGCTAATTAAAGTAGAAAAGGATAGCAAATCCAAGTTTTACCTCGAGTGCCTATTGAGATTAGCCAAGGCATACAAGACAGTTGTGAGAGTTATGAATACACAACATTTTTAAAAAGAATGAAATCTACCGAAAAAACCATCTGACGGGCAGTACCCTTGCAGCTCAAAGCAACACTGTCTTCCAAATCATAGATGAATGTATCGGGTTTAGCCTTGAGAGAAGAAGCCAGTTTTCTTTCATCACTTCCTACAACACAATGGAGTGAGTGCCAACACAAGTGTTTTATGAATACTATTCTAATTGACAAGTAGACTGACCAGGAACTACAATTACAAATAGAAACCAGTGAGTTGAATAACATGATTGGATTAGAATGAATTAGTATCAACTAGAATATACCATAAAAGATGGCACGACGAGAGTGGTTTGCTCTGGGAGCAGCAAGAACCGAAAAGGATCGCAGCTTGGATGGTTTTGGTATAGATTTCAAGGCAGAAAGCAACATCATCGAATGAATTCGATATTGAATTTGCAATCAATTTATAATAATTTATAATCAAAAAGTTCAGTTTGCAACACTCGCAAACATGTATTCTCACCAAGCCATCACTGCCATGCATTCGACTGCGCCCATGTCACTCACTCGTCCCAACTCATCGCTTCGCATTGCCATCACTCATTACTACACACTTGGTGGTTTGCTCTCGTTACCATCGCAATACACTCCATCAATTCGATCTATCCACACTATTAACCCTACAATCTCTTCGCATCCATCTGTTCATGGTATGTCTTGAAACTTGTCAACTTTATACCTGCTTAATGTATTATATTACTCGTGTGATTTGAATGTTTAAATTCATTCTCTCTTGATATGGTTTTAATACTAATGCAACTCTTTTAATTGATCAATTCTATATCTTATTGAACTGCAATATAATTAATTATTTTACTCATTGGTTACAGGCTCAGTTGACCATTTGGTTTCGAGGTCAATGAGAATGAAAATACATGGATTTCCTTTGGCTACTTCTACAGTGGTCAATCCATTCCACTATTTAAATTCTCAATCATTTTCTACTGCTCCAACAGACATGTCTACTTCTAGATCTACCCCGTCTCAAAATACTACTTCCCCTGTAACTCCTACAGTAGTGCCAAAACCTCCTAAACCAGAAACCGCGATTGAAACTGCTATTCGTGAAGCCAAGGATGATGCTCTGCTTTCTTCAGAAACCTCTTCCAACTTGGTTGCTCCTACTGCTCCAAAAAAATCACTTTGGGTTAGAGTCAAAGAAGAGGCAGTTCACTATTGGCATGGCACAAAATTACTTGGTGTCGAACTTGCAATCTCCAGTCGTCTGCTTGTTAAGCTTCTAAATGGTCACAAGCTATCTCGTCGTGAACAACGTCAACTCCGTCGTACTACTGGCGATCTGTTTCGTCTTGTTCCCTTTGTCGTGCTAGTTGCTGTTCCATTTTTAGAATTCGCTCTCCCACTTTTACTTCGCATCTTCCCAAACATGCTTCCTAGTACTTTTGAAAGCAAGTTTCAAGAAGAAGAAAAAAAGAAAAAACTGCTCAAGGTGCGTTTGGAAATGGCCAGGTTTCTACAGGAAACTGTTGCAGAATCTGCCATTACTGGTAAATTAAAAAATGACACTGCCAAAGAATTCAACGAATTTTTTTTGTGTTATCGTACAAGTGGTCAAGTTGCTCCTTCTCCAGAAATTCTTCGCATAGCTCGCAAATTTCAAGATGAACTCACTCTCACCAACTTGTCTCGTCCTCAACTGGTTAGCATGGCCAAGTACATGAATCTCAATGCCTTTGGAACAGACGCGTTTTTACGTCATTTAATTGAACGGAGACTTCAGTACTTTGCTGCTGACGATCGCTTAATTGCCTCGGAAGGCGTGGATGCTCTTACCATTTCTGAGCTGCAGCAGGTGTGTCTTGCTCGTGGAATTCGAACTGTTGGAGTTTCTCCTGCTCGTATGCGTAGTGAACTACAACAATGGTTAGACCTTCACTTGGTACATAAAATTCCCTCCTCATTGCTGCTGCTTTCACAAGCCTTTTTGACCACCGAGCGTCTTCCTGCTTCTAGCGATGAGGCACTCAACAGTCGTGCCGAAGCCCTACAAGCCACTCTTTCTTCGTTGCCTCACCAAGTCATCAATGAAGCTCAGCTCAAAGTGTCCGAGGCTGGTGGTGTAGCAACATACAAGCAAAAACTAGATGTACTAAAGGAACAGGAAGAAATGATTGCTGATGAGCTTGAACAAGAAGCTGCTCAAGCTGCATCCAAGCGCGCCAAAGAAGAAGAACAGTCTCAACGACTCAAAGAGGAACAAGAGTCTGCATTAACTTCTGCTACTCAAATCATTACAGAGGTCAAGCCTGTAATTCTCAATGCTGATGCATCGGCTCAACCTACTATACAAGCCACTGTTGCCGACACGCCTACAGTTTTTGTTACGACTGCTACACCAGTTGAACACGCACAAGAGTCGACTGTTGCATCAACCCCAATTGTTGTTGTTGAGCCTCTTAGCGCATCCCCTTTGACTTTATCCAATGCAGAGAATGAGCAGGTAACACGTATATTGTCATGTATTGACCAGATACTATTCTATATAAATATGCTAAACGTAAATCCTTGCTATATGGCATTTAGGTTTCTAAATCTACTGCACCAATTTCCATACCCGTTTCTACTTTGCGGGTTGACACGACTGCTTCTGCAAGCCTTGAAACACCAGCACCATCACTGTCCGCTACAGAAGAGAAAATTTCTGGCAAAGAGCTTAAAAAACTGGGCGAGGCTTTGAAAACCATGACGGCTGGATCGGCCTTTTCAGATGTCAAGACTGTATTGGAAGACTTGAAGGAAGATCAAAAAGAGTACAAGGAAGACATTGAAGAATATCGCCAGGTGACTCAAAAAACATCATCTAAAACTGCCGATCGTCTTAGCAGTCGTGTCGACAAGATGATTTCAAACATTGAAAGCGAGCTTGCCAAGTACGACGTAGAAATTGGAAGCAAATTGAATTTAATTAGACCTGATGAAGCTGGAAATATGTCTATTCAAGATCTTGAAAGCATTTTCCCCTTTATTCGTGACCATCCCAACGATAATCGTATTAAAAAGATTTTGACTGATTTGGATTCGGACGGTGATGGCATGGTTGCTCTTCAAGAGATTCTTACTCTAGTGGAGGATGCCGACAACGAAGGCCATGGCGAAGTGTTACCTGACAAGCGTGAAAGCGAAAAAAAGGCCAAAGCTGCCGCTCCAGTCACTGCAACTGCCTCTCCCGTCTCTGAGCCCGCTATCCCAATATTGGACACTGCATCCAAGACCACCACTTTGAACACTAAACTCTAAATTTTTAAAAACTATTTTTTGATTTTGCGTGAATTAAGTCATTTATTCATTTTAGCCATGTAATTCTAGTTTTAATAGTAATGCACATTTAAAGCAGCGTTTTAATGCTAAAATGCGTCTATATCGTGATCAGTCAAAAGCATTTCTCTTATAGAACGATCTGATCCATCTGATCTTCCTGATACAGGTCTTTGTTTGCGAACATGTAAATCCGGTAAAAGTAAATCGGCCGTACCATTTAGAGATCTGCTATGTGGATTTATTTTAGGTTTTACATGTGATGTTTCTGTCATTCCGCGCAACCGATTCAATGGTGCTGTCCGTACATCATTGACTCTAGTTTCGGTCATTTGATCACAGTCATTCAGCCATTCTAAATGATATTCCAATTTGTTTATACAAGTTTAGACTCTATTTAAACGTATTCCAGCATGATTGAATCAAACCATGTTATACGATTACTTTTTGGATGATGCGAGTGAGTTGTAGCCAAAACTGACCAATTTTCCTGATACGATTCAAAATCCAATGCACGAGTCCATTTGATCAAAAAATCCGAGTCAAATTCAGATTCCGCATCCTTCAACAACGCTTCAATCTCCTTTTCGTCACATGCGTGATTGAGCTGGTTGACTAATTCAGCTTTGGGATTGGATTTGGCTGTATGAGGCGGTGTATGAGTTGGATGAGTGTATTCACCATATCCACCAAGAGGCTTTAATTGATCTAGGTTGGTTTCTAATCCTTTTGTAATGTCGGATACAAATTCAAGTGGATCGGGTGGTGATGGAGCAGATATATAGACGGTTTCAAGCCCTTGCTGATAGATATGGCGCATCCAATCAAGCTTACGTTCTTTCCGTCGCTTGAGCATATCTTGGTGTCGTTTAAGTTTTATATGATGAAAAGGCCGTTTGGATTGAGTTGGTAGAATTGCATTGTGAAGATAGGTAATATTTGCTCCCCAGGTCTAAAGTTGAATTAAAATCATTGTATTTAGCAATTGACGATATCTAGTGCAATACACGTTATAAAATCTTGAGCTGACGTACCGCATCAGATACGGGTCGCCATTCATTATTTTCAAACCGTTGATACCATTCCTCAGACTCGCTTGGTGGAGACAAAATATACCCTTTATGGAATCTTTGACGAGGCGTAATAGTTTTAATCTTTTCGTCTGTATAATTTCTTGGACTAAACGCATTCATATCAACAATAGACTTGTGCACAAACACTTTGTAGTAGATCGTTGGTGGAAATATATGCTGGATAGTGCAACAAAAAGTATGCATGCATTGAATGAATGAAATTAGTGTAATGGGTCTATTAAAATCCATTCAAAAAAACAGTTTCCTACCCCGCCTAGCCGAAATCGGATATGTGTACCAAGACTATCGTCCACATACTGAGCTTCTTTTGGATTGATAAACTTCAATAACCGCTTTGGATTGCCTTGCTCACTATATTTGATCAAATTGCGATAGAATTTATAAATGCGCATACTCTAGAGTATAATGGTAAATATCAGTGTTTTCATTCAAAAATATATCAATACTCGACATACGTAATCCAACTTTATCTTACATAGTATCTACGCCAAACTCTTTGAATCTTGGATGCCGAGTTTTCAACCACTCGATCGCCCGCACGAGGTCGTTGGGTATAACGAACTAGCCGAATTCGTGCCTCCAATTTAGCTTTAACGTTTGATTTATCAACACACTGTATCATGTTTTAAAATTGAATGGTTGAATACACAATCAATATAATAGACTGATTCATTTACCATGGTTTGAATTTCTACATATGCGCGACGAACAACAAAACATCGCCATATTGATTGGATATACGCTGCACAAAACTGTGAATATTCCGGAGGTATTATTTTTCGTTTATCAAAATAATGGCAGTATTGCAAATAGCGTCTCCACACTAATTCCTAGACATGAAATAGATGGTTAGTCAACGACACACTACTTTAAGCATGATTCATCTTACTTGAGTTGTGAGATCCTTGACGTCTGGAAGTCCTTCTAGAATCTTTGGAACTTCAAGAAATGTTTGTATAGAAAGTCGAGCATGCATGACAGCAATAAATCGTTTTCTTGTTCGCCATCCACGGAAACAGCTTTGAATCAATAGCGATGCAGCGCTTCTTGCCAACTGAGTACGACTGATTTTTTCCATAGCTGACAATTCGCCATCCAGTACGGAATAAGGCTGACATGAATCTTTATGATACTGTCCAACTAAATTTGCAGATTTGGCTTGCTGATGCATCAAATGCTTTGAAGCGTTATTGATCAATACAGCTGCATTTCCTTTTGATTCGCCAGCAACTTTGGGCTTTTGTTGGACAGAAGATACATTTGAAAAGCCTAAATGATGAGATGGGTCAACCCTTAATCTAGTACTTGTCTTGGTGTCGTGAAATAGGTTGGATTGTGAACCAACAGTTCCTATTGTAGCTGGCGTATTTCGTTGGGTATGAGATTGCAACCCCGCATGTGCTATTTCATGCACTGTATTGCGCTCCGAGATGGACCAACTTGAAGGTGTTATATTTCCCGCAAAAGTATGCACAGTAGTAGATGGGTATGGTTTTGTATTGAATCTGAAAGATGGTTGATTGTGGGTTTTGTGGGTATAGACGCGCTTGTAGTTTTGAAAAGCTTCTGGATCACCAAGAATATCCAGCGAAAGTTTCCTGATTGCCAGCTATAGTGTATCACAGTATGGGTTTAAATTAAGCAATTATAATAATAAATATCAAATGTTTGGTTTCAACTTGGCAGTGTTGTAAATTACCATTCTAGCATCTTTTGAATATCGCAATAGTTGTTCGAGATGGTGGTTTGGAAACACCGTTTTTGTCAGTAATTCTATAGGATCAAACCCCCATATCAAATTCATGACTTCATTCTGTGTATTTGATATTGGTGATATTTCATTTATATGGTCAGTAGCAGTTTGATGGGCTGTTTTTTTACTCGGACAGTCTGACATTTTAAAAAAGAACGACTAAAATATAATTCAATTTGTCGATAAATTCAAATACCCTGAGGGAACGGATAATCTAGATTTGGAATGCATGACAAAAGACAGACTCAGTTACCAAAAGGCTGCCATGTCGAATGATCAGACTGACGTAAATGAGTTTATGGCAGCCATAGAAGACTATACAAACTCATCAACACAAGAATGCATTCAAACACGACCTAAACCTACCGTATTGGTGATTACTTTAGCAGCAATGGTAACAATGGTAGGAGTATCGATGCCATTTGTTGTTTCGGCTTTAAACAATCGGATTCCATGGGTTCCTACCACAACTGAAAAGTCAACAGTGCTGTTTACTCATCTGGCACGATTGTGGATAGAAACAGGTGGAATATGGCCAGAGCAGCAACATTTAACTCGACAGGTATGCACTCTAACCAAGATAAATGCTGCATCGACTACAGCACCAAAACAGCCTACACTCAAGTTTGTCGATATGGGATCAGGAGATGGTCGAGTTGTATTGGCTGCTGCACATTATGGACAGAAAAGACGATCGTTGGAATCTGATACACCACCGCCATTTCTGTTTGGTGAATGTGTCGGTATTGAACGGAATATAACGCTTTGGGCTTGGTCAATCCTAACTGCAAGATGCTGGCATTTTTTCACACCATCCAGAGTAACTTTTCTCAAAAACGACTTTAGACATGTAGATCTTTCAGACACGGATGTGGTCATGGTTTTTGGTGTACCTGCTTGGATGGTATGCGTTGACTTGGTTGATTTGTACAAGATGTATCTGAAGATTTGTTTTAAACTAACCCTATTGAAATTGTTTAATAGAAAAAGTTTGGAGAAAAGTTTGAAAGGGAACTTAGGCCTGGATCCATGGTAGCGACCAACAAGTTTCCAATACCCGGATGGCATCCATTGGTTACCAATACAGAGATGTTCATTTATCGAATTGGATTGCATCGTTTGAATGAACATAAAAATTAATGATTGTAGATTGGCATGGTGTGTGATGGTGTCGAATGCAAATAGCGTTGGGCAGTTCATATTGTCTAGGCTTTCATTGTGTGTATTGATATAAAATATACAAAGTAGTTGAAATTCAGTATGCACTATACGATGCACTTTTTTGGATAAACAACAGTTGATAAGCCAGCTCGTGAATTAAACTTTTTGTATTCAAACTCTAAATACCAACAATAATAAAACGGAATCAACATTAAATTCCTAGACTTTTCCGACCGACTGAGTTACCGAGCTCAGTAATAATTTATCAAGGATTCAACCAAACTTCATTTGCATAAAAAATGCGAATCCAAGCATGTACATGTCGATTGTCAAATCTAATGAGTAGACAAAAATTCCTTGATAGAAAATTCGTCATGACCAGGCTTTTTAAGAATTACACCTCGTTCAGTAACAATAGCGGAGATGAGTGATGCAGGCGTAACCTATACATATTCATGTAGATACATTTCAGTAGTTTAGACGCTATAAATAAACTTGAATACAATGACAAATCATGTGTTTTTACATCAAAGGCAGGATTCCAGATATCAATACCGCGAGCAGCAATTTCTATCAAAGTGGTGGTCATGCTCTCGTTAAACTGATGCTCTTTGACATTGGCCTCATCGTCCAGAGTTTTACCACGAATATGAGTGACTTCAAGAGCAGATCGTTGCTCGATTTCAATGGCTTCGCCATTTTGAGTTTCGAGATCGATTGAAGTGGAAGGAGCAGCCACGATGAACAAAGCATTGTGGTACTTGGCAATGATAGCCAGCTGGTAAGTTCCAATCTTGTTTGCAGTATCTCCATTGGCAGCCACTCTATTAAAAGTGTTTAAATTGTACTGTTAGATCTGAAACTGCTCATTAGTGAATTGCAATCTCAAACACATACCTGTCAGCACCAACGACAATGGCAGCAATGCTCTTTTCCCTTAACAATGCAGAGGCCATGCTGTCGCATACAAGCGTGGAGGGAATCTGTTCATAGACAAGCTCATATGCAGTTAAACGAGCGCCTTGATTGTATGGTCTGGTTTCCGTGCAAAAGGCATGATCAAGCTTGTCGCGAGAGTGCAGCTCACGAACGATACCAAGAGCAGTGCCCTACAAGATGCCACATGAATAAATGATATCGAATCTACTCAATCCAAATGCAAGAATTTCTTACCCATCCAGCAGTAGCAAGACTTCCAGTATTGCAATGAGTCAACACTCTGACCTTGGATCCTTGATGCTTCACTGCATGATCCTGAATAAACTGGGCACCAAACCTGCCAATATTCATATTGTCTTGAATGTCCTGTTGAAGCATGGCTTCAGCAGTATCCATGTATGCCTTTACAATAACAGCAATTGGATTATCAACTAGATCTTTAGCTGCTTTCGTGGCAGCATCCTGAACAGTACGTAGTAAACGATCGGCAGCTTCAAATAAATTCACAGCTGTTGGACGAGATGTTTTGAGTAGAGTGAGACGATCACTGATAAAATCGACAGCATCTTGTGGTGTCTTGAATGCAGCAGATGATCGATGAGTGGTTTCGCTGTGGAGTTCAACAGCAAGTGACAAGGCAGCAACAATGGCAATCGCAGGTGCACCTCTGACCTACAGGATCATATTTCAAGATCAGCAATGACGAGTCTTGACATGAGATTCAATAATGAATGCTTACTTTCATAGTCTTGATGGCATTATATCCATCATGAGCAGTTTTGATGGTTTCATAAACAGATTCAAATGGTAGAATTAACTGGTCAAGAATATCCAAATGTCCTATTAGTGCATTCAAGCAGGTTTCCAATGTGAATTGCACGAATTAGTTTCTAGTTATTGTTCAATAGAATCTAATACAATTCAGTTGCATTCACACCTCTACTGTACTTGATGGCTTGCAGAGTAGGAGTAGATGTCATTGTATTGCAGTTGCTCATGGCTAGCGACAATAGGAATGAGAACGGAAGGAAAAATCAAAAATAAATTATCGGCAATTGGCATTCTTGATGTTCTCGTATTGGTAGATTCTTGGTTTGAATGGCATGAGAATCTGTTGCTTGTATCTCATATATCACGACGACAATCTGACTTGAATGGTTTACTACTTTTTTCGATTAAATATAAGACAATACTCATCTGGTTTTATTCTGACACGATATTCAATGCTCATTTGGTTTACATTAACTGGAAACTCTTGTTTCCGAAATACTTCAACCACGGCCTGCTTATCTTGTCAGAATGTCTATGAAACATGATAAAATTGTATTGTTTAAATATTCTCATTCCACTGTTTTCAATTATTTTTAAACAAGGTAATAAACTGTTTATAATGTAATCAACACAACAGTGCATAAAGACAAAGCGAATCCGAATGGATTTCTAATCGAATTTTATGCAATAATAAACCGGTCTACACCGTAAAATAAAGCGTGATTACAATATCTACAGTCTAGCTGGTATATTTGTCTGTTTGGCAAGCTTGCAATTCGTTTTTGCATTGTATGCGATGATGTCCAATCCTGTGTCGCATGCTTACTCCATTCCACTACCTGTTAGCTCGGTTGGCCTAGTACGTTGTTTAGTTTGCCATATATTATTTTATTCGAGTTTTTGATAGAAATATGGCTTATACATAATGCTGGATGCATCAATCACATTCCTTCCATCAACTAGTATATTCAAATATACGAAATAAAATTCGTTTTATAGATTATTCTAATACACTGCTATGATTTGTATTTCTGATATGTGCTGAATTCTACAAATCAATTTCTTTCTGGATTGCAGAGACCGTATGCCCATCACAATTCAGCACATGTTGCAACCCTTCCACTCTTACAGATCATCATCCGAATTCTTCAACTCTCTGCAATCATCATTGTATGGATGTTTATCATATGGAAGCTTGCTCTGATTTTGCCCACTACTGATCATCCTATTCACATTCCACATTCATTGGCGGATCTCAAACTATTGGCAGCTACTCTGTATGTGTAATATGCTGACAAATGGTGATCTATGCGAGCTGAATGAACTCTAACCTCTGCCAACATGTGTTATCATTTGGAAACAGTAAAGTATATTCTAGCTCGCATTTCATCTACGTGTTGGTTTTATTCTGCGCAGTGTTTTTATTTAAACAATCTTTTGGAGTGCCTGGGTCTGCTCTCTTGGTAATCATTATGCTTTCCGTGTTTACTTTATTCAAACCATTGCATTTGCGTTTGGTAAAGTGTGGATTTTAAAAACACTATTGGACATCATTTAAACTTTGTATTGAATTATAGAACGTTTTGGCTGGGGCACTATACGGGTATCCAGCCATTATACTCATATCTGTTTTGGCAGCAATCGGGTCGACAATTGGATATCTTTTATCCAAACACATTATAGGCACAGTTATATTTGGAAACCTCATTAGCAGAAGTCGAATCCTAAGTTGGCGTATGGCCGTTGATGAACACAGAGATAATATGTTACCTTATATGATATCAATTCGAACAATGCCTGTTGTGCCTGGTTGGTTTGTGAATCTGGCCAGTCCATTTGTAGGCGTTCCGATCGGCACGTTCTTTACTTCAACTGCAATAGGTGAGTATAGAATTTCAATTGGCTTGCAGCGTATGTGTTTAATGTTGACTTGTTTTTACATAGGCCTTGTACCGTTTCATTATATCTGTGTTCAAGCTGCGCATACATTATCCACACTAGAATCCATGGCAGGTATTTTCAGCATATGGACAGTTTTGCAACTATTCATGATCACTGCGGTGATTATTGTTCCCGTAGTTTTCAAGAAACGATTGGCAAAGCTCTATAGAAAAATTACTAGCTATTAGGGTCAAGAATATCGCTGGAGACGGGCACAAGAGCTACTTTGCATATCTAATGCTAGATGTCTAGTGCAATGAATATTACACTAGTCAGCTTGATTGCCCATTTAAATCAAATCTAATGTACTATCGGTTTCAGAATTATTCACCATGTATTTAACGTATATTTTAAAACAAGTTTCAGTTTAAATAAAAAATACTGGCTGTTTTTCGAACGCATTCCAGCTTGATTGCATGTCCATCCGCAGTAAACCCAAACAGTTCTGATGTGATAGGAATTGTTAAACTAGTATATATTGCAAGATATTTATAGTGTGATGACAAGGTAATTTGAACTGCACGCAAATCAAAAGGCTTCATTTATAACAGTGAAAAAGGCATGATAGGCTTCAATGTTGAACCAAACTTCCTAGACAACAGGGTATTCCAATGAATCTTATACGTGTTTAGATAGTCATGGTGCAAGAATAATCAATATAAAAGTTTGAATCAGAAGCGGAAAGTATGCTGGTAGAATAGCGATCAAGCCTTGATATCTTTCTCGTCCTCTGCAAGTTCCTCGTCATCCGAGTCTTCAAAGGTCTATTATCAGAATTCAAAACATAGTGATAATTGGTAAGTTGAAACAAAACAATATAAATTAATCCAGGAGTAGATTGATATAAAGATTGAGCATTAACACTCAAACTTACCGGCATACCGCCAGCACCGCCACCAGCACCACCAGCCTGTGCAAACATTTTGAGCATCTCTTCATTCATTCCGCCCATGCCTGGAGGAGCATCCATGGCAGCCTCGACAGGTTCAGGATCATCAAAAGTATCATCAACGAATTTGGAAAAGTCGGTTTTCAACCAGGGGAGTTTTACAGAAGCCTTTTGCAAACGGGGCCAAAAGCGATCGTTGGTATTCTCCTTTTCAACGACAAGAGAGATGGATCTATTTGTGATGGTTTCGTGCCACGACTAAAGCCAAATTGATTGAATTAGTATGCGGACAGATCAAAAATGCAACAATGTCAAGCACATCAATATAGTTACATCAGACTTGACAGTGGAAAACAAGTCCAGATGGAATCCGTATGTCTGACCACCAACAACAGCCTCAAAAGTAAGACTATCAGCAGACTTGGTAATGACGGGGGATTGAACATCAACAAGTCTAATGGTAAGAAACACAGACTTTCTGTCCTGTGCCCACATCACTTCAGGAGCACGAGTGATAGTTCTAAATATATAAAGATAGAATTAGCATATGCCAGCAAGTCGAGATTGGCGATATTGAGGAGTAGATCAAGATTGGTTGAAATTAGATCAAGAGATTGCTGTAGCTGAACAAAGTCTATATTTATTAAAAGTAAGATATTACACAGTACAAGTTTAATAAGATCATACCCAGTACTCATCATAGCCAAAAGATTCAATAGAAGTTGAAGGAAGAAACAGAATTTGCAGAGCGGAAGAAAACAGTAATTGATGGTTGAACTGTATATATAATGGTTGAGCTTTATATATACAGTTCAGACTCTATATCTGCTTATGTTTGAATTCAAATCAAAATTTGTGGTTTTACTAGCCATGACAATCACTGGATCTACTAATAAAACAACCCTTCCTGTTGGCACCGCTCCATTCTTTGTTAGTGAACAACTTCGGTCTACTCTTTCTGTCATTGACAATGCTTTCCATATTCATCGTCCCGATAAACACTCTCTTACCGCTTTGTTTGGCTCAGCTGTCTTGAATTCGCCTGTCAATTCATTTCAGGATAGTTTGAATGCTTCCACTCTTCATTCTGTTTCAGCCCAAGTGATTTGGGATGCCATCAATTCCCCTTTTTTTGGAGAAACTGCTTCGAATATGCAAAGACGATCTTCTAGTCTTCAAGCAGCCACTCGAAATATTCAAACTACTTTGGCTGGTCCATTGAAATGCATTCTTGAACATAAATCTGGCCAAGATTACAACAGTAAGACTGGATCGTATACTCCTCTTGGTCATACCGATGATAATTCGACAAGCGCTTCCATGGATATTGCCCATTTGGTAGTGCTATCAAAAGCACTTGCTACCATCAAGGCACTTACACTTCAAGAGCTACTTGATGATGTCCATCCATTATCTAACGAGATTTCGTATTGGGAACAGCGCGAATCTTCTAGATGGTCACTGGCATTTTATATTCTACAAACCCTTCCTAGACAGCTATTTGATGGAATATGCATCCTGTTTTCTACTGTTTTTAAGAGAGCTGGCTCGGGGTTATTCAAACACACCAACGCGTTGCCAGATCTGTCTAGCGCGGATTCAGATCTTGCCGGTTCTACTTCACATAGTGCTTTTAGTCTTTTTCAACTTTCGCAATCATTTTCATTGGGACTATCTCTTCGATTAAAACCACTTTCCTGGATTGATATGGCCAAACGAGAAATGTCCGTCAAACGAGAACGACTAATGAATGCTCAGCTCTGGCAAGCACAGTGTCTTGGTGTTCTTATTCGTAGTAATATCAACAGTGTATTTCAGCCCGATCTTTATTCTTCCAATATATCTTGCTCCATGGTTGCAGTTGGATCTACAAGAGCCAAGGGCAAGTCTCGCAATATTGGAAAGCTGATTAAATATTTTGCTTCCAAGAAACCTGACTCGAATAGTTCGAGTAGTAGCAATACAGAAAATACTACCGAATTAAAAAAGACTCTTTCTGCCAATGTTTCTAGAGAAATTTCTGCAATTGGTGCAGTTGTGAATGCTCTTTCTAAAATGGGCCAAGATATTCCAGCTTCTGACGAGTTTCTGCCGCTCCATATTGGTCTGTATTTGACAGCTATTTGAAAATTGATTTATAGTTTAAACCACTGATTATTTATTCTGATTTGATACATCTTGTAGATATTGGACCAGATCGACCCTCTGCCAGTATTAAATCAATGTATACGGATACTCTGGTATTGACTGAAACTCTCAAGACTATGGCACGACAGTCTAGTGAACTGGTGGAAAAACTGGGACGGCCATCACTGCTACTTCGAGTCTGGTTGCCCACTTTTATTACTGCTCTAGGTGGTATAGTTGTACTTCGATCTGCTTCTCCTAGAGAGATTTTTGAATTTTTCAAAACCACCTGCATGAACATGTGGGAGTATGGTAGTGACTTTGTCACCAATTGGATTGTCCAGCCATTGGAGAATGTTCTCAAAACAATTAGACACGATGAGGCTCAATTGGCATTGTTGGGATCAGAGAGTTTGGCCTCTGACTTGGATGTAAGTATTTATAATGTGATTGATTCAAGTACGTTTTGAAAGGTCTTTGACTGAATAGTTGAATGTAAACCTCAAGTCATTGGAAAGAATGGTGATTGAGTTTGCTCGCGATCACGGCGAATTGGATGCAACTCGTCTTAAGGAGATTGGCGGCCGCGTTCGACTTGGAGATCTTACAGCAGTTCTTCAGAGTTATGAGGTAGACATAAAGCAGCCTTTAAAAAACATTATTGCAGGTAAGCTGACGCGTCGGCCACCAAGTACTTTTGATATCAACCATAGTATATCAATACGACTAATTTTAAATATGAATTTTAGGAGACTTGATTCGATCTCTGCTTATACAAATTCAAAAGACTAAAGTGGATGGCGAGTTAGCAGTGTCAGTTTTAGATAAGCTGCTAAAATCCAACGAGCTCAACTTTGCGTTTTTAGCTGTCATGCCTACACTGCTGATTACATATGTAGGTATTGGATGGTTGCGTCATGTATTGACGCCTCAGCCAGTTGCTAGTTCCAACGTAGTACAATCTATGAAACGGAGTTTAAGGTATGTTTACATGTCATCTATAACTTGTGCTGTGAAGGTACTGATTTATATTTATTTGATCTGTTTTTTGGTGTATAGAAACATTGAACGAATTTTCAACCAAATGGATCTGGAACAAGAACCAAGCGAAGTATCCATTTCATTTGGACTTTTATTGTGTGAAACGTGTACTTTGCATGAGTGTGCAATGGCTTTGCCGAGATCGATGGGAGGTGGATCTACACTTGTGCAAGACATAGGAGATTTGGAAAACATTGTTGTGTTTCAACAAGAAGTGTCTAAAGCAGGCATGGCAGTATTGGCACGAATTTGGCGAACTAATCTGTCATTATAGCTTGATTAAACCAAGTGAAACCATATATAATAAAGAGCAAGTCGGAGTTTAACCAGAGGATTCCTAGTTCGATCTGATTATTACAACTATTATAATAGGATATAATGCATGTGGATAACACCATTTTCTATGAAAAGCAGCCATACCACACTGTAGATATTGCTGCTCGTCCGCCAATACAATCAGCAAACATCAGTATCCGTCCTATGGGTGGATTAGTACGTCCGTTAATGGTGGACATGAATAGTATTACTAGCAATGCTAGCAGTAAAGTCATTCAGAACCCATCTGAACTGTCTATCAGCCAGCAGGACAGTGTAGCAGTCCGAGAGCGTCACATCATTCCTGCCAGTAGAACACCTGCACCCACTCCAGATGCCATGAGCAGGTTTAGAGCGACATCAAAGCTGCTCTTCACCCCAACAGGACGCAGACAGTCGTCGACAACTACTCATCAGTCCAGTCTGCTACTCACCAAACCTCGAACAGCAGCAGTCCACCAACCAGACTCGACTGTTGCCATTAAAGTATGTTCAAGAATCAATAAACATGCAAGTTGTATCGTAAACTTACTAATATTCAACTGTAGATATCCAACACTCTTGTCCGAACAAGCCAGACTGTCATCAATCCTCGCTTTTCAGACTCTTTGGACATTCCTTCTTGTTCATTACATCGACACAAAGTGCGCAAGGTTGCAACACTCACCGCACCAACTGAATTCCGTCATCATTCCATTCACAAGAAACCCAACTCGGTCAAGTCAAAAAAACCTTGTGTGGAAAACCTTGACTCGACCATTCTTTTAACCCAACCAACTGCTTGCTCAAATCCAACTGTTCAACCGATTGCTACGCATCCCAAATCTCTTGTAGTCACTAAACCAGATCCAGCCAAGTTGGAGTATTTTCAATCACTTTTACGCGATCACCAGCAAACTCGACACACTTTTACATTACCATCACATCATGTTAAAAACAAATCTCTAGCAAAACCCTCAAGTGTTGCTGCTCATGATTCCTCAGCAGCTAAAAAACAAAACCTTTTTTCATCAGGCATTCACAATGAAAACATAAAGGAAAATATATCTTCAACTCTGCACAATCATCCATCACTTGCAGTTACTCAAAAAAATATAGACCGATCTGCAGAGATACGTGATTACATTAAAGCAAAAAGGCGAAAAGAAATGGAAAAAACTGAGCAGGCTGCTTTAAAAGAAAAAGAAAGACAAGAGAGCATCGCAAGCAAGCTGAAACGGCTAGATACAGTCAGAATGAAGCAAAGGCAAACCATCTCCAAACGCACTGATAAAACTCTAGTGTTCCAGTCTGCAGCGTATCAAAATTCACAAAACACTGAAAATGATACTGGCCACAGCAATAAACTTGGTTTGGTTTCAAAGGCTGTATCTGATGAAAAGTCTTCTGAAAAAGATGAGTTTGATAAACCACTGCCTTGTATGGATAATCATCTGTTTACAGCTTTAAAATCAGATACACCACCAAAAAACCCAGTTTTTGACACGATATCCTCGGCAGTAAAGCTTATCGAACATTCAGAAAAACAAGTCATCTCGCCTGATAATCTGGGTTCTATAGTTTTACCCAATACACAGCTTCCATTACCAACTCTGCCCTTGACTCCACCAGTTGCACAACCAGCATCGTCAAGTAGCATTGCGCATTTATCCGATGGTATTACTTTTACTCAGCAGACATCACTACGACAGACTTTGCCTACTTCATCGCTTCAGCTTGAACCTCACTCGCAGGTTGATCCATCGCAAATACTAGTCATGCAACAACTCATTCAAAATATGGAGGCTCTTCAAGATCGTATTCAACAGCAAATAAACCAATCTCGTATGGCTGATTTACATTCTTATGACTCGACTTCAGAAAGCGCATCTTTTATTTCACAACCAATTGTATCTACTTGTGTCACTTCCACAATAGATTCAGCCCATATTTTGGATGAAATTGTGATTGCTGCAAAATCGAGTCCAATAAAAGACACAGCAAAAGATTTGAGCTCCACTATAAAAGCTGCAAAGCCAGTAGTTGATAATGGTGCAAACTTTGTTGGTGTAGAAAGCCTTGCAGCATATTCACGTCAGAGTCTAAATCGTATACGGCGTAACCAGGCTGCTTTTGTTATCCAAACATTCTTCAGGCGCTATGGCGGATTAGCAGCTAAAAAACGAATACTGGCGAATACTAAACCTTTTTGTTTTTCAAACCAAGTTTCAGCGACTTCCTACGTGGATACTGCCTGTATTTCCGATATTTCACAAACTCCCATCAAGCATCCAGCCGCGACATTTGAGACTGCCAAAATGGAAACAGTACCATTTATAGAATCGTCTGAAAAGCATTCAATTGAAAAAGTACATGCATCTATTGAGCACACTCCAGCTGAAAATACCGTCGCGAAACTTGATACTGTCAAAGATACCCCACCCAATTCTCCTTCTACCATGTCAATACTCATTTCACCAGCTCAATCTTTTCAACAATCAGTCAGTCTAGAACCAGACTGCAAGCAGAAGGAGTCAGATTTAAATGAGTTTAAGTTGCTATTTCGGCAAGTGGCATCTTCAGATCAGTGCAGCATTGTCAATATTTTTGCACGCAAATTACATTTGGAATCTATTGCTTTACCTGATGCAAAGAGTGAAATAGATGACTCTAAATTAAAATCAGAACCAGTATGCACTGTTTCAGATCAAGTAATTCCACCACAGCCAATACAGCCGGTTACTCCAATTCAAGCCCCTGCTCAGCTAATCGGAGAATTTGAAATATCGCCAGAACCTTTGGGTAAAATTATAAAAGATATTCCTACTTCTGTTTCATTGCCTTTGACAACCACACTTTTTGAATGCTTAAACCCAGCAGTCATTAGTGAGCAAATTATTACCAAAAAACTTGAAAATCCAGTAGAATCAGATTGTATTACGACAGACCACCCATTACAAAATCAGCTGTCGCAGCATGATCAACAAGGACATCTTGAAGATTTCAAATCCGAGTATTCCGAAGTGTTTGAAGGTTTTGACAGCACGCATACTTTGTCCTCGAATATTGAATCTCCATCATTGTCATCGTCAAAACTTTTAGATTCAAAACATCAATTCCAAGAATCCTATCCACAATTACCCGAGACTAAAGCCAGATATCCAGAAAATCAAACCACACACTTGCACGACTATGGTAGTTTTCATCCCACTCGCCGTTTTTCAGACACTAAAGATTCTTTCATGAACCATCCTAATGGCTGGCTTAGTCCAACCTCACTTTCTCGAAAATTTGAAGCAGATCTTCAACTTTATTCTGCTATTCACGATGCGCATATCCAGTATACTGAAATGGACAAGAATCATAGTGTTGCTAGAGCAAAAATTGAGTCTGCTGCTTTGGCACAAATGCTAACTGATCAACGTAAACAACACCAATTGGATTTAGAACGAGCAAGAAACGCCAAGCATGCTGCGTTAAGCACACGCAAAGTCGTTTCCGCCCATCATATGCCAAATACTACTCAGGGCAACAAAACGGATGTCCCATTTAAACCTAGCGTATCGCCACAAATTGCAACTCAATATCAGACATACGATGAAGATTCATTTGCATCGGCTTTGTCTTTAGATGCCCCGGTTATAGCAACGAAATCTGGCGTGCCAACAAGTGAGAGTGTATATCTTTCAGAAAAAGAAAACTCTGAATCAATCAATCAAGTCATTGACCAAGCTGTTTCTACCCCTAAGCATGAAACAAGTATATCCGAGGTATGTTGAATTAAAATTTCGATACTGGATAAATGTTTCCATCTTTGACGGATTGGATCTGATTTATTTTTTGTTGTTAGTTTATCGAGGATCTATCGTCACATTTTTCTGTGAAAATTAAAACTGATGAAACAAAGGATGCTTTGGAAAATGTTGCATCAAATACTCGACATACACAAGCAGCCAATCAAAATGCAGACGTCACTCCGTCATGGCAAAGCCAATTTGAGCATGCCATTCTACAAAAACTTGATCAGGACAAGGTTCAAATAGAAAGCTTGAAACAAATTATTCTTTCTGGCAAGTTGAAAAATAAGCCCAAGACAAAAAGCCCTACTAGAAAATCACACAGTAAAAAAACTGTAAAGAACCCAAAAAGTCCACGTACAGCCTCGTCAAACTTGAAAGAAGAAACACCTTTTAAACAAAAACACAAGTCTATCCAACCATCAATAGATTTAATTGATGATGATATATTATCAGCATCTAACGCGTTTTCCTCTCATAGCACGCGCTCCATTTCAGAAGCCATATTAGAGGATATTTCCGTGAATGCATCTGTTTCTGAAATAATTTATCAGGATGCCTTTAATTCGTTTGAAAGCTTTCATGAATCTACTGAAACTGGATCATCTACTCCACGTGTCAACAAACATGTTTCAGCCGTGTCTGATCTAAATCTAGTCTCATCTGGCACAGTCACTCCAATTCCAAAAACCATATCGTCTACAAGCAGTCTTACAGAACTTCAGCTAAAACTTGAAAACATAACACGCTCACTTGATCCATCTTACCTAAAAAGGAAGGAAGAAAAATTGAGTGTAAGCCGCACGGCTGCTAACGAGCTAATAGTCAAACGAAAAGAGTTACAGGCGTGGGAAGCTCGACTAAAAGCAGAGCAAGATCATATTTCTCGTACACTTGACGAAGCATTTAAAGATATTGAGCCGTTTAAAGTTGCAACCAAATCTGCTGAAAGTGAGGGATTTCATCCAGTCAAATCATCTGCTAGGATACATACAGTGTCCAAATCTGAAAACATAGAACCGGCGCTATACAATAATATATCTACAAGCAATTCCAAGCACGTATCATTACAATCAAAACCAATAATTGTTGAAAGCATTGATAAGGATGTGTCGCACGAAGTTGATACATCACACTACGACTCTGTCCACGAAGACTTTAGCGTATCATCAATTTACAACTCGGATTTTAAAATGTGCATTGACGGAACAAGTAATCTGTCCATACATAACTATTCGCACCAAAAAGAGAAAAAATCACCTCGATCTGTTGTAGAAAGCATTCGTACATCTGATGGTATTTCTGAAATTGACGAAGCGATGGAAGAATTTGAAGACTATGACAAAAATGATTTATCCTTTGAACACAGTATTCAAAGTATTGTGTCAAACGCTATTGATACAGCCAAAAAAACGTTTCATCTTGATCGAGACGCGTCTAAATCTCCTGTAGCAGAAATCAAGCCAGAATTGGTTAAATATGAACAGGATGAGTTTGATTCTATTGGTTCTACTAGCCACTCGGTGTCAAAAGAAATTAAAGTAGATATGGAACCGGAGCCTACCAAAATCAATATAGTACCTATTTCAAAATCGATTGCTCTTGTAGGGGCAGTTAAAGAAATAGAGCCGTGTGTGAATAATGCTGAATTGGTTGCTGCTGAACTGCGGATATCTATTTTAAACGACCAGCTTAAGAAAAAGCAGCAAGTGCTTCAGCTACTTTCAGAAAAGCGAGAAAATCTGCGAATAAAAACATTACTGGAGACTGAAATGAGATTGCAACGCCAGATCGAGGTAATTTACATTTCAATCAATGATAACTTACTATGCTGCTAAAATTACTAATACATATTTCAATTTATGACTGTTGTACAGGAATTGGATACGGCCGCGGCTGCTTTTGAACTCGAACTAAATCAACCCGTTGAAGTACCAACGAATGTCACCACCTCTCTCATAAAAACACAGCCAGTATTAAAAACGGCAGTTTCTGATGCTATACCAGCATCTGCTGCTACAAAGCATGTACATATGTCAGCAGAGGCTTCTGTTGGGGGTTTTACCGAAAAATATATATTTTCACTGACAAACCCATCACTAATACAGCAATCAGCCGCACCAATTTTTGCAGAAACTACTTCATTGGCTGTTAATTTGCCAGTAGATGTAAAGCCCTTCAATACAGCGTATTCATACAACGAGGATTCATTTTCTGACATCTCGTCAATTCATCACGCGCCTTCATCTACTGTCTTACAGTCGATACCTCAAGATATCACGACTCAACCACCAATACTACCTGTGGTTGAAATCACTTTACCCAATATTCAAAAAAGCGTAGCCATGCCTTTATCCAAACCTCTTGAGAATCTCAATGATACTAGCTCAGACATTTCAGAAGATTTTGAATTTGAAGTCCAAGAAACTTTATCCGAAACTCCACTTTTTAGTTCGGTTATACCTAAATCATTTGAAATTTCTGCACCTGCATTAGTTTCCAATACTGATGCATCATCAATCATTGACACACCAACACCTTCTCTTCCAAATGCAGCTGCTTCATCTGAACAGTCAAAAATCGACACTCAACCTGTGATTTCGACCCAATCATTTTATAGCAACGGTAGTTTAAATTCAATCGCTGAAGCAGAGACCCAGTCCATTGTTATTTCAGCGCAAACTACAAAAAATGACAAGTTATCAATTTTTGACAACTTGATATTGAATCCTGTTGATTCTATGCCGTCGCAAAACGATACTGACGCAATACAGCCTATTTTTTCTGTTTTAAAGTCAAATACCAATGCAACAGATTCTACTGAAACATTGATAAAGGTTGGTGTTGTAGATAATGTTGACGATGATTCATCAGATAGTATTTCTGAAGAGTTGAACTTTGAAGATGATACGGCCAGTCCGACCAACGCTGTTTCCTCTGATCTCAAAGCTGACTTGACAGTTTCTGCACAAATTGTAATGCCAGACCAAGAAAAATCTGGTTTTACTCTCAAAATTTCCAACGATTCAATCAAGCCATCAGCAAAGTCTGAACCGCCAAATAAACTTTCTACAGGCTCAGATATGCTTGTCATCAACTCAACATCAATAGAGTCTGTTGACTCAAAACCGGAAATTTGTCAAAATCATTCAAAATCAATCGAGAAAGAAACACCACAAAATGCTCCAGCTGAAGTTGATTTGAACAAACTTGCATCATGCTTGAATGTGACATTTGAACAATCAAATACTGATCAACACTCTTTAATTTCTGACTCATTGGCGTCAACCAAACTTTCAAATCTAGATCTTCCATTGCTTCCAAAAAAAATGTTTTCCGATGAAACCATTGATTTTATCACCGACTCGATATTTGAGAAATTATTAGCTGATACAATATCCAAGATTAAAACATGTCCTCCTCATCAGTATGTATCCAATATCCATTCGACATGTCCTCCCACATCGATCATTCCGACAACCGTTCCATCTTTAAAATCGATTAAGAAAGAAGTAGTATTTAAACCGACATCACTCGCAGGTATTATGGACATACTTGTTACCATACTGGAAAATTTAGACTTTCCTTTGAATGGCCATGGATATACTTGTGCTCCATTTCTACATTTTTCTATTCTCGACAAGCTCTCTTATACCATCGATAACACAGTACTAGAAATACGCGAGCTAGTTCTTGCTGTAGCCAACGAGACCCTATATAATTTATTTGAACTACACAGACAGTATGATGATCCCATAAGACCTTTTTTAAAAAAACAGCCATTGAAACCACATGCAATAACTCGTCCAGCACTTTTAACTGCAGTCACAAAGGCTGTAAAAGACTACGTCGAGTATTCAGATATTCATGATGAAAACCTGGATGTGTTGCTTATTGAAGAAATTAAAAGAAACGAGCGAGACTGGCTTGCATTGGATATTCCAGAAGCTATGATACGACTCAGACTTGAAGAGGAGATATGGGATGAGCTAATTGGTGATACTGTTTTGGCTGTTGGTGGTGCTTTTGGCTAATCTCGATCTGATGTGTGCTAGAAGTTTATAAATGACTCATCGTCTCATAAGCTAACCCATTTAGCACAATTGTTTATTAAATTGATAAAATAAAGCCTTCGTTTATATATCGACTTGAATTAGATTTCAAACTCTTTATCCTAAATATGGTTTTGGTTAGTCTAGATCATATAGACACGTGTTGATTAACTTGACTGGGATATGAGTCGAGGTCGAGTCACAATGAAGAGTTGTGGGTGCTGCAATAGGCTTAGCATCAGCAACTGTATTTTGCTCAACTTCTATCCCTGTTGTAGAAAGTGCTGCCAAAATATCTTTTTTTGGCATAATATCTACCACCACATTCCCATTGACTCGATGTGCTGTAACAGTATGGGCATTGTCTTGCTTGCCAGCGTCAACGACCAAGTCGGGATCTTCATCCATGCTATACGTATTTTCTATGGTGTTCAAAATTTGAACTGTTGAGCTGCCATCTTGGTGAACTACAGTGATTTTGTTCCATAACTGAGACGTAGTCTTGTATACCACCAGCACTCCGTTTGAATCAGAAATATCAAATGGTTGTATACGCGCAGTATCAATCTGTGATTCAAACTTGAGATGAAGCTTCCATTCTACTCCACTAGCATCCCTAAATCCAATGCTTGTCTAAAATGCATTGTGTAATCATTTAAATTCCAAATTAGACGACTGAAATACGTAAAACAATAAAGGTTTGGCAAAAATATACATTGAAAATACCTCTTCAGCTTCGATAAAAATATCTAAAGAATCTTGAGCAATATTGGCCACATCAACAACAATAGTGGTATGCATAGCTGATTGGGTGATGTGAAACGGTGGAATTTGCGATTTGGATTGCGTGATTTTGAGTTGGTCTGTAAACTGCTCTACCAAAGCAGAAACATCCTTTTGAGAACTAATGTTTTGGACAGACTCGTTTGATTCAGATGCAAGTTGAGATGAGACTTCAGCCGCCAATTCCATTGGCTGATTTTCAATTTCATCAGAATCTGTTTTCTCTATAAAACCAAAAGTTAATGTGTGCTTTTTTCACTCTTTTTAATGAAAAGCAATTTATAATATTACTTGGAAGCAAGCTTGCAACGGTTTCTGATCCAAGCACACTGATCAACGGATTAGTATTCGTTGCTGATATATCTTCAACCAAAGACTCAATGGGCTCGTCCTCTTGCTTTACAAAAGTGATATCCTCATGATCAGCCTATTAACAGTCAATCACAATACAGTTAAAACCAAGCACCAATCACTCTCAAAAATTATGTATAATACTGACATTAAAAATATATATCCGATCATCTATTGCAACTTACCAGTTTACAAGGCGCGGGAACAACCGGAAGAGTAATTACGAGATCTGATTTGCTTTTATCAAACTTTGCATCGCCCTTTTCGTTAAAAACTGGGAACGGCAAGTCAATGTGTAATTTGTATTTTTCAGAAACTACTAAATTCAAGGTCATTGGATCAACATCCAGATCTGCTTCAGACGCAGATGCCTAAATATGGTTTAAAAACAGCCAACCCATTACTAATTTTAAAAAAGTGCACCGTGCATAGTTTGTTTGGTTACTTACGATTCCAGGCAGAGATATTCGAATAACGATCTTGTCTGGACGTGCTCCATTATGCTTTTCTCGTTCGCTTGTAAACTTTTGATAATCATCAAAAAGTTGTTGGTGCACGATTGTATATTCAGGGACTTTTGGTCCAATTTGTACATTGGCTACAGGTATCTGCTTGGTGTCAATGGTATTTTTTTCAGCCATACTTTTTTTCTGTTTCTGTATTTTTTCAATAAACTCGATAGATGTTTCTACATTAGATCTAGCGGGTGAATCTCTTTTCGTTCTAATCATTGTCATTGCAGGTGTTCCTTTACACTTCATCTGAATTTGCTTATAATCTACATCAAGCATGCAACATTTTGCTCAAGGTGAGCAACACTGTTTAAAATACAGAAACCGCGAAATCTAAATTCAAAAACATCAACCAACCTCTTTTCAGTTTGACGTTAAATTGCTTCTCGATTCCCTCAATTGCTGTAGATTCCAATAATCTGGAAAATGCTGGGTAACTTGAGCCCATCTTGAGTGTATCTGGGTGAAACACACAATCGTATACTTGGCAAGGTTTTTTGGCTTAAAACGGTGTTAAAATTGAAGAATCAAAAGATAAGAGTCGTTAGGTAAAATCTATGAATTGCAGTTTTAAAACTATCAGTAGTACAGTAAATCACACCATTATCAACATCATCGCGAGGAGATGCAAGACTATACGGGATATTCCAATGTTTTCCGCCAGGTTTTGAAAAACTTTTGGAAGTACTTTGAGCAGCAGCCTCGATTTCGACAGATGAACACATGTTGATAAAAACCTTTACTGGAGACTCGAAAGTATCTGTAGCAGTCTTGATAACATAAACTCCAATAGGCTTAACATATCGAACATCGTTTCCCTTTTCTGACTCTAGCATTGATAGCTCATGCTCATAAATCTGAATGAATTGAGCAAAACTCCGACACGATTTAGTTGCATGTATCTGGTAGGTAGTCAACTCATAGTGCTAAACAAGTGATTCAATACCTCTCTGTTTTTAGGATCCGAAAGTTCGTTCATATAATCAAAAAACAGCGTGCGGAATTCCTTGTCCTTGAATGATTCTTGAAATCGCTTCAGCTCCTATTGGTCAAATGTATTCATAATATGTAAAAATGGAATATCTCTGATTCATATTACTTGAATTATTTATATTTAATTAAATTGGCTGCAATATATATTATACATACATCCGCAGTCATGGTGACCTTGTTGCCATCATCTGCTTTAGTATTTGTCATGTTAAAATTTGCTGATTAAAGTCGACAACTCGAATTTTCAACATCAATTACAGAGCAATATCACGTGATACATTATTTGACTTTTTAAAATTTGGTCAAATCCAGTTGTATTCATATAAAATGGAATACTGTTTTATATTGCCTTTTGATTTTGAAAATGTGATCGTTAAATATTCATTGTAATTGACTATTATCGATTGACTTTGTCATTTTCAATCCTTGAATAAACACAACATTCATCATATATATCCTAAAACCTCGGATACGTTTTAATTCAAAAAATAAAGACTGCACTCAGGAATGCAACTCTACATGCCAATCACCAGGAAATCAGTAAACCAAAGAGTTTAAAAACAACATTCAATAAATTGACACCAGTTATTCCATGAGATTGACTGTTTATTAGACATTTATTTTTAGTATTCCATTTTACGTGAATACAGCAAGTAATCCACAAACTTGTCAAATAATGGCACAACAACACCAAGGATCCTTGTTGGGTGCGCTTGCACATCTCACTAAAATGGAGCAGCGACCTGATGTTCAACAGCAGCAGAATACACCTCAATCATATCATCAGTACCCAGTGCAGCATCATCAACCAGATGCATCGTTTGGTTATAACGGAATTTCAAATGAACACACCAACCCACAAAGCTATCAGCACCGGAATAATAGAAATACTCATCAATGGAATGCTACTGAGCGAGGTGGTAAGAATAGAAGAGGTGGTGACCGGAGTAATAGAGGTGGGAATCGTCAGTTTCAATCCAATCCAGTCCAGTTTTCTAGACAGAATGCATATCGTAAGGTGTGTTGCATTCACATATATACAACTGGATTCAGTCCATTTTACTGTATTGTCATGTACTGTACTTTTGCTACTTGTAAGCAACGTCATGATGTAATGACTAACTGAGTTTTGACATGATCAACGAGCAGAAACAGGATATTCATTCCAATCAGGAAATGGGTCCTAAAGTTGGACCAGCTGGGGAGCGAATCTGGCAGATAGGAAGAGGAGTGTATATGATTGATGGAGACGAAGCATATTTCAAGCACTCGTTCATAGACGATCCTTGGCTGCTGCTGGTGCAACAGAAAGCTGGATCTCAGCATTCTATATATTCAAGCACTCCATCTTAGGCAATGACCCATTTACTCAACACACAACTTTATTGTTTCCATTCAACAATCTCAACGTCATTAAATCTAGTCAGAATCATCAAACTTGATAGAGTGAACAGCATTCGAATTGATCACACCACCTCGATAGCTTCCACGCTTTTTCTATACAAAAGTAACAAGTATTGAAATAAAAGTGTGTGGAATCAATAGTTTAGCATCATCGCTTCAATAATTTATGCAGCTATCTATTCCAGAAAATGAGATGCATTTCTATGCAAACACGATATATATGGGCTGATCTACAAGCTTAAATTCACCTTGTTTTTCTCTTTTGTAAATCCTTTGCCACGTGTAACAATCAGATCCATATGTGCCTTGTAACCATAGTCGCCATCAGCACCACCCTAAACACAAATGCAATAGGTTTTAACGTTAGTTGTGCAAAACAAACGTAAGATCTAATTAAACTTCAATTTGATTCAAGGCATGTATTGAAATTTTACCTTTGATACAAACCGGTTATCCTTGAGTTTTTCGTCAGCAAACTCGACCTCTTCAGCACGTACACGCTGGAAACGTTGCTGGATCGCATCTACTTTATATCGTTTACCCGACGAGGTACTTGGAGGTGTATTAGCTTTTTCAGCTTTACGCTTTAGTCCGCTGATTGGAGTTGATGTGGAAATAGCTTCTTTTTCAACAGTTTCACTACTCGAAGATGTAGTGCATTTTGTGGAGCTAGAGCTTTTTTTGGATTTACTCTTTTTTAAAGACTTACTTTTGGACTTGGACGAATTCGAAGAGCTGTCAGACTTTGCTTTGGTAGGCACATCAGAATCTGATGAATCCGACGAATCTGACGAGCTACTATCAGACTTTGCTTTGGTAGGAACATCAGAATCTGATGAATCCGACGAATCTGATGAGCTACTATCAGACTTTGCTTTGGTAGGCACATCAGAATCTGATGAATCTGATGAATCTGACGAGCTACTATCAGACTTTGCTTTGGTAGGCACATCAGAATCCGACGAATCCGACGAGCTACTATCAGACTTTGCTTTGGCAGGCACATCAGAATCTGACGAATCTGACAAGCTACTATCAGACTTTGCTTTGGTAGGAACATCAGAATCTGATGAATCCGATGAATCCGACGAGCTACTATCAGACTTTGCTTTGGTAGGCACATCAGAATCTGACGAATCCGATGAATCTGACGAGCTACTATCAGACTTTGCTTTGGTAGGAACATCAGAATCTGACGAATCCGATGAATCTGACGAGCTACTATCAGACTTTGCTTTGGTAGGAACATCAGAATCTGATGAATCCGATGAATCCGACGAGCTACTATCAGACTTTGCTTTGGCAGGCACATCAGAATCTGACGAATCTGACAAGCTACTATCAGACTTTGCTTTGGTAGGAACATCAGAATCTGATGAATCCGATGAATCCGACGAGCTACTATCAGACTTTGCTTTGGTAGGCACATCAGAATCTGACGAATCCGATGAATCTGATGAGCTACTATCAGACTTTGCTTTGGTAGGCACATCAGAATCTGACGAATCCGACGAGCTACTATCAGACTTTGCTTTGGCAGGCACATCAGAATCTGATGAATCAGACGAGCTACTATATATTAAAAAAATGTTAAATTATAAATATATAAAATGCGATCACACGTTTAACTCGACAGAGATAACGGTCCAAAATCTACTTACGAAGAAGAACTCGATGATGAACTGGTCACAGTCTTCTTCTTCTATACAAGCATACATACAAGTTAGTAAACTTAGTATAGTTGACTGATTGCATCACCAATACAAAATTTAAATGTACTTTGATGATTTTAAAGTACTGTTTGATTCATTAGCAGAATAGTAGATAGTATACATATTACTATAAAGTCAACATATACATACAGCTGAAACTGAATGATTTGATACACTCTTTTTTGAAGCACTGGCTGTAGTAGACTTTTTGCTACTTCCATTGGTAGCTGTTTTTTTCAAGATAAATCCTGCCATTTTGAAGGTGAGTCGAGGCAAGAATTTTTTTGCAAAAATCGAAATTTGACTTGAATGGATAAAATAAAATGCCTCGTTTGGTTGTAGGACTCGTATGAACAAGATTGCCAATAGCCAGTCTTACCAGTTGAATACGCTCATATATTGCTCATCACTAATAAAGACAACTGCATTGCTGATATCTCTAGCAAGTATTCAAACCCAACGACTGATGTCTAATTTTTCAATTATATTAAACCAAAACAGAAACAAATGTACCAAAGAATGTGAATTTCATTTAGAAAAGACGAGGCTCAAGCTCCCATGCACTATTACGAGAAAACTGCAGTGGTGCCTTAGCCTCGGCCTTGAAAACACACGCAACACAGTCCAGCAAAAGTGCATTAGATTCGCAGTATAATGTTAACATAGACCCATAGGTTATGCAGAAAGTAGGATCAAATGTTCAGTAAACAGATATCCAAGATTCCAGATCCCAGTAAACGTATATTATAGTCCAGTATAAAAACAAAAGGTAGAAAACAGTCAGTAGTGCATTCGACAGTAAGCATGGTACTGGAGTGGAGTGGTACAGCATACAGGCTGAACTGTGTCATAGACAGCCGATAATAGCTGTTATTGATGCGAAACTCATACCATTTGTACGTTCACATTGCCAGTCAGACGGCCATCTCGCTCCATCATCCTGCGATCCCACTTGTCAACACCCCAACGATGGGGCTAAGATAGTTGTGTTCAACAATTGAAACAGGTTAGCAGGCAGCTCCAACTTGAATAGAATCCACTCGGTGCTGTTGAGAGCAATCCTGACATCTCACCTTGTCATCGTTCTCATAGGTTTGCATTGCTTTTATACCAAATGAAGTGGCAGCAGTGACCAAACCAATCGCAACAAGTGCTGACAGAGCTTCAGCAGGGAAGGTCCATTTGGCGGACACTCGATTAATCATTTCGTTGTTACGAGACTTGTTGGGAAAGTCGAGTTTTTGTTGATTTGAACAGCTGCCAATATATAAGCAATTGATACGCTCAAGTCTAACTCTACTAATCAATATACATGTTAAAAAACAGTATTGTACGTTTATATATCCAACTACTCATTACTTCTTGTGTTGTTTAGTTGCTGCATACGCAGCAAAGTGTTCATTTAAAAATCAACAAATATACTACTAGATAGCATTATGAATATGCAAAAGTCTAGTTATTCTACTGCTTTGTAAAACAAAATAACAGATTCGATCATCAAACCTGAGGTTGATTGAATTCAGATTGGGTTACAAATATACACCCAAATAATTCTAACCGCAACAAAATGTCAGCCAAAATATCTATCGCTGATAAACAACAGCCATGGAGACCTGTCAATAAAAAATCCTTGGATGAAAGCACTACATTCACTTCACTTCATACTGGACCAGATCCATTACTGATATTGGCACGGTCGTCGCGTCCATCAGTATCTAGTGTAGTAAATACTTTACAGGAGGAGCTTTTCGATGTTCTGCATGCCAAGTCATCATTAAGCACTCGTGCTCATAATAAATATCATGTATCTGCTGGAACGCAAAGGATAACTAAACCCCGCATTTCACTCAAACCACATTGCTCTGCTTCTTACTTTCTTCAAATTACATCAACCTGGGACAAAGTGAGTGATATTACTATTTTAAATATCTCGGTCAAACTATTTCAATTCACTCATTAATACATTTGAACATGCAATGTTATATGAACTGTATTGGGATCGATATGGCATTTTCAATTTCTAAATGGGCAGGGAAACCGCTCAGTCCGTGAAAAAATACTGAGAGAATTTGTTGCCAGCAATGACAATAAAATTGGTCCACAAATTGAAAAGGAATTTGGAAACGGAGCAAGTTTATTTTTGACTCGCATTTCAGCATGGCTTCGATTAACGCAAGTATATCGGCATGGACATAATATACATTGAGTTCATGGTCAGTTTGTCACGATTGATTCTAATACCTATTACAATTTAAATCGATTTATAGATACTTGTTATCATACGATCTGGCTTTGCAAATTCGGGCAATTACAATCTTTGTGTCTGCATCGAGTGGAAACAGGTTTATGTGTGAATTTCTGGAAATTGGAGGAATACTAACTATTTTAGAGATTTTATCCCTTCCACGTGCTAAAGAAGTATGACTGGATTTTAAAGCGATCATGTATAAAAAGCCTATTTTAACATGACACATATTTGAATGAACCAATATCAGAGAGACAAGGCAGAAGCACTTCGGCTCATACAGTGTGTCGCAAACAGTGGTCGTAAATATAAGGAATTTATTTGCGAAAGTTTTGGTATGCATTGTTGGTTTAGACTATCCAAACATGATAAACTATTGTCAAATAGATTGACCAATAGAATGAAAAGGTGTTCGCCAAGTAACAGAGTGCCTGTCAAAATCACGCTCAGAAATCACCCAAGACTATGCTCGCAATCTATTGACAGAACTTGGAACGGTAAAGCACCATTATCAGCTCAATATCATCTATTTTTCAAACACAATTATTTATTATTTGATAAATTATACAACATATATACTAAAGGGTAATCCGAAATTTCACATGCAAGTATTTAAGGGATTACAGTCTCTACTTAGCTCTCAAGCAGTATCGCCTACTGCTCAACAAATGTCTGGACAAGCAATTCGATCGCTTTTGGTTTGTATTATACAGCACATTGTACAACTTTAATATATTCTTTATCTGATGGCTGTATTCTTGAATTTTCGGCTCAATTTCATTTTAGCCATCAATTCCAAATGTTCCACTAAATTTTATCGATCCAACATTGGCCCTTTTAAAAAGTCCACACATTCAAGTTCAGTACGAAGGATATGAGATTCTTAAAGAGCTTATTACACGACCGCCTCTACAAGATCTCCTTTTGACGCAATTGATTGCAATACTTTGTAACATTGTAGATGACAAAACAGATGACGTATCTGATGGTAAAAATACATTTATAATAATGAATTGGTGGTGATTTGAATCAATTGACTCGAGTATACAATCTAATTTTTGAAATAGATCGACATCGTAGAACCAAATCGGATCAAAAGGGCCTTGTTGGTCAATGGAATGAAATATCTGTAGAAGAGCAAAAGGAAAAACAGGTCATCATGTCTGGATATATTCAACAGGCATATGTCGCAAAACTTTTGGGGTATATTCGTTTAATCTCTGCTTTGCTTACCATTTCAGTAAAAATGTCGTGTATTCTTACATATGCATTATCACTACATGTATCTATTGCTTGAATATGTCAGGATTGTGGCAGCCACTGACAAAGAGCTAGCTGAACGTATGGTGCAGCTTCAGCTGATTAGGGGTTTATTAAATGTAGTTGCGAATATTAGCCATCCTGAAAGCCAGAAATATGCAACCAACACTCTTTTGGTGAGTTTGCTGCATCAGCCGATGTTTTATATTTCACCAAGTCTAATCGTTTTTAATATGCATTTCAGTATTTTGTTTCAAGCATTGACTATGTTGGCGCTTTTTTGAAAGAACACATGGGATCAAACTTTTTTGACTTGCTCGAGGTATAGTATGTTTTAAACTAAATCATCTTTGTTGGTATATATTAGACATTGATCTTTTGAGTTTCTACTTATTTAAACTAACAATATTTTAGAATCGACCAGATACATTTTATCGAGAGCTTACCAAAGAACAAGTGCGATATTTGCGAAGGAATACATTTAAAATCAAAAGGGTTAATAGTCGACACTCGCTTGCAAGTTCGGGCTCGGGATCAGAAAGTTCTGATGATGAGTCGGGGTAAATAACAACAGAAATCAATGGCTAAATCTTGGAATCCATTTGGTGCTGAATTTTTATTGAATGTATTAGACAAAAAACAGGCAGACACAGTGGATACTCCAAAAAGGACATTGCATCATTTCCGTCTACAAAGTTAGTAAGAGTTAAAATAGCATGCTATTCAAAGCCACCATCTATTACTAACGTATCAAACGTATCTTACATTTGTTGGTAACTTCAGAGATGAAACGACACAAAGGTAAAATTCAAAGCTTGGGTTCTGTAATCAATGTATTCTGACCATTACGATTGCTATTATTAGTGCACAAAAAGAGCAAAAGCTAGTTGAAAATTTCTATGCTCCAAATGTGGAAACCAAGGCAAACCAAGAAACCATTATGGACGGTTACGAAAATACTGATATAGTAGGTTTATTATAACAATATACTCTTGTCATTGCAAATATTGGATAAATACACCATCAATATGAGCAAGCCAATAATATTTGCATGCTGTTTTGTTAAACATTACTTTAGGGTGCTGGCAATGCTCCACCGATTGAAAATCTATATACCCCATTTTTACAAGCGACTACCAAAACTACGTTTGCAGTAAGTGGTGTTTTTTGAAAAATCCAACAATCATTGAAAACATTCTTACTGCGTTAAATAGGGAAATAAATACGCTACGGGTGTATCTTTAAATGAAGGAACTAAAGTGTTTTCCACAGAACTCGATAAATTCCGGTGAGAACTTTGCCGAAAATGCAGCGTTAAACCTTTTATTTGTCGACTAAGCTCACAATTGTTTAAAACTAAATCACCATTACAACTCACCATCATAGGGTCACTGCATTCAAGAACAAGAAACGAGATGGTAAAAAGGAATTCGAAGCAACGTATCAAGATGAGATGCAAGCACGTTTAACAAACATGAAAACGGATCCAAAACTATTCAGCAAAGAAATGGCAATTAATGGTATACAAAATATGTATTGTTTTATTTAAAGTTTAGTCCAAACTTCAAGTTTTTTGTATTTACGAATAGAAATTATGAAATTGAATTATGTTCTGTAGGTGATATGGAGCGCAAACGTGTGCCCATGCCAAGACCCAAATCCAAAAAAGATGCAGATCGAATCTCAAAGTGTGGTGCATTAATCCCACTTTCACCTAATCCAGAAGACCCTACAAATGTCAATTTTCTTTTGGATATACCAAATCCAGATCAATCTCAAAATATAGAAAATGATCTGAACAACAGCGGGGAGACTCAAGAGCCGTTTAATGAAACGGCATCATTATTGGAAATATCTGGAAAGCAAGATTTTTTTCCAGAAGAAGTAATCGAAACAGTTAGTACTATTTAATTTGAATGATTGACTAGCAGAATTACAAATCGGCTTTGATGATTAAATATGCGTTGTAATGATTACATGTGATGCCTGCTAATTATCATAAACTCACAAAATATAGCCGTATGAACATCACTACTCGTCAGGAAATATATCATATCGATCATCACTGTCATCAAATGCTAGTGATGGTGATGACGAAATTATTGGAGAAGAGCAAGATTATTTCGTAGCACTTGTTCATCCAGAACATGTCGAAGAGGCTGTTGGTGATGTGATCAAAGAGACTATTGATGATGTGGTCGAAGAAGAAGAAGAAGCCACAGAAGTAGTATAAGAAGAGCACCAAATGATACTGTTTTCCTTGGATGAGAATATCGACTAAAATCAGTTCAAATGCTAACCTTGAAAATAAAGCATATTCAAAATTAAAGTACAATTCGATTGCATTTTATTATACACTAAACCATACAAAATGACTGGCATTCTGACATTGAATTAAGATGGATAGAATTAATGGTGTTGAAAACTGTTTACCACTTGTTATGATGGAAATTGAGAATTACTTGTTTGAGCCAATACAGTGTGATGGAGTGATGGAAATACTCGAAATACACACAATACAACTCTTGCAGCAGTGTATGAAACTATCAAGCATGGCATGGTATGGTATGAAGGGTGTAGATTAGACTTGATAACAATGTGTACAATTTGGACTTTTAAATTCGGAAATAGCAGCTCTGTTCCAACATCCCATTGATTGTAAATGTCGAGGTTGTTTAACCTTGTACAAATGACCATTTCACATGCAACTTTAGCCTGATGTTGAGTATTTTCAAATGAATGCAAGCTTGCGACACTCGCTTGACTCGTTTGGCTTGGATTCTGGTTGATATTTACGATATCAATGCAAAGTTGCATTCCAGAATGAATGTGTATAATCTGATGTGGTCAATCGTTTGGTTTTATTGTTATCAGTCATTGACACCAGTGATTGCATTGATTGCAAATAGTAGTCCAAGTAATCATGCATAAACAAACACCTGATAGTCACTGATAAACTGATGGTATCCAATGTATACATGACACATTGTATAGTTACATTTAATTGCCAGCAATGTGTGATTGGATTACTCGAGTCATCAAGCAGTTTTCAAGCAGTTTTCAAACAGTTTTCAAGAACAATCAAGTCATGTCCAATAAACTGTCTGATGTGCAGGTGTTTTGGCATTGGTCCGTTGGTCCATTAGTACGATTGTTGGTTGGCAACTCGGACTTGTAAATGACAATTGATTCTTGATTGTTGCATTGGTGTCCATATGTATCCATATGTGACTCATTGTATACGGAACAGGACTGACAAGTGTGTCTGAATTGATGACAAATGATACAGCCTATCCAGTAAAAAGTAATACATTGATCGTGTCTGTGTGGTAATAAGCTTTATAACTCCCACTTCTGAATGTATGAGAATCAACTTTCAAACAACGGATACGTCCAATGACTTTTGCAAATGCATTGATGTAGAACAACAGCATATACGATGGGAATGGCTCCAATCGCACGATAAAGCACTTGAATTTGCAAAGTATGCTTTATTTTCAAGGTTAGCATTTGAGCTGGTTTTAGCCGATATTCTCATCCAAGAAAAACGGTATCATTTGGTGCTCTTCTTATACTACTCACAAACTTGCCTAGCACTGACATGGTGTTGATTTTAAAGACATCCAAGAGCACAATGGTAATTTTTCTAGATAAAAAGGTACTCGAATCGAGATATTGTTAATATTCGCTGTGCTCTCCTATTAAAGATTGGCTTTCAACTCTTCAATAAACACAGCGTTCATCATATGATATTCATAGAATCAAGTTATAGTCTTGAACAAAGATTATCTTCTGTTTTGACATAAACATATACAATCATCGAGTTTGAACCCAGACTCATGTATTGCAACCCAGATATTGAACTCGACTGTTTGATGTTTTCAAAAAAACTATACCAACTCCTGTATCCCAAAATCTCATGCGTTCGCGTTTTAATTCAAGAAAACAAAAATCGCACATCTCGGTAACTCAAATAGTTGCTTCCATGACAATCATCAAGAAAAGTCAGGCATTTAGAGAGTTCAAAACACAATAATGTCCAGTAAATCATCATTTCATGAAACTGGCTATTAAACTGTAGTATCTTTTTGTTGACATGTAAAAGTAAAAATGATTTAGATGAACAGGAAAACCACAAGGGGTAAATAAAATTGAGTAATAGATATATATTCAATTGACTTGAATGACTTTCAATATCATAACCCTATTGAAAAGTGGATAGCTTTAAAGTATGAGCTGGATAGCCAAGCAAGTGGGCGGTGATTGTAGGAAACATCAATTGATTTGAAAGCAATATACTATAAAAACTACATTTGTATTCCTATCAATCAAATCGGTTGTTTTATCCAAAATCTCAATTTGGGCGTTGTACAAATTCTCGTGGCTACTTTGTTATGCACCCTTAACCTGCCCATACGACGGCGTGTATAAGCCTACCTATCCAAAATAATACAACAATGGACATATTTGAAACATCGAATTGCTTCGACTCATAGTCAATGACAATCGTTTTGTCCAAAATATTGCAAGGGTGTAAAGATTAATATTAATCTTTTGAAACGCCAATATTGATATTTTATTTACCCTGCGACAGGTAAATTAAATTAATGTACTATCGCTAAACTTGTTACAATCCAAATACCAACTGATTCAGCATGGTTCTACTCCTTGCGTCGCTTGACTTCTCTCTGTCTATACGAACTAATACACCCCACATCAAACAGTAGATTTAAAAGTTAGTCGGTACTCTTGACAGACTCCTGCGCATAATCATAACCAGCAGTATGAATCAAAATTAACTTGCCATGATTGGAGTGAGTTCATAAAAGCAAGTACTTGCATATCTAGAGGCATATCTAAGCTATTTAGGCTTATATCTCTGGTATTTTCAACACAAATAGGTGTTTAGTGACAGAAAAGATCTAAAATTAAGGCTGGCTATAGCAAACTAGCTCTTGTCACGATTACAATATACTTGTAGACCTACAATTTCTGAAGCCGAGCAAGCTGAATGATTTCGCAGGGAACTGCCCCAGAAAACCGGTTAGAGCTTAGAACTCTAATGATTCAAATCATGGCATTACATATTAGTTGCAAAAAAACAAATTTGATTATAAAAGTCAATCTTTTGAAAAATGTAAGCCATACATGGACAAAAACGCTCGACTTACAAAACACTCAGTCGTGATAATCTACCAATCTCGGGCGGGATGCTCCCACTGAGTTGATTATAGTTGATTTTCCTAGTCAAATATTGATTAATAGTGTCAGTATGAAACAAACCACAAGTTGAATACGGCTTTATGTAGCATGGATAGTGTTCGAGTCAATACTACACGAAATGCGTTAAACTCACAGTTCAACTAGATTAGTTAGGTTTCCAATCTCTCCAGGCATAGACCCGACCAACTGATTGCTATATAGATTTCTGCAAATCAAATCAACTCATCAAATTAGAAACCACGTTCATGGGAGTCTCGGTACTTTAAAGTCATTCTCAACTCACAGCTTGGTCAAGTTGACTAGCAAGCAAACGTCGATAGGAAATCTTCCAGAAAGCCTGTTTTCGTACAAACCACTACCATCATAATCATACAAGTATCATCAGTATCTATAATCGCTATGCATCTTTGTAATAACAGGAACAACCTACAGATGGCACAAACGCTTTAGATTTCCGAGACGTGGAATCTCGCCTGTCAATTGATTATTATAAAGATTACTAGTTATGCATATAGAGAAAAGAAGTCAAAATCATGATAGAGTAGTTGTAGGTAGACTTGATAATGGTACTCACAGTTTGTTCAGCTTAGTGAGATTTCCAAGCTCATGAGGAATATGTCCACTCAAGTTGTTGGTGCTTAGGTTTCTGATAAAAATGCATTATTGGTGTCAGTGTTCAAGCTGTACATGACAAAAAATGTATCTAGTCAGTTCTCATACCAACCCAACCTACAATTCAGTCAAATTAACCAGCTTGCCAATCTCGGTAGGAATAGCACCTTGCAAGTCGTTTTGGTACAAAGATCTGATGTATATTCAACGCATTCATTAGTCAATCAACATCAGCTACAAATTATACTAGCAGCACAATAACGTACAGTTCAGATAGTTTTGTCAAATTCCCGATTTCTTTCGGAATGTTCCCAGTTAGATTATTTTTGAAAAGATCTCTGCTTTACCAACCATATCAATATTATCAAAGCAAGCAATTAGAAAAGGTCAATTTCCATCACATTAAGAGGCGGCTCATAAGATCGGAATTCACTATTTCCGTCTGAAAATAAATGAGCAATTTTTATATCAATATATATCAGCATAGGCTATTGATACTAGAGGAGTGGATGTTTTAAAATAGCACTTACAGCTCACAAAGATGATTGAGGTCTCCAATAGATGCGGGAATCTGGCCACCGATTCCATTGTTCCCCAATCGCCTAGTGACAGTATGAAATGGCCGTAATGAAATAATTGATATGAAATGACCGTAATGAAAAATTGATATGAAATGACCGTAATGAGATATGATTAATATGATTCTGTCGATGAGTAAGCAATATTCAACTGTCTTTATAAACTAATGAACTCTTACAAGATTTGCAATTGTTTCAATTTGCCCAGGTGCGGTGAAATCACACCATGAATCATTTTGGCCCCCAATCGACTATTCAAACTTGCTCTTAGTAATTCAAATCTTTTTCAACAGTCAGTTGCAGAGTACACCTTATTTTCTTACAGTTTGATTATGTTTCCAGATGCGTTGCATATAATGTACAGTTTATGCTGTTTAGATAGTGGTGTTTGTGAATTGATTCCCATCTGAGCGGTCCAGTTGGGAAGTGAGTCTACTAAGATTTGAATATCGGATATGTTTGATGTTGGTAGATTGGCCAAAGAGCAATTCGATTGTGAAGGAGGCTGCGGAGTAGATATGATAGGATGGCAATCTGATACAAGCCAGCGATTTCAAACGCATAAAGCACGGGTCAATGTATATGGATGGGTTGGTGAGCATATACCATCAGGGATGCATTCAAAGGGTTCCATGGCATATGAATGTAATTGTATATAGAAATACAACAGAAAAAGGTATTTATGAGTTGCAAGGAATCAACAAAGCACAAATTATAGCGTAGCCAAACGACACGATATACAGCGGAATAAGAAGCAATAAAAGCGACGAGATAATAATTGGAAAACAAATGCCATGGAAAACATATATCAGAGCAAATCGATCGGTCTTTTACCATGTTTCTTTGTACTATATCTCATAATTTCATGTCTATGTTTACCTTGAAACGCACCAAGCTGATTTAAATTATTATAATTGTCATCTCGAATAGCACTTGCAAATGTAGTAGTAGCTGTTGTACTCCATGCATTCGGCATTATTATTTTATCACCATCCTTATTAGATATGCTGGAATTTCTAGCATCAGAGTCGCTAAAAAACTCGGCCGAGGAAGGAGATATAATAGCACTGATGGACATGGCATTAGTTGCAACAGAAGCCATGCTCGACACAGATGGTTCATCTTTACCGCAGCCAGAACTCCCATCATGAACTCTAACCTCAATATTAGACATAGTGGCATGTTTCGAAAAATGCATCTCATCCTCATGGTCAAGAAAACCGTAAGTCATGACATTCTCTAATCGCTCCACAATATCCCATGCAGTTGGTCGTTGACGAATATCTGCATGCCACGCATCCGTTACAATTTGCCAGACGGTGCTAGTGACGTTGCCACCATCAGCATTAGAATAACAAGGTATGTACGGTCTTATTCCTTTGGAAATCCATTGAGCGATGACTTCTTCATCTCTCTCATGATGAAACGGTATCCATCCAGTCAAGATCTCATATGCAGTCATTCCAAATGAGAATATATCCGATGCCGGATGCTGGCAGTAATTCTGGTAATACCGCTCTGGCGCAACCCATCGATGGCTCGCATAGTATCTTTTGGACAGCTCTGATGAATTCATTGCGAGTGCAGATTTAGACATACTGGTGGCAGCATTAGTGCTCAACGAAATAGTTCTTGAAATACCCGAATCACTTATTGCGATCTTATCATCGTAGCCATACAGTACACCGCTAGCTCGCAATTCACCTTGAAGAATAGGTATCGGTTGACTATGCAAGTAAGCCAGTCCTTTGGCAATATCCAGCAGAAAACCAACTCTTGTCTCCATACTTGTCATGCTATTGCATCTCAGAAATTTGGTCAAATCCATTTTCATTAACGGCATGACCAAAAACGGAGAATCAGTATTCAAGCACACTCGCCATATCTTGACAATGTTAGGATGATCGAGTAAGTGAGCATGATCGATTTCAGATACTATTGTATCAACGGCATCTTGACTATACACACCATTGATCATTTGAATAGCAACATTACGATTACCCCATATGGCTTTATAGACAGTGCCCAGCCTTGTTTCATATAACACTGCGAAAGTCGACGATTCATTATTGTACACAAACTGAATATCACTGCGCTCAATTTCCCAGATTCTATGCGGTGCAAGTGCTCGCCCGCATCTAGATATAATACTAGATCGCTCTGAAATCAACAGCGATTTCAAATATAATCTTGAATCTGGAGGAAAATCAACACATTGCGTTTGCAGCGTACGTTCAATATCCACCAAAGTATCCATAAATTGTGATTGAATGTTTTTCAGGGAACCGTGTGTCTGTAGTAAACAAAAAAGCTGTGAACTGTCTTGCTGAATTGCAGCTGATATATTGTACTGTTCGATTAGTGGTGGTGAGCCACGCACTTCTGCCAGGGCAGAAATCTGATTACTAAACAAGACGATGGACTGGGAAGTAAGCACATGCTGTAGGATCTGACGGATGGGATTTTTTGCAGCATGCTCACGCATAAACGAATGAATCTGAACGAGGATTACATAGAATGCATCAATCTTGGAAATAATACTATTCACATTCACCTGTTGAGTACTTGATGACTGCTGTATATCTGAATGTTGTATATGTGGCCTTGTGATGTTGTTGATCTTCAAGGTTTCAAAGCTGGAATCATTGGAAGCTATGGCCACAAATTCCTGTTCCAAGTAACGGGAGCAGCATGACAATTGTTCGGTCATCATTTTGATAGTTTGAAGGTTGGCATGTAATGATTTGCTAATATTGTCGATGAGCTTGATGGTTTTATTGGACGCATATATGGCCTCTGGAAGCACGCATTGCGGTCGTGCTGATGTATGTGATCCAAGGATATCTGCTTTCGCACGCTTAAACATGACTGAAGTGTATCAGATGGTAACAATAGCAGCCTTCTCTAGATATGGTAGTGACAATCGTAATACTCTGTTCTTCCAAATATCTTGCTCAAGACACTGGATAATTAATGGCAAGTAGAAATTTTAAAGAAAAACTAAAGATGTCGAGTACAAGTCAAACCTTGAAGTCATCTTAAAGCATTACTATCAAACAGTTTTACTGCAAACTCATGAGTTGGCTTTTGAGATTTGCTTGACTGGACAAGCCTGGTGATTTATTCTGCATTCTGCTAGGCTTTTATCTGTTTAAAACTACAACAGTCTCTACTTTACCTATACGATGGACTTGGTTGAGTCTGCACATATCTTGGAATACAAGCCGTTTGATTCCAGAATTGTAGAATCGAAATCAAACCTACTTTTTGTGGTCTGCAGTAGATTCGCACTGCGCGAAATGTGTCAACAGCATCTGACAGCTATCAAAAATCGCATCAAAATTCAGCCATTTCATTCCCGACTCAAAAACTTTAAATTGGACTTTCATTTCAGTCGCGTTGACAGTTTTGAGAAAGTTCTTGTAAAACTGTACCATTGTTTATGCCACTGCCATCACTGGATTCAGTAACTTGGAATCGAGGGAAAGTATCAATAGCCGATACTGCTGTATCAAAAGAATTTGACACCAGATTTGTATTGTGTTGAAGCAATTAGACTCTAACCGTTTACGAACCGTTCAAATGATTAGCTTACATTGGTTGTAATATCCAAGCAGGGTATTATTCTATTCTAAACAATGCTAACACTATTGTGTCACACTGTACATCTCCTAATTCATATCCTTCTCATCATTATTAGCCCTTATGTTTCTATAATGACCACACTTATTTTAACATTGTACCCGGAGATAATTTAGCCAATAGGACGGATTCCAGCGGGTACAATAGCTTATTATCAAACACTACTTGTTTGAGGCTTAAGCCTCAAATAATCTATTACTATAAGAACTAAGATACTTTCGTATTAAATAAACATCCTCTGAATATCGTCTAACTATCATCTGATATAACTTTGTTATTATCTATTAAGTTCAACTCTTTATTTTGTTGACTTTGACTTATGTGACTACTTCCTGACTATCATTCAAGATCTCTTCTGGCCAATCTTTTCTATAGCGGCAGATTATACACTATTACATTATATTTTACTAATTGAAAGACAGTTTCTTTATCTCTATATTTCTTTTACGATAATCAAAAACCTTTAATAAAATACAACACCAACCAGCTTAAAAAGTGTAATCAGGATCAATTTAAAGTTTATTACTATCATTGGCATTTTGGATCTACAGTAAAGTCGTTGACAAATACTCCAGATTGAGCATTTGCACCTAAACCTCGCTTGGCAAATCCTTTTTGAATTTCGCAAAAATTGGCTCCTCCAAACAGTTGCTGGTCAGCGAGAATAATGGCATTGCGGGCAATCACCATGGTTGGATTGCAGGGCTGTAGCTTCATTCCTTGAACTACAAGCTTTAAAAATACGGTATTGCCTTTGCCAGATTCAGAGTTCATTAAATTGGGTTCAAACCCAAGCTTTTGCACCATGAGCCAGTATGCCTCCCAAAGTGCAATGGCCCAAGACTCGCCAATACTATGAACGCTATTTGTACGACCTGCGTCAGCATATGTTCTACGATTGACATTTACATTGGTGGTGTATGGAGCAGATCGCACGCCATTTTTACGATTACCAGTCGAGTATCCGCCAATAGGAAGCTCGGTTTCGGGTGTATCAGACACAACTGCCTCGAGAGCCAATGACAAAAAATCTGACCATCCCTCACCCATACCGCTAGATTCTTGCAGCTGAAGACAACTAGAGTCATCTGGTCCACCCGTCAATCGAGTTGATAATCCGTGAGTAAGCTCGTGAATAATAACGCTATTGTCCATGGATCCGTCAAGGTTGGGAGTCTTTGAAGTCCAGGTAAACATTCGCATAATCCCAGATGCACCATCAGGAGGAGTAGCAAAGTTGGCATTGTTTTTACCACTACCATCCTGAACCATAGCAACCACAGCATCGTTAGATTTTCCATTGTCGCCAATATTACTTGTTTGAAAATTTCCAGAAACCTCGTCAAATCCATATTTGAACATTATATCGTGGTAAAAGTTGACTAGGAAAAATATGTTGGTGATAGAAGAGGATATGTACTGGCTCGGATCTTGCGTGGCAAAGTCGGCTGTAAATTCAAACTTAAAGTCGGGAGCGGTCAGTATTCCAACATTGGGATCGTCATTCAAAGCTCTGTTGTCTTTAACCACTGCATTGTTGCCTTTAGACTGAGATACTGGTCCCTGTCCGAGACCATCGTCATGCCAGCCAAGTGGGGAAGAATCCTTGTCAATGGGATTTGAAATAAGCATTTGTGGGACAGTATCTGGATCAATGCCACCTAATGGAATCACAAAGTAGGACGAGCTTGGAATGTTGCCCGTTGGGGTTATCTTTTGCTGTTGGCGTCTGTCTTGGCGCGCTTGTCGTTTTTCGAGGTGCTTTTGATTTGGATCAGATTCGGTAACCAAAGCTCGACGAAGAAGCCTGACAGTACGGGTACCATCTGAATTGCTGGTTGCCGATGAAGACCAATCTTGGGACCCTATAATCTGTCCGTTGGTTTTATCGATGTATGCCACAACCCAAGAAATGCCAATTTCCAGATTCACCTCCCATACGCACTTGATGGAATCCTTGGTTTTATACAGTTTGTTCTTTACAGTTACAGTTTGTAAAGTCAAAGCATCCAATCCCGAAATAATTATAGTATTGTCTTGATCAATACTTTGACTTATATCCGATGACGTAAAGTTTTGCCCTAGTGAGGTTGTTAGAGCAATGACAGCATCAATGGGCGAAAGCTTTGATGCGTGGGTACATTTGTCCACTGTTGCTTTGAGCTCTTGCGTGACGTTGACCCACGAACTAGTTTGTCCGATCGGGTTACCAAATTTATCAGTATGAATTACGCCATGGGTGTTGGCAATATCGATACCATTGACTTTTTCAATAACATTACAGCGATAAAGCCCAGTACCCTGATCTTGTGGACTAGTTGTAGTTTACAATAGAAAGAATGGATATGCATTGTCAACAACTAGACTGATTCAAAACTCAGATTGAGTAAACACAATTCAAACAGGATAACTCACGAGGCCCTTTGCTGCATGGTAACGTTTTCCCCGAGAGTGAGCATACCTTCGAGCATGGTTAGAGCATTGTGTTGAATGTCCGTTGTGTTGAGTGTCGTATTGCGCCACTGGTCATTCAACGTGTAGTTGTATTTGATCTGAGGTGCATAATATCCTGGGAGCTGATACTTTTGTTCGGTTTGAGAATCTGAAGGTTTGATGGGTGCACCCATGACAAGCATGGCTGCTACACTAGCCAGAAATATCGTTTGAAAATACATTTTCAACTGTGTTGAAATACAGTACGTAACAAATATTTATAGAATGGTAAATGAATGTATTGTATAATACAGCCAGTAAATAGTCAGGACTAGATATACTTGAATGTGCAAAATAACCCTATGTTTTACAAGTTAAATATGCGAAATATTAAAATGTGCAATGAAGAGAAATAGGACGTAGATGATATAGTAAGAATAAGCTTTAAATATGATTTTTGTTTACAATATCAAGTTTCAGCCAGCAAGAATGTCTGCTGGAAATATTTTGGCGTATTGTAAACGGTGGTATGCTAAACTAATCAACAAATCGGCATTGCTTGGTTCTATACATTACAATCTACCACCACCAAAGCCACACTAACGACACCACAAAATGATTGAACGAAAATTTGAGTGGGTTGCTTGCTTAGCAGTAGTCTAATTTGAAATCTACATCAAAACAGTTGAGAGGCTTTCAAATAGTTGAAATAAATTCATAAGCCACATTCAATCGCCATCATAACAGCTCAATGTTGATACCAAATGCCTGATTTTCACTTGAACGCGCCATTGAAACGCAGATAAAGAGCTGCGGCGTATTGCAGCTGTATTCATGAATGTAACTTTATTTGTCTTGGAATAGACAATGGTTGAATATTCGCTGCGCCTTCCTATTAGACATTCTCAGTTCAATAAACAACGTTCATTATATGATGCACACGATCAAACTATCGCTTTCTCCACTTTGGCATAACTATGTATTGTACGATCACCAGATTCACCCATTGCAATGCATATATTGGACTATACTATTCAATAATACTCTACACACATTTTATGTAAATACAGCTGTGAAATGATGGTTGTTCTAGCCACTGCGTTTATGGTAATAAAATGTATTTGGTTTAAAGACCTGTCCAGGCATGATTTTTAAAAAGGTTGATTACTAGTCATGGTAATGTGACATGTACCACTTGGCCCAAAGCACAAACCATATCAAAGCTTATCGCTATATTCTGTGAGAGTATATTGTCTATTGGCAGTTTGCATGCTTTGTCCTGTGTTGTGTGCATTGAAACTATGATCCAAGAGTGCCATTTGTAACTGCAGTTTCCCCGCGAGATAGCTGCTGGTGCTCTATTTACTTGTACTACTAGACACGGATATGCTTTCCTGCTACATATATAAATCATTCAGGAATCCGCTGAATAACCCATCTACTTCTAACATACTTTTTTAATAACCAGCATGCAATACCTAAGTATTTGGATGGTGGCTTTACTGGCAGCTACTATCAGCGCGTCGGTTATCCCGTTTGCCACTGGTCCCACTTTAGTGCTGAATGAGGGAAACGAAAATGTGGAACCGCTTTTTAAATTAGCATCCAATGATGCTTCGTTTATGAATAATTATCCTGATAAACCAAAAGATACTCGATCTAACAGAATTTGGAAACGAAACTCTCCAACTCCACCTCAACCCGATGATGATGATCCTCCCTTTCCCAAAGTTTCCGATTTTCAATGATAAACAGCCAAGTCTGTAAACAACATTATTATTAAGAAATAAATTATCTAAAATTTTATTACATCTTGAAGCTGATTGGTTTATACTGAAATCTGGTTCATGATTGAAAATGTCTGGAGTGATGCTTTCATTTATTCGCAGTGTTTGAATAAATCCAAAAAGCATACAACTTGGTTGGATATGCAGGATCAAGATATATATACAATGCTTTATGCATTTATTCTCGAATTTGCATATTTCTTGTCCAAAACTATATTACTAGTTACGAGTATCATCTGTATTATGCTTTGGTGTATCGCCAATAGCCCTAAATAATGGACCAGATGTATCATATTTTTTTCAAATTACAATCAGTTGTACACAGCTTTCAAACCATCTACTAGTTCAACTCTAAAATGAGCTTAGTATTTGCCATCTATCTTTTAGTCTGTGCATTTGTACTTGACTGGTCGATTAAATGTGCCATGACAGTCAATCTACAGTTGATGATAGGCATTGTGTTGATAAACTGACAGTTGTCGTGTATCTTTTACAGAAACTAGCTTTATTTTTTATTCTACATAAAGCCTATAAAAACATACTATTTCCACCTTGCCCATTTAAACGGGAGTCTCGCTACAGCTTGGTTTAGTCTTTGGCCGCTTAGCTATCTCAGCCTCTAGACGAGCTAAAAATCCTTCAAGTGACTTTTCTTTCACCAGCTTAAGAAGATGATCTGCTTTTGGTGTAGGCATATCTCCTGAAAGATCCTTCAAATGCAAAGCTTGAGCTGTGATTTTTGAATATCTGCGCATATCTTTGTGCCATTTGACACGCATTTTCTCAGACTCTGGATTTGAAAGTGGCGTATATCCAGGTGGAAAAAGCTCGGCGGCTTCCTCATCAGTGATTTCGTCCCCATCAACGGCTTCCTCATCAGTGGCTTCGCCCCCATCAGTGATTTCATTTTCAAGTCGAGTCAAATCAGCACTAATTTTTACCTCATAGCTGGTTGATGGCTCAGCATCGGATGAATCGGGTACATTAACGGCCATAACATGCCCAAACAAAATTATAGAAACTGAGAGTAAAATTAGTTTCATGTTTTAAAAGTTGTCAACTGAATGTGCTTGTTATTGACAGAATTTAGCTAGTTTAAGTATCTGCAATGGCTTCATACATACACAGCATAATAGTAAAAGGGAATAATAGCATAAGCCCAGCATGATACGGTCGCCCTGAGTGCAGGGCGAGAGATTTGGTGCAATGGACAACTGTAAAGCATTTTTGTATAGTCTCCAATTTTGTGGAATGTTAGATTCAAGAGTCGAGATTGCACAAGTTTTTGGAATAAACTTGAATGTCAAGATATAAGATATTTGCATGCAGTACGCCATATTCAAACACGTAGACCAACAGTTCAAGTGGTTGCTATTGTAGTACTTGTATCGCCCCGACCTGAGCCATACCTGTTAGGGTTAGACGCACTAGTATCTAAAGATACAAGTACAGCTACGAGTTGATGATCTCGAGATGGTCGCGCTAAGACTCACTAGACACAACAATACTCAGACACCGCTATATAGTGAACCCAATCTATGATTTCAACAACTTCCATTATCAAGAGCATCTAGTATTATTTTGATAATACTTGAAACCAGGCTTTATACATTGCGGATTTACAACTTGGCCGACCAGACTCAAGATTCATGCAAATCCATCAAGAGCCCATGTTGAGGCTGCTTAATGCTGAACAGAGGGCACTGCTTGCTGCTTTATAAAGCAGCAGTTTAAAGCCATGAGATTGATTAGCAACCCAAATTCGGGTTTGAGTCCTGTGCTGTCAACTGCTTGCTATGGCTTTACACATTTGCAATATTTTAGGGTGTTTCAGCTTATTGCTTCCGCTTATAGTTTCAATTAACTAATAGTTTTGCTTCCAGTGGCTAAAACTCAATACTGGAGTTGAATAATCATCAGTTTATACTATTGATTATGGATAGTTCAAAAAACCGAAATAGAGTTCAACCTAAAGCCTTTGGATATGTTAATGCGTCATGTCCAACTGCAGTTCAAAGCCCTTTCAGTGTCGTTGGTGACCTGAATGACACTCGCCCTAATGATGCATTAAACGAGCGACCAGATACTAGCAGGCTGCAGTATGAAGGGAGTGACAATAGTAACCTAACCCTGAATTCGCCAAGCTCTAATACACCGCTTCTTAAGCACCATTCTGTCAGCCATTTAGAGCCAGGCAAAAGCGATGTGCAATTAATCGATCAGCCCAAAAAACCACCTGTGCATCCTGAATTCTTTACTGTTCAATTACCGCTGAGTGATTCTGAAAATGATACCAGAAAGTCTACTCTAGCATTCAAGACACCCATTACTAGGCATGCCAAACTTGCTCATTTGGATGGACTGCGTGGTATTGCTGCTCTCTGGGTGTTCTTTATTCATTATTTAGACAACCGCTCTCCAAAGCTTTTGAATGTAATGGATCTCCTTGTTAAATATTGACGACATGTATACGGTACTATCATTTGCAGTATGTAATGTTAACTTTGTATATTTGCTTGATTTCAAGTTCCTTCTCGGATACCAATCTTGGAAAGCAAGGTTGGTTTTATAATCTGATTTACAATTATTCTTTAAACTTTGTCATATGCCTTGCCAAGCTATTGATCTTTAGTGTTTTTACTCATTCAATCATGATTCAAATTGGATTGCCATGATAAAAAGCGTCCCAATATTCTTTATTTTGAGTGGTCGAGTGCTTACGGTTTCCGTGCTCAGAACTGGCAACTTTCGTCAACTTGCATCGGCCATTATTCGACGTCCATTTCGGTTACTTGTGCCTATGTATATTTTAATTATTCTCGACAACATGCTAATTCATTATGGTAATGTCTGATTGTTTAAAGCTTATCTTTTGGTCCAACGTTTACAAACTTGTATGGAATCCAAGCTAATATCTATGTTTCAAAAACTTGCACTGACTGTTACTTTGTTAATAGAGAGACCCGTTAACTCGCTGTTTGAGCTTATTTTCTCCCCGCTGTGGTTTATTGTACGTAGCAGTGACTATCTTGCAGCTGGTGTGTAGTGAGTATGTTTCGCGTAGTAGTATGTCGCTAACTAAACTCTAAATGATATAGTTTGGTTCCATCAATGTCCCCGATATAATAACGGGTGTTGTTTGGACTCTTAGACAAGGTAACCCAAATTTTGTTGCCTGTGATTGCTGGATATACAGTAAATTTATTTTTTAGAGCCGTATTCATGCAAATAGAGCACTTGTATCCAACAGTGATCCTATTATTTAGAATATGTACCATGGTTGGATATTTGTTGTGTCTTTCTGTTAGAAGTTGATTACTCTTTCAATAGACAATGTCCATCATAGATGCACACAAACTATATTTTGAATCTACTTTAGAATAACCATTCACTGCAATCTAGATATTGAGTTTGATTCTTTTCAATCAAACTCTGTACAAACTCATCCTTGTCAAAAAGTTCAAAAGATAGTGTTGTCCAGTATATTGACAACACTCATTCTGTGAGATTGACTGTTTCTTATACATCGACATCCTTACTTGGTGCTTTATTTTACGTGAATACGGCTGTGATACCACACCGAGTACTCATTTGATTATTATTTCAATCATGCACATTAGAATACTATTTTTCGAATGTCATCTATTTTACCACTTTTCTGTTGCTGCAGTTTCAGAGTAACAACCGAGCAAGATACATAATTATGGGAGCAGTGATGGCCTGGTTTCACCTGACACACTCGTGGGGCACTCATTTTATTGCTGGCTTATTTATAGCAGATCTAGCGCAACATGGGTACATAGAGAAATATCGAGGATGGCGTTTTTCTCCATATCTTACAGCAGCTTGTTTCTTTGGATCAATGATCTGTGTTTTCCGTACTCCTTGGTTCAATATTGCAGACTACCTTGATCAATCCATTCGCAAATATCAATTTTCCAATGGAGTCATGGGCGTGAGCGGAGTATTTTATGAAGAGAATGCTTTAATATTTTTATTCTGTCTAGCAACTATGTTTGCAATCGAAACAAGCGTATATCTTCAATGGTTTTTTTCTAGATCTGTCTTTTTGTTCCTAGGACGAATTTCATTTCCCATGTATTTAATTCATCACTACACATTTTCCACTATGGATTGGTTCAACCAGCATGTAAAAAACGTTTTTTACGATTCTATTTTGACGGAAATCATTATTATTGTAGTTCCTACTCTATTTCTCTGCTTAGTATCGTATATTTTGGTGTTTATTATGGACAATCCAAGCGTGGTTGTTGGAAAATGGGTCGAAGGAGTGGTTCTTGGCGATGATTGGTCTCTGCACACTTTCAAAAGTTGGCTGATAAGGATACCTCAAAGGCTTAGACTCGATTGTCGGCAATGCGTACTTGGCTGGTGGTGTGCTGTTAAGAAATGCTATATTAATATGCGATTTTCGAAAGAACAGTCATCATCTTAAACTCTTTTCCAAGGTTTATTATTTATGAATAAAACGTTGCTCATATGCTTGGTTTATGGTATAGTTGTCCTACTTTACAGCTGGTATCAATGGGTATGAAAACGGGAGGAAAATATTTTATTTATATTCCACAATTCAATTTCGCCGTGTTTTGAAAGCATCCTGATAATACCAAACAGGCTGCTGTTACGGGATTTCGGAAACAAGAATTATGCGTTGTAAAATTACATGGCTGTTTTAGGTTAGTGCACAGATCCTAAGTGGAACGTCGAAGATCGTGTCAAAACAAGGTCAGGATCAGCAAACAACTGCCGCGATACAGAAAACACGAACAATATATGCCCAGCCATTAGGTCAGCAGACAAACACGACGATATTTGCAAACGAACATTGCCAAAAAAGCAACCCAATTCAACCACACTTTTGTGTGTGGTGGATAAAATTTATGCAAGTACCGCCTCAGATGATACATATTGATAATTGCTGTATTTTTCATTCATCACTCCATTCTCATCTTTTGTCACCAGCCGTGATGACACCACAAGTCAGTGAACTGGTCAATGTTAGCAAATGGCAGATATTGATTCAGGTCCATCTTATTTCATTACATTGGATACAGCACAATTTATTCATATGAATACAATGTAATGATTAGACACATCAACGAGTATTTAATCGACCAATGGAAAAATCTAATTGTTGCCGTCTTTGGATCAGTCACAACCAAACCACAATGTACGCTAATAAACCAATGCTATTGTCATGGACAGATCTGAAATACAAACGCCAATCTACTTGATTGAACACTAGTTTAAGCTCTACAATGATCGACTAAACATTCAATTCGTGTCAAGCTAAATGCTAGTCTCTACTTTTATATCATGTTTTTAGTCTTTCCGAGTGTTGGAATGACACTGGATATACAATCAAGCATTCTATTCATCTGAAAACAAAGGTGGATAAAAGCCATATCAACGGCATTGACTAGTACTTTTGCGAATTGATGTGCAACAGTGCTGCATTTCTAAAGTCAGTGTCTGCTTATACAAGACTGACTCATAAACAGTTGTCTGGTTTTTTAAACCCCATTAGCCATAAACATGCCAATATTTAACCGCATAAACAAGGAATATAACATTTTGTATGTTGGGATGATACTCCGTGTATGCCCTGACCATAATACACCAAATCTCGTTTCCAACAAGTTATACAGTGTGGGGTACAGACATTGAGTTCAGCAATGCTTGGAGTGGAGTATTTGCAAGCAGCAATGGATAAACTACCATCAGCATATCTTGATTGGCAGTAAAATCAGCAAGCTTTTATTGCTATGCAAATTCTGAATGCATCAGCCCTAATTAACAAGCAGCGTTTCTGCTGAGTAGTTGGCAAGAAATGCTTCAAAGTCATATGTAGACTATTTCATTAGCCCTCAATATCGCATTAGAGCGTGCTAAGCTGTGGTCACTTGTTATTCAAAGGATTGATGTTTATTTTGAACTCTACCATGACTGACAATAGGGCAGAAAAATGCAACAAATCAAGCCATGCTTTGGACAAACCGGAATAACTGACCAGTCTATCAAGGCGCTGTTGTAATCATTTTACTCCGCTTGCTTACATGTGTGAGATTGATCCGCATAAGCGATAAATGCATTAGCACAAATTACTGTCTATAAATAGAAACCATGTTTCATGACCGAGTCGACCATCTCCGAATATTACCAATTAAAATCTACTTGAAATCTACTCGAAATCGCAATGATATGTCCCTATGCGTCAGCTGCACCTTCAAATCCACACCAGGGTATAGGTATGGCTGCTCCAGCACTTGCTGAAATGAACACACCATTTTCATTGGAAAAACCTCTTGATATAAACGGTAAAGTGGGCGACTTTGCCATGGGCATCATTGGTTTGACTACTCGTCAAGGACATGCAGTTCCAGACAATCAAAACTCGAAATCTGCTGGAAGTCGAGGTCCTCTGATGCTGCAAGATTATCATTTTCAGGAGAAAATGTCCCATTTTGTTCGTGAACGTATTCCAGAACGAGTTGTGCATGGACGTGGTGCCGGTGCCCATGGATATTTTGAAGCCTACGGAAGCGCTGGAAACGAGACGATTGGCAAGTACACCAGAGCAAAGCTGTTTGACACTAAAGGCAAGCGCACACCTGTGTTTACACGGTTTTCTACTGTTATTCATGGTGGTACTTCACCCGAAACCTTGCGTGATCCCCGTGGATTCGCAGTCAAGTTCTATACCGAAGACGGTAACTGGGATCTTGTTGGTCTCAATCTCAAGGTGTTTTTTATTCGTGATTCCATCAAGTTTCCCGACATGGTTCACAGTTTGAAACCCGATCCAGTCACAAACATTCAAGATCCAAACCGTGTATTCGACTTTATGAGTCAAACTCCCGAGTCAACTCATATGCTGACATTTTTGAATTCGCCATGGGGTATTCCTGCCGACTATCGCCACATGCACGGAAGTGGTGTCAACACATACAAGTGGGTCAACAAGGAAGGCTTGGCACACCTTGTCAAATATCACTGGATCTCCAAACAGGGCATCAAAAACCTCAAGCAAAGCGAGGCTGACGCAATTCAGTCCAACGACTTCAACCATGCTACAGATGATCTGTATCAGTCAATCAAGCGAGGCGAGTATCCAGAATGGGAGTTGAATGTACAACTGTTGACAGATGACGAGCACAGTGAATTGGATTTTGATCCTCTTGACGATACCAAACTGTGGCCAGAGTCGATTGCGCCAATGCTTCCAGTTGGACGTATGGTTCTTGATCGTAACCCAGTCAATTATTATGCCGAGGTAGAGCAGGCGGCATTTGGAACAGGAGTTTTGGTTGACGGATTGGATTTCTCGGACGACAAGATGTTGCAAGGTCGCACGTTCAGTTATGGTGATGCACAACGATATCGTCTTGGTGTCAATTATTTACAGCTGCCAATCAACAAACCTTTGAACAAGGTGGCAACCAATCAGCGTGACGGTACAATGACATACTTTGTGGACGGTACAGATGCAGGCGAGAATCCTCATATTAACTACGAGCCATCCAGTCGCAACGGTCTTGTGCAGCAGCCAAATGTATATCCAGGACCTGTGCATGAGCCTGTTTTACCCGATGGAACCAAGATTGGACGCGCACCTATTAATCGTACGAATCCGTTTGCTCAAGCTGGCGAGACTTACAGGAGTTTCGAAGACTGGGAACGAGATGAGCTTATTATGAATCTTGGCAAAGCACTTGCAGTATGCAACAAAGACATTCAAGAGCGCATGGTGCATAACTTTAGTCAAGCCGATAAAGATTATGGTGCACGAGTTGCCAAAGCGATTGAAGATATTTCTTCAAAGGGATCCAAGGATGAACCCAAAAAACCCGAATAGTAAACCAACAATTGAACACAACTAAATAAATCATATCTTGTAAACCCATTTAACTTGTCATTTAGACTGATATTGTGATATAATCATGCAAGTAGCATGCTTGCACAAGTTATTCTGCATCCGTTTATTACAAAATATATAATTTCTTGGGCTAAGCTTTACCAGTTATTTCTATTTTGCCTTTTCTGCACCACTGTCTTATGTGGAGTCGATTTGTTGTTACTCGCCAATTTCTTTATCAATCAAAGGCTATATCCAATTACTATTTAATGTCCACTAGATCTGTGACTGTTTCGCTTTATGCTAAGGAGAGAGAGGTTGGCATCGATGCTGTACTACGAGCATCTCGTCTCTGTCAAACTGTATTCAAGCACATTGTATCATCACAGAGCATCATGAAAGCAGATAAATCTCCAGTCACCATTGCAGACTATGGTGCCCAGGCAGTTGTGAACTCGTTACTGAAAAAGGCGTTTCCCAATGACCTTATTGTTGGTGAGCATTTCTATTTGACTAGGTAAAATGTATTATCTAACCGGTTTGATGGACTGTAGGTGAAGAAGATGCTGCAGATCTGAATACAAATGATACGCTTTCAACTCAAGTCGTTGACCTTGCCAATTCTGTGTTGCCTAATCCACTGAGTACACAAGAGGTAGGCCGGCAGGGCTATTTATAATGAGATTTATGATTCTGGACTGTGTTGTCATGAGTGTATCATTTCGTTTTCTTACAGATACAACCTCGTTAGATATTGACTGCGATAGATTTAGGAAAGTCTTTAGGCTGTAAACAAGGTCGGTTTTGGACACTGGATCCCATTGATGGAACCAAAGGATTTTTGCGTGGTGACCAGTATGCAGTATGCCTTGCTCTGATTGTTGATGGAGTTGTACAAGTTGCTGTTCAAGGATGTCCCAATCTACCCCACAGCATATCCGATCCTTTTGGTAGTCGTGGGTCCCTATTTGTAGCTGTGCGTGGTCAAGGTGCTTTCGAGGTAGAATGGATGCACTATTACTAGCAAAAGTTTAAATGTGTTTTACCAACTACTTTGGTGCTAATATATATCAAACCATTTATGGCGTGGACATGTAGAGATTGATGGACTCCAACCTTGAACATCAAATCCGAGTTTTGCAAGAAGATAATCCAGCAGGTACCCAATTCTGTGAATCTTTTGAAGCAGCACATTCTTCACAGTCAGATACAGCACAAATTGGACAGAAGCTGAATATTTCCAAGCCTTCTGTACGCATGGATTCTCAATGCAAATATGCTGTTCTTGCTCGCGGCGATGCTGGAATTTATCTGCGCATTCCTGCTCGTGCCGACTATGTCGAAAAGATTTGGGATCATGCGGGTGGATCTTTGTTGGTTGAAGAGGCTGGTGGCCGTGTTAGCGATGTGTCGGGGAAACCTCTAGATTTTACTAAAGGTCGTACCTTGTCGGGTAACAAAGGTATCGTTGCAACTAATGGACTGATACATAAAAAAGTACTCGACGCAGTTCAAAGTGTTTTGAAATTGTAAATTCAATTGAAATACTTACAGCCATATTCACGTAAAATGAACCACTTTTGTAATGATTGTTTTGGAATAAACAATTGTTACATATTCGTTGTTATTGGGGACTGGCTATTTCTTTTATTGAAGTTCTGTTGTATCCTAATATCAGATACGTTCTAGTTCAACATATCCCAGGAATGCAACTGTTGTTTCCATGATGATTACCGATTGTTTGGGTTGAAAAAGGAAAGTTGGAGGTTGAAAGGTGTCAAGGATGTGGAATATATTGAAACTGAGATGTGATCATTTGTTCTGTATTTTTGTACATGAGTGATCACGGAGTAAGACCAGTAGATTAATGAGTTCAAAAGACACAATATTGTCCAGTAAGATTGGTACCAATCAAACATAAGATTGACTGTTTATTATATATTTTGATATTTAATATTTCATTTTACGTGAATACGGCTGTAAAAATACAGGTTTTCATTGATTTATTACTTTTTGGATAAAACCTTGATCCATGAATGCATTGGAAATATTGTTAGCTTCATTAGCAATCTAGATTTGATTTTAAAATACAGCATCACTTGTATTGGTATATAAAACACACCTTTTTTTTGATAGCCTTTGTCTTATCACTCGACTGAATGGGTTGGAGTGCCTCGACATTACGTTGCAATCTTTCTGCCTTGATTTCCGATTCAATTTTATGTTCGTCAGTATGGACTCTCAACGATGCATCTCGAAGTGCTTTGTTGCTATTTGAAATAGCTCGTTCAGATCGACGGACGCTAGACTGTGCTTTGATGACAGATTTAAAGCTTCCTTTTATAAACTTTGGGGTCACTTTAGAACCTTGCAATGAGGGTGTATTTGTTTTTGTAGCACCAGCATGTTTTGTCACTTTGGTTTTTGTGGGACGAGGAGCAGCCTTTTCTAATAGCGAGTCCTGATGAAAGTAGTAAGTCGACTGTGAATGAGAATTCATGGAAACATCATTGACTTACCAGTGCTCTGACTGCAAATTTTGTCGACATTGCGGATGGTTTGGACTCGAGTTTTACGATTTTAATGGCTTTCATTTAGGCCACGTGACTGGAAGATACGCTCCAAATCTGGCAAATATTCGACTTTTCATACGAGTAATTGTCCATTCATTGAAAGTTTAATTCTACATCAATTGTATCTGGCAATATTAGACACATTAAAAAGTGGGAAATTCATGGACCAACATCTATTGTTGAATTCCGACCAACATTCAGCAAGTGATGATGACCAACTAATCAAGCAAGAGCTGGAGTTACTAGAAACTGTCGAGGTATGAATATACTGTATATCTGATTTGGAATAAGCAAAAAACTAACTTATTATTATAGCAGGATTCATTTGATACGGAAGATTTGGCTGAAGGACTGGTTATGGAACTGGACCCTCAGTATATTTACAATTCAGTTAGTCAGACACAAAAGTCACTGGATAATAGTCTTCAACTTGACTCGATGACCAAAGTGCCAAGTCATTCTTTACATGAGCACACTGTGGCCACTAAAGATGAAGCTGATTCACTAAAATATACACATTCGAGTCCATTTAAAGAGGTAGGAGCGTTGCCAAAAATCATCCCGTCAGTTTTAAATATCTGCAAAACTCAATATACCAATTGATCTTGAAATGCATATAGGAGCTTCAACAATCTGTATTTTGGAAAGATTTTATCGAATCAACGTTGTTACGGTCGGAGGAGCAAGATACTAGGATCCGAGAGCTAGAGTCGGACATTCCAGATTTACTACAACCCATGGATGCTAAAGAATTATTGCTTGACCAAGTGCTGCCAGATACTACTACAATCGACCCTGACATGTTTGATGCAAAAGATTTGATTGGATCTGATACTACGCTAAATGATAAACAGGCCACTAATTTATTTGATCAAAAACTAGACGCCAATAAAGCTCTAGAACAGCTAAACATACCAAGCCCACAAAGAGTATCCTCGAGTAGTTCCCCTGGACTGCAGGCTGAATGTAGCACTATCAAATCGGATCAAAATCCATCAGAAGCAAATGAAGCTATGGATACAAAAAGTTTGTTGAAAATATCTAGTGAACAAGTTAAACAAGACCATCATACTTTGTTTCAATATTCAGATTCGCGTCAAGGAATGCCTCGAAAATCAAAAACACCTTCTGGAGGTGCCAGGCGTGGAAGTGTTGCACCCAAAAAAACACACATTGCAACCACACCAGATACAACGTCGTTGCGAAAATCAGAACATATGGATGCAACAGGCCCAGATTTTACAATTCTAGGAAAGCATGCGTACTCGGCTGTTTCAAATGTTTCATGGTCAAAGTCTCTGGCCAAATCTGATCAAACAAAAGTAAGTTTTATTTGAGCAATACTATTTTAATATGATCAAGTATTTACTAGATAATTGTAAACTGACACAAGATTTGCAATTGTGGATTTTTGCTGAAATCTAGAGTCTAATGTAGGTGATTTTTCAAAATATTAAAAAATAGCTGAAACAAGTACTGATATCATCTAAAACTTATCAAACCTGTTTCATCTAGTTTTAATATGGGGTCGAAAACTAGAGAAATGAGGATTTTAAGTGATATCGAGGTAAATATTTGCATGGCTGGTTCAAACTTTAGCATAAATATCAACGAAAAACTTGGTATTAATTTAAAGTTATTTTTAAAACGAAAAGGACAATACAGACTTGGAAATTAAGCATCAACAAAAGCTCAGGTATGTATGTATTATCCATGTCAATGCGCTGACTTGGGATCTTGGTTTATTTACTGTAATTCATTTTTAGTCAGCTAGAGACTGTAACACAAAGCGAAGAAGATATTTTGAAAAAAATGCAGCATGATGGTACTGAATACTCACAAACATTGGCACTCACTAGTACTTCTTATGCTCAAATTCGACACCCCAAACAGCGCTCTACTGCGTTTCAATCTTTTCCACATGATGTCAACTCTGATTTAGATGGCCAACAGTCGTTGAATGCCATTGGATCCAGTAACCTTCACCTTGAATCCGATCATTCTCAAGCGTTGGTCAAGGACGAGCTTAATTACAGTCATAGAGAAAATATAGATCCACCTACATTGTCACAAATACCTTTTGATTTGGACGAGCTTTCTTTGTTCATGTGTGATGCAGATCCAAACGAAATTGTTGAAGCTGGGTACCTAAAAGCATTGATTTTAAAATATGAATCTGAGCTGCAATGGATTCAGGGTAAAATCAAAGAGGAACGACATACACAAAAAGAAATCAAGTTTCGTATTGAATCTGTTTTAGCATCAAAAACATCTTATACAAGAGCTATGCGCAACTTTAAAAACAAGTTACTTTGCTTGAACGGAGAGATTAGAGATGTAACCTTTTGGATTAGTGTCGAGTCCAAAAACATCTATGATCGCGAAAAGGATCGATCAAACATGCTTGTTGCTCGTACTCAAGATTTTGTAAAGCAATTTTTAGAAAAAAAGTCAAAAGACTTGCGTCAGGTTGAACTAGCACAGCAGCGGAAACTAGAAGCGGAAGAGCAATCAATGAAGATTCGAACCAATGCAGCAGACCTTCGAATTCAGTGCTATGAAATTGACGAAACTTTGAAATGCTACAGTGCTGATATTGAAAATATCAAGTGGGAGGTTGCTAAAAAGCAGCTGCTTAGAGATGAAGCAATAGAGGCAATATTAAAAAAAGAGGCAATTGCTCAGGAATGCGATTTGCGTGTTTTGAATACTGCTCTTGAACGGCAGCAACTTATAGGCAAAAAAGCCTTGTTTGTAGAAGATTTAGAAGTGGTCGATTTGAGCGACGCGCAACTTGCTCGTATTCCAAAGTTGCTCATTCAGTCAAAACGAGTCAAGCATGTGGATATTGACAAAAACGATCTCAAAAAATCAAGCGTGATTCAGCAACTTCCAGAACTGATATCACTTAGAGCGTGTGTGAGTTTTGCTTTTCAAGGACTAAACATACTCTACTGAGAATTCTAATTTAATAGATGTATGTTAATAGAGTAACCGATTTGAAAAATTGGAACTTGCCCAACTCTTGAAGCTCAGATCTCTCACTGTAGAAAATAACGGTATTATGGAGATATCAGTAAGTGAACCTATATTGCTCAGTTATATTTTCACTGTGCAACAATACCGGCTATATTTATCGATTTTTGAATACTAATCAATTATTGAAATTAGGGTTTGACAGATGAACTCACTTATCTAGATATTTCCAGCAATCCAATTTCCAAAATTGATAGTATTTCTGCTGCTACATCACTTCAGGTTTTGTTGCTTCGGAACAGCCGTGTCCAAGATTTATCTTCGTTTCGATTTCTTAAAGGACTCATATATGTTGATTTGGGCGAATGTCGCTTAACTGAGTCATCAGCTGACAATCTCATTGATAGCCCACTGTTACAATACGTATCTATGGCAAAAAACATAGTTTCAAAATTCCCCGAGTTTTACAATCCACTTCTTTATGAGCTAAATTTAAACTTGAATGCAATCAGGTATATTTTTAAACCACTGTAATGCAAATTGATGAAACAGCTTGGTTTATTTTAAAAGTGATTAATCATAATGACATTATAGTCGATTACAAATCACCAATTGGCTGGGTCGATTACAAGTATTGAATCTTGACAACAATCAGATTACCGATATTGAGCCATTATCAATGTGTCCATTTTTACGGATTCTTTCTCTTGAAAATAACAAAATCCAAGGTACTTTTAACTATTGTGCCAATCCTTACATTCAAACTGATAAAAGTAGCCATTTTCACGGATTTATTAAACTATATGCTTTTTATACAGATATTACAAATGTTTATTCTATATCAGTTTGTCAGCAGTTACAAGTGCTGAATCTATCAGATAATCCTGTAGAACTCAATCCAACCCTTTATAAAATTGTTGGAACTATGTTTCAGAATTTAAAGGTTGTCGTATTTTGCATATCTAATCAACTAAATGGTGCTTGTTTAACACTGATTTCTGTTACATAGCTTCTCAATAAGCATCAAGTGTGTCGTACAGTCGGGGATCCTGAAAAAAAAATGTTTTTTTACACCAATCCACTGAAATCTGTTCGTGTTTGTGTTCAGTGTATTGATCACCTCAGTAATGCTATTTTGGAGGAGTTTGAGTTGAGTTTTAAATATTTGATTTGTATTCATCGAGATGCGCGATACAGCTGCCAAGATTATAGTCTAATATGCACTAAAACTAATTTTTGCATATATCGTACTTAGTATAAATGACTCTTTAAAAATCTTTGAAGAGTGGGCAAAATTCCTTGGTGCAAAAGATCAGGTAATTTACCAAACTATTAATTTTGACTGGACAGTATGTTATTTAATCCATGGTGTTTTTATAAACTTTAGAGTATTACGGAATTTATGGGACAATACCGTTCTCCTTATCTAGACTACCTGACATCACCTGCGATTCAATATAGCAAAGATCCTTTGGTTCGTCTTCAAATACAAGAGCGTCGACTTTTTATATTAACAGGCTTGCTAAATTCAATGATTCAAACGCATGCTACTATTCCTATACCTACAGTGTAATGCAAACATTTTGGCTTGAATCATTTAAATACGATATGGTGCAAAAACATTAAATCATTTTTCGGCTAATCAAACCAATTTAAATGCAATATAGCGACATGATCATTTCAGTCTGGATTTTCAAACTTAAAGGCATCGTGGATACATACAAAGTGATTTACATTCAGTCCATTTGGCGGATGCGTAAAAATAGGAAACTATATCAAAAGAATCTTAACGGTAATATTGTTGGCAGTAACTGTAGGGTTTTCAAGCAAAATGATATTTATTTTAACGTATACTGTTTCGATTTCAACGTGAAAATGCTAGACTACTATTTATGTCAAAAGCTAGCTCAAAAATGGTGTAAATGTCGAGCTGCAAAAACCAAACTGGTTGAATTAAGGCAAAAGAAATTACACCGTTGTGCTATGATGATTCAAAAATGCTTTCGAGGTAAGCATTAAATCATTACGACTACCTTATTCAGCGATATATTCAATCTCATTTATGTATTTTGATGACATTTGGTGCAATTCATGCGGAAATAAGGTTATATGGCAAAAAAAATGGCAGCTCCTCAAAAAATGAAAAAATTAAAAGAGCCATTTGATATGAATCAAGGTGAGAAATATGTAAATCAATCACTATTAAGCATCTTGTTTGTCGTGACAAACTAACCAATCTGTATAATATGTAGGTTTAGACTTGGAAATTCTACAGAATGATCCCAGCCATTGGCTTGAAAGCACAAATATCAATCAGTTTGACGAGAAATTGAAGGACTATCTGGCTACAGAAGAGCTGGTTCACTTTTCATCTAACAACACGTTTGATGTCAAAAAAGAAGAAATTCCATTCGAGGTTTCCTGTGACTTGGGCAATCGCAAGAATACTGTCAAGCCATATCCGAAAAAACACAAAGTAGACACTACAAAACTAGGAATACAGCGTGGGGAACTCATCAAAAAGATCACATCACAGGTACAATAATTTTTTTGCATCCAATACCATTGTTGGTAAGCAAAGTGTTGAAATCATGTAAACTTGAATGCTTATTAATTGTTACATATATGTAGTATGCTGTGCTATCAAATATTTCTCAGCCAACTTCTACTCAATATGATTATGCTCAAACCTTTTCAAACAACTCTGGAATCTATTCATCAGGAGTTGCGCGATCCTATATTTCTCCTCCAGCGGACATTACTATTGTTCAAAAACAATTGGATATAGAAGCCCCTGTTCAAAAACCTTTTCTGTCGCCTGCTCTAGCTCAAATTCAAGCCACAAAGCAAAATTCAAAGGATATTGAAGCTGGCGTTTTAAGTGGGCATACCAAAGATCGGCTATCAAGTGAACCCATTGAGCCTATTGATTTAAAAACAGACGAAGCATTGAAACTATCATTTGTAGGTTAAATTTTAAAACCAGTGTTAAATCTACATGACCAATACACCTAATTTGAATTAATTTGAATGTAGCATCGAATACTGGAGGGATGTGTTCAAAGTGCATTCCACCACCAACAGGCACAACACGAGTTTTTAGATGATGATGATGGGTTTGTTTTGATTCAGAATCAGCCGGTTGATAAAACGGCGTATACTTTTGCTTTGGAACAGCATCATTTACAACAAGAAGATGCTTTCCCTTCAAAACACAACAAATCCATAGGTCAAACGACAGTTAGTCACGAACGGTATGAAACCTTTTATTTCATTGGTATTAATGAAAACTAACCCCTCTTGTAACTTTTTGACTTTTCTTCCAGAAATCAGTATATGGCAGACACTCAAACATTATCTTCGAGGCAGCGGAAAAAAATGCAAATTTTTGAGCCTGAACAGCAGAAAAATCAAATGGATAAAGGTGCAAACATTTGTGATAAACTAGTTATTTGTAATGATCTGTCAATTTGACTATACGTTGTCGATGTGCATTGAATTTTTGGTACTGATGCTACTTGTTGTGAGATAGATTCAATACATAGATATCAAGCCTTTGAAGCCGTTGATAAGTTTAAAAAAATACCAAAAAAACCTGTAGATTTAAAGGACGTTTCTGTAATTTATGAGTGGGATATACATCGCGGAGATACTACAAGGAAACTACTGGTATTTAAATTTCAAAGCTCCAAACTGTATTAATGATTTTGATTATATATTAATAATTGATGCCTCTTGACTGCATTCCTTTAGAGCGAGCAATCATTGCAAAACGACCCACACCCTCCAAACTCTGCCGAGCTTCAGGTCGTTGGACCTGGAGCAGAATCGCTCAAAGCTCCATCCAGGGTAAACTTTAATTTGTGAATTCGATCGTAAAAGTATGCTTACGATATTGGAAGTTTTGGCTAATTCAGATGTTTAGATGAACAATCCACCATTTGCACCAAAAGTGACACTTTTGGTAAACAATTATGTAGCATCAAAATTACAGAATGCTTCTGAAGAGCAACAACCAATCCACAGATGGCTTAAAAATAATACTGAAAGTATGATTTCTGTAAAAAGTATGGATAAACAGTCCAATGCAACCGATATTTATCGTTCTACATTCAAGCCTCGGTATACAACAGATATTGGAAGAGTGTCGTCGACAGTTCCAATACCTCCATTGTACGGAAAATATAAACTTTATCGGCATTCACCACTTCCTAGCATAGCACAACCGACCCGCAGTAGCAAATAAAGTAGATTTGGATATAACTTATGATTCCAATGGAATTTTTCATTTAGACGAGTTGATTGGTGATGGATCCTGGTATACTACAAACCCAACTTCATTTCACAGTACAATATATTCACCACCAACTACATTGTGTTGAATTGTACTATATGTTTTAGGTAAAGTACTATGCGTATATCTTGCAAAAAACAGTTGTATTAATTAGACAACCGCGCCAAAAAACCTAGGCAGTCAAGCTATGTCAATGATCAAAAGTTGTAGGAATTCATAGCTTATGAATTTAGATAGTTTGTTGGTCTGCTTGTCTTTCAGGCTCCACTGAAGATAGCGCTGGACCCACCATAATAGGTTTTGTCTTTTCATTATTCCTTTTTCGTTTTAGTCTTTTCTCCCGATTCTTGTTCGTCTTTTCCATCTCTTTGGCCTTCAGTGTCTGCTGTCGACTTTCATATTCAATCCGATCCTCTTCCTACAAACAAAAATCCCAATATATACGTTAGTACTCGATCTGAAAATCAGTGTTGATATTGAGATCTAAAAGTATTTAAACACTAGAAAATAACTCCAATGACAACATCAGTGCTTTTTAAGTATTACTTTTTGTGCAGCATCGTCCAAAGCCTTGAGCCGAGTATATTCCTTTCTTCTTAATGCACGATACACATGGAACTCGCCACTTCCAGCGCCAGCACTGGAACCTATAGAAACATGTGAAATATCAGATTTAGATGCACACAACTTTTGTAAATTGATTTAAAAGCAGTATCGAGTTACCTTGGATATTGCGAACCACATGAGCACCTTCTTTTCTTGGACCTCTGGGTGTATCAGATGGACGGGTTGGTAGTATAATTTCCTTGTCAATCCGCTTCATCAGTTTCTCCACCTGAGCCTTTTGAGTATCTAGAGCAGTCTTTGGACGCACTTTCCGGCCTCTATCTGAATCATTCTCATCACCAGAAGCATCTTCAGTCTTGGCAGGCTGGTCTGTATTTTTTGCCGACATTGGTTTGATGCCCACAACTTGCAACTGCCAGCAATCTTCTGTATCGTGATCAAATCACGTGATGAAAATCACTTTTGTAGTTTTCTCGTTTCATCACTTGGCTGCCAACGTTAAAACTGATTGCATAGATGAGCAAGTTGAGACTTGTTTCATATGGCACAGACACTGAAGACGAAGGTAAGAAAACGATGCTTTATTTTACTGAAATTGTTTCCGTGTATTATCTCACTAAAGCCTGCTGAATCTTCAACCTTGTCAACTTGCATTGCTGGAAACTCGAACCCTCGTTCAGCATCTCCAATCAAGACACAATCTCCAAGTAAAAAAGACGCATGTATACCATCAAATCCGTCTGCTTCCAAAACAACTAATACAAACAAGCAATTTCACTCACCAGTAGTTTCATCTGGAACTGGATTAGTAAGACGAAATGATTCCAGGTCAAAACAGAAACAAGATACTCAAACCCAGCTTCGTAATACTCCGCCAAACACTTGTGTTGAATCTCAAACGCATGCACAATCTCAACAAGATCCTTGGCATTCTTCAGAACCATTTCAGATTAATGATACATCCAGAGTCGAGTGCTTCGAGGCAGTTCGCGACTCTTTAGATCAAGACAAACTTGAACAGATTCTAATTAGTCAGGGATATTTAAACCCAGACTTTGGAAATAGTCTAGCTCAAACCCAAAATACAGAGCCTGATCTTGCTTTAGAGGTATGGCTAGTGTTACACACTGATGCTGAACTTTGCAGCTCGATTGCTAAATTGAAGAAATGTATTCTGAGTAGCGGGTTTTTGCTTGCTTTACCTTGTGTTTAAGTAGAGAAAGATTTCAAAGTTTCTGGAACTCAGGTCAGAGGGCATATATCTAAATGATCGGCTTGTTAACACGCATGCATTCAGAAATCCCTCGATTATGCGTAAACTGATTGAATTTTTGGAACTGGACGAGATTGGCTCAAATTTCGACAAGGAGAAATATAATCCTCACGGATTTCCCGAAAGTGCATTCTACAAGAATCTTGGTAATTGTAATCGTTTATTTTATATAACAGATCATGCCATGGTTATTTGGTTTAAATCCGAATCAAGTTGCTCATGTTTAATCTTTTCAATATACTACATTATAGCCATAGCACAAGAGAAATCTCCAATCGTTGTAAAACCGTTTCCAACCAACCCCACAGAAGCAATTGAATTTGCAAAGGAGGGAATCAAGCAGTTTGTTTCATCCACGTCAATAGATGAGAATAGCACAATTCAAGGCGGGATAGCCGCTTCTAAGAAACGCAAGTCGAAATGGGACCAGTAATTTACAGCCGTATTCACGTAAAATGGAACACTTTTGTAATGATTGTCTTGGAATAAACAATTGTTACATATTCGTTGTTATTGGATATTGATTATCTCTTTCTATTGAAACTCTATTCTAATATTAGATACGTTCGCACTCTAGTTCAAGAGAGTGAGTATGCACGTCTCGTAACACAACTGTTGTTTCTGTGCCAATCACAAAGAAAAGGATGCAATGCTGCCCAATCAATTAGCACCCATCATACCATGAGATGTATCGTTTACTTTGATATCCTCATCTAGTTATATAATATGGCTGTAAAGCCATGATTGTAAACACCTTGTATAATACTTTCCATAAATTTAATAATACAACACTTGAAATTTGATTACAATCGATCATGAACAAATTTTGAGTACTACACATAAAAAACACTCAAAACTCTTGTGTAATGTGATTGCTTGCAATACATTTCAACCAATACCTGTTTAGATTTAAAAAGCAATTGCGTACTATTGATCAAAGGTTTTAATTTCATATGAATAAACTTGAACATTTTCAACAACTATAATATTGATATATTTTAATCGACAAGATATTCAACTCGGCTATAATAAAGATTAGCCCCTTCATTTGTGCTCAAAAATAGACAGATCACGCCTATCCAATCTATCAAAACCCTGGTTACAATTCAATCTGAAAGTATCGCACGCATATGAAGTCAATAGTCCAAATACTTGAGGATTAGCTCCATTGTCACTGATGGAGTGATCAGAATCGGTATAGTATTGAACGCGCACATTTTTGGGCGATAGGTTGGCACCAGTGAAATGCCATACCAGCATGGCAGAGTTTTGAAAATGAACATTGTCTGCATTTCAATATGATGTCGTTATACAACTGTCAGCAACTGAAAAGTATAATTCACATCATTCATAAACATTCTCGATACTGACCGTCACCAGTGCCGTGAATCAAAAGGTATCTAGATTGTGAAAAGCCAGTCATGTTGGATACAGCGCTTTTGGCGTATCCTTCAGGGTTTTGCACTGGCGTCTTCATATAGCGCTCAGTATATACAGTATCGTAAAATCGCCAATCTGTTACAGGCGCGACTGACATACCAAGAGCAAATACACCTGAATTGGCTTCAATACACTTTGCTGCCATGTATCCTCCATACGACTGAATTGCATGATAGAAATCCAGGTCTGATTAGCAAAAAAATGAAATCTTACACCAACACATGCGCATTCATCAAACGTAAACTAAACATACCCAACCCCAAATGCCAATCTTTTTACTATCAATATACTTTTGCTGTCCAAGCCATCTGTATGTTGTATGAGTAAGAAATGTGTGATAATCCAACACTACAAATAACTCGGCAGATATGATATGCCATACCTTCCAGCCTCAATTTGGTCCTCTACCTCATGCAGACCAAGCTGTTTACTGACCGCATTCCGAAACTTGCGACCCTTGAACCCAGTACCACGACCATCAACAATTACAGAAACAAATCCTATCAATGGCAAGTGATACATAAAGTCTAGATTCCACTTTTGATTGACCATTTGTGAATAGGGACCTCCATATCTAACAATTTAATCATTCATATACTTGAGTACAATTGGATGCGTACATCAAAAGTCAAACAGAAGATGCAATATATTCAAGACAGAGCTGTTGGTTAAAAGTGCACTTACACTTGCATGAGCACTGGATATTTTGTTTTGCCAGAAGGATCAAAGTCGGGAGGTACAATCATCTTGACATTCATATCTAAACGAGCAATTAACAAACATTTACAAGTTAGCAAGCATTTAGATTTAGTCTAAAATTATCATTTAGACACTACTAACCATTGCCAATCTGATTTGGAATAGTAAAATAGCTAATTTGAGGAAGAGCGACTTTTGAAATTGATTCTCGTAATTTGGTATTCTCAACGCTATCAACTCGCCTCCATCCACTGTCTTCAATCTTGTAAGTGATCCTGTAAGGTACATCAGGTCCAGTGTATAAAACAATTGAATATCCACATTTGGGAGATAGTTTCACGTCAAAGTACCCAGAGTCGCCAAGAGGAAGTCCATACGTTTCGTTTAATACAGAAGCTACTTTTTTCAACTCGACATCCTTTTGCGGAGTGTGTCTTTTCTTTCCAGATCCATCCAAATGCACACTATATAAATGGCGCTCAGTTGATCCATGCTCGGTACTCATGAAATAAATAATGTCTTTAGCTTCATCAAATCTCACGATTCCAGTGACTTCCCAGGTGCCTGATGTGATCCACATAGTAGGAGAAGCACGGCCAATGTCATCAAAGTATGCGAGGTGTGCATATCCATTGGCGCTATCCATAATTTCAACATAGGATGGATCATTATGATCAGCAAAATTGGAGGAAAGAATGGGTGTGAGAGGCTGAAGAATGTTGTGCCAAGCTCCGTCTGGGGTAGCTTCATCGCGAACTAGATCGGCTTTCCATGTAAATATACCATTGATTTGGGTTCCCTTGACCAAGAAAAGTCGCTGAATATCTTGTACACGATTCATCAGACGAACCATTAGTGTGTCGTTGGATGTTAACCAATTGACTTCGACAATCAAACGATCTTGATCAGCAAAACCTTCAATGCCAAAATGAACAGGACTAGATTGTTCAGTAACATTGGTTGATAAAGGAGTAACAATGTGCAGAGTGACGACAGGATTTGGAGATCCGGCTTTTGGATATTTCAGGTTCAATTCTCTAGGATAGGCATTTTCTCCAAATTTGGAAAAGTATTCGAGTGGGAATGTCTTGACCAATGTATCATTGAATTTGAGATATGCAATATGAGATCCATCAGGTGAAAACCATAAAGCCTTGCCCTTTCCAAGCACCTCTTCCTCGTAAACCCAGTCAGATAGGCCATTGATTATGTTGTAAGATCCATCAGTAGTAATGCGAACCTCGGTTGTTCCCTCGACTGTAACATAGAGATCATTGTCGCGCACCCAAGCAACGCTGTGACCTTTTGGACTCCAAGCAGTCAAGGCAACCATGCCACTACCCAATTCATTCGAAATGTGCTTATCAGATACAGAATTAGCCAATGGTTTTGCCTGTTTGGCTTTGATATCGTACAAATAGTAGTCTGCAAAAAAAGAGTGCCTCCATCCCTAATATATTGAATCAATCGCAGGGTTAATACTGACAAAAATCAGTAGCAGCAGCCAATGCTTAATATGTAAAGCTTGATGGTTACTTTTTGGTAATTTGTAGTTAGAAGCAGATACTTGAGATCAGCAGATGCAGTCCAAGTACTAAACTCGATCGCGTTGCCTTGCTTCTATAATCAACAAGCACAACAAATTAATAAGTTGGAATCAGTAACGCTAACAAGTTTATAATCCAACCAACATGGACAGTTGCTATCGTATACATTTCAAGCATACATCATTAATGTTCTTGATATCGGCAATAACGGTGCTGTTGGTGCTTCCAAACTGACGAACGACAAACTTATGCTGGTCAAGCTCCAAAAAACTTCCATCGGGAAACCCAGCTATTTGACAAGCAGACAAGTGAAGTGTTATTGCAGCGATCGATTATAGTTGAGTAGCAATCGAGGCTTGAAGTTACCTTGTGAATCCTGGACCCATTTTGGATCTATATCTTCAGCTTTTGAAATAGGAAGCAAGCCCAATAGTCTATCAGTGACAGCTGGTCTTCCATTGATAGTTTTGGCTTCACCATCACGACCTAATTTCAAACACCAGACAAGTTTACTATAATAGCTTAAAATAAGGTTGAGCAAATTCAACAGTGAGAAAATACCAGCAAAAGGCCTATCACTGTTAGTTCGTAGAGCCAAAAAGACAATGGAAACTAGAACAAGTATCAGCAGTCCAAACAGAATAAGAGGAGCTCGAAAGCGCCACGACGGTCTCTGCTAGCCAAAGAGCATTCAAGAAATAAGTGTTATTCATAGACAAGTGAATGCAGTTTCTATTCCAACTGAATGCATTATGTAAGCCCAAACACTGCTGCTGACCTGTTTGTAATTGGAATGGTTTTTATCCCGTCGATTCCTGACATTGTGTCCAGAAACTCCAGTCAAGGATGAATGGTCAGCATGCCGAGCATCACCTTCTTCCAGCATGCGGTCCTCCTCAGCATAAGTCAGCTTATCAAACTCATTCAACTCATCAGAAAGAGCCTGCCGATTCAGTGGCATTCGAATGTCGGTCATTGTCGGATATTGGGAAAGTTCCAAGCATCAAGAAGCAGCTCTTGTAGTTTTTTATTACATTGAACAACTTGAAGCCAATTGATGTTTTAGCTTGTTGGTCACTATGTTTGAGAAACTCAAATCTTATTTTTCTAGTCAATCTTGCCTATAAAAGCCTTGACAGATGAGCTGCATTCGATTTACAATTCCAGTGATGATGGCAATAAAATATTCATCATGAATTGTAAATGTGATCGTTAGAGTTGGTCGATAATGAGATTGTCTGATGTCAAGTCTATTCAAACTTGAATAGAGTTTCAGATCCAACCAACATGACTTGTATAATACAGTCTTGTTAATCTGGCCCGCTAAATTCAATATTTCTGTAGTACGCATTCAAGGTCAACGTGCTGAACTTGTTCAGTTACTAATCAGACGAGTATCAATTACACAATGACTAGAATACTCAAGTATTGTCTCTTGTGTCAGACCCTATCCACCAACACAGCTATATTAATCCCCCCATCATTTAAAAACGGAAATAACCCATCGCTAACTTCTCCATTCCAACAGCTTCAAACAACGAATACGTGTCATGCATTCTAACAAACATCAACTGAACGCGTCGCAATGTAACTCGATCCCACCCTCCACACATGCTAGACATGACTCTTGATAAATCTATTTCATCCATAAACTCAAGTTAAACCCACTTGCTTTCTTGTTTCCTTCTAAAAATCATATCTACTACTACTCTGTCTATATTTCCTGCAACCTATGCTTTCCTCCCCTTCAAATCCAGGCAAGCGTTCGCTACGTGGTCTTAAATCTGTGTTTGGTATTTCGCCACAGTCTGTCAGCAATATCAATACAAATGTGGGAACCTCTCCCTATGATTTTGTCTACTCGCAACGTCTTGGTACATCTTCCCATGGCATTATATCTCTCCAACTGCCAAACTCAATGCCTTCTCTAGAGCATATGTCACCTGGCCTCTGGTCTTGGATCCATTCTATCGACCCTGTTTACCAAGGTGGCCATAGTCATGCAGAACCAACCATGTCACGAACAACTGGGCCAACAGGCAGTGATGCTAGTCTTGCATCTATTCCCTTTTCGCCAATCGGAGCATCAAAAGTTCCATTCTATACACGAGTATTCAGCCCTGCTGGCGACCTTCTCGAGATCCCTAATCATTTGATGCAGACTTCTTCATTAGCTCAACCCCCATCTAATGGCATGCTACTTCAGTCTGGTGTTGCTGCTGCTGCAGAGGCTTGTCATTCACTGGCTGCCGGTCTTACGCGTTCATCGACTTTTGATGCTACTCGCTCTCCTACCAACGGCTCTGCTAGTTCTCTTTCCAAACGTCGGTAAGTTGACTCGTATACTGTAGTGCCTTTATTATTTTTGGTCTATACCACGCAGTTGACTAAAGTCTTACACACTGTGCAACTGTTGCCAATCTATTTTACTACTTGCATAAACTATTATGATTTACAGCAAGCCCGTACAATCACTTCCAGTAGAAAAACCCCCATCATCTACTCATGGGTTTCTGTCATCTGGATTGGATCTTCCACCACTCCCATCCATGCATACCCAAGAAAAACCAAAAGTAAAGCGTTTTTTTATTCAATGTAAGTGTCGAAAGTATTTACAAACTTTGGTATAAACGAGTTCAATTCAGAGTAAATACTAAAAATTTGACAACTGTTTTTGGATCAACAAGTGGTGGATTTAAATATGAGCAAAATGCCGCCAGGTATGTCCTAATTTATAGTGCATTCAATGTATATTCAACTTTTTAATAATCATGTATTGAACTTGTAATAAGGCGAACATATTATTGGCATTGTCACTGTTGGCGATGCAAGACGTCTTACTTCTGCTCTTCCACTGCGTAGCGACTCAAATGCTCCAAAAGGGTTTCACTATTCAAGCCATCCAATGGAAGGATTTATCTAGTAAGTACGACCGTGTTTAGATATATCCAACTACTGCACTCGAGCATGAATTTGACACTGTCAATCTAAAATCACCCATTTAGTGATGTTCCCAAAACACAACAGGATGTCAATATCACAATCCGTCTGTATTCGAAATGCATGAATAATGACGAGCCTCACGATGGGTCCAAATCTCACAGTGGACTAATGTCTCCCTCTATGGAATCATTCAGTAGCCATGCTAGTGGATTCAAACGATCCACACTCTCCTTTTTTGGAGGCAGCGGTGGTTCGAATACGCTTATAGGCAAGCGATCCAGTGCACACGCTCCATCCTCCACGTTTAAGCAGTTTCAAGATCAAGAAGCGCTGCGTTTTCCTGCATCTCCAAATGCTGTGGATGTTACCTTGGCAGAAATGTCCCTCACATTGCCTACCCAACATGCATTCAGCAAAATCACAGGATCGTATACTTTGACTGCCAATGGTGGTAAAAAAGAAGTTGCTCGAGTAAATATTCAAATGGGAATGTTTGTTGAGGAAGAGTTTGCTATTGAGCGGGTACGTTGATTGTGTGTATAATGGCTCAACTCTCTAATTAGTGCATCTGCTTACAAATTGATACCTAATGTGTTTATTTTTCAATAATAGGAAATTCCAACAGGCATGTACCGCCATGACGATACTCTCAACTTTTTACTAAGAACTTCAGGCGGCTTATTCTGGAAAAAATATTTTGTTGTGGGCACATATGATGGGATCCGTATTCTTGACTCGGAATATCTAGATCGCAAAGATCCCATTGCCTGGTTACACTTTTCACAAATCGTTGATATTGCACCAGCAGATTTTGAATACATGGCAGCTCCCAACTGTTTACAAGTCACGCTTGCTTTGCCATGGAAGGACGATGATCGTATTGCGACATCACCTATAAGCAGAGAATGGCGAGAGGCAGTACTTGGAGGTGCTGCAGCAATGAGTCGCTACCATGCAGTTATTTACATCACAGGAGATAACCTGGATCGTGCATTTGAATGGATGCAGTATTTTAGGAGAGCTTCTCAAGCCTAATCTTGCCAGTTGCCTGACTATTCTTTATTTAATCCTTCATTAATCCTTTTTGACATGGGCAGTCCCATTTTTCCAATCCGCTTAATATCTAATTTACAGCATGAACTGTTTGATCTCGAAAATGCTTGGCAATATTGCCATAATAAATTTTTTTTTAATCTGGCTGTTGTAGATGGCTGATTGTTTAAAAATGAAGAGAGGGAAGATTAGAGCATCCCACTTGAGTCAAGGCCTCACTGCTTCCATTCCATCCAAGCGATTGCAAAGACAGACAGAAGCAGCAAGCTCCTAGTTTGCGTATTGCACTGAACAGTTGCCGCCAAGAGCTCGTTCCAAGCACACTGCTGCTATCCCAAAGGACAACAGCAGATGTGACAATCGTGACTGGTTGCTCTTCAGAAGATGACCCTCTGGACTCATCGCGAGTCTTTCAATTGGCTTATGTGGGAGCCTGTCCGAGGTGGGTAAGAAGACTACTGACGTAGCTCCTCGTCTGTTTGCCTCGAAACGCAATCTTTTCCTCCCGCCTCTTCTTCAGCAGGGCCAAGATCTGTTTGCATTTAAACGTCAATTCCTACTCTTGTTTGCAGTTGTGGGATTTCAACAGAACCCAACAACTATCAAAAAATGCTCAAACCTGCACCAAATCAGTAAATGACAAAAAAGGGGTCACCCCGGACTCGAACCGGGAGCCCCTCGCACCCAAAGCGAGAATCATAACCCTTAGACCAGTGACCCCTTTATGTTTTTTCGTAAACAAGATCAGTATATAAATCAAGTATTAAATTAGTCGACAATGAAAATAGCATCAATCCATTATCATATTCATGTCGATCTGCTTTAAAGTTCCAGCACATTTAGTTGGTAGTCTGCTCAGTGCTTATTATTTTTATAATGGGTTTATCTGGTGATTGGATAGTAAACACAGCATCGACTGCTATTACAATAAATGCAGATATTTTTTAGAATTGGTTGTTCAATAAAGCAAAGAATCAAACATTGATGTACGCCACCATAACCATCCAAATAAAAACTAAATTTAAAAACTGAAATTAAAACATAAAGCGTCCTACTGTTATTTTCAATACAAATAATAGGCTTTTATCAATACACTAATAATCAGTAGTTTGGATCATGTCGCAGTGGTGGTGGAGATCGATAGTTCACTGCGGTTAACTATAGAGCTAGTTGAAGATATGGTTGGTATAGCAGAGTTTAAAAAAGATTGATATTCTTGATCTTGTTTTGGACCAGTTAGGTCTTTGTGACAATATGTTGGCCAGATTGTGCATGAAACTATATCAGTAATGGATTTGATAATATCTGTAATGATTGGCATGGCCCACAATGTATGCCTGCTAATGGATTTGAAGAAAAGACAATCAATCGTGTTTTGAATCTGACCCATTACTTTAAACGCCAGTGACATGGAGGTTGAAAATAGTGACCCACTTTGTTGTATCCGAATAGCTCGATCTACTTTAGACTCGGATGATTGAATTGCTGGTGATGGCATAGCATGCTTGTCGCTTACCTCTAATATGCCATCTAAAGCAGGATCATAACAAACTGACGGTGTTGCATTGTCTGAAACATACGAAAACTGAAATGAACTTGTTGATGAACCAGAGTATCGTAGCTGCCATGGACCCTCATGTTTTCGTGGAGGTACACATACCTTTTTTGCCAAATCTGGATTACTTGCTTTGAGTAATGCTTCCGAATGGACACGTGTTGCAACAATTGCAGCATCAACCATTATTTTAAACTGAGATCTGGTTTGATAAATAGCTTCCAATCGCTCCTTGTGAGCAGTCAGCACTAGACGATAACTTTCCATTTGATTTGCAAGCTGTTGATCTGGAGTTGGACTGTCCAACCCTACCGATATTCCTAGCATTTCTGCCGTAGGTTTGGCCATAGGTATATTATGGAAACCATACTCCAATACACCATGGCCAATATTTAAAATTGTGTGCTTTACTGTACAATATACTGTAGATGAAAGTGGCCACCAAGCTGATTTTTTTGATGTAGTTTTCTTGGATCGCTCTTTGAAAATGAATGCGTTTTCGACAAATCGAATCTTTTCCTCCACTTCGATACATGAGTTTTCAATAGACGAGTGTGTATTATCTATCACGAATTGCTCAAACTTATCTTTGAAAAGGGGATGATACAACTTTTTTACAATCTTGGCGAGCTTTTCTGCAATATGAGATCAATATTCAAAGTGTTTAAATAGATTTTCAACCCTGTTTCAATATATTACATCTAATCCATGTAGCAGTTTACCTTCTTGAGCAATAGATAGTTTAGATTCTCCTTTTTCTGCTACCATTGCTTTTATTTCTTCTACATCATTGTGTATTGACAGCCATTCTGACGTGTATTTCTCGACCACGTATGCCAGTGTGCGAGTCGACACAACTATACCCTCGACATGTTGGTCCATATGCACGTCGATTTCACAAATTCTTCGAACCAGCTCATCCAGATATGGTACTGGCATTGGTGTAGTATCAAAAAAACTGCTTTTGGTATTGAATGTGCTCCTCCACTTTTGTTCGAGATGGTAAAGGCGTTGTTTTACAGTACTTTTAGCACATTCTAGTTTATCAATAGTATGTTGAGCAGCTTGTTTTGCAAATTCCTTTTCCCGGTGACAATTGGATTTTAGCATGATAATAGTGCGGTGACACTGCAAAAGGTTCAGCGTGAGAGCTCCAATGATTGCTATAATACATACGCATACAAATGCATCTGGACTTGTAAGATTTTCTAATATGACACTAAGTATTAATAAAGTCATGTCTATTTGAAATAGAATAGAATAAAATTGGCAGTCTTGTGTTTTATGGAAAGCTTGATTTCATTAGACCATGTCGTGTTTTTGTCCTTGATCTATATTTTCAAACCATCTCACTCAAACTACCAAAAAATGATTGTAGAATCTCAACTTGAGAATTTAAAAACTATTGAATATGTTTAAAATAGATACTTTGCTTTTGTTGGCAGCAGTGATTTTAGGACCATGTTCTCACCTACTAACATGCCGGCTATAGACGGCGTTTTTGCAAAACTGATGTCTGACAACTTGTGATTCAACTTTTGCGTGTCAAAATTCTGATATTATCATAATGGTAAAAGCAGCACTGGCAAAAGATACTTTGAATACTTTTCTACTTTTGCAAGTGTTGGGTATACCCAGTTTAGTAGGATATGGCACATTAGCAAATTTGGCTCAGAACATATGGTTTTTTGAATATCCGCCTTCACCAAGCAATGAGAATTGTATAGATTTAAAATATTGTAATCACAAGTTTACCGACTTGGATGTCTGCCATATATTACATGTGAATTTTGACAACTTTTACAATATGGTTAAAGTCTGGGGTTGTAGATTTCAATATGACTCTTTAATTAAAATTCATGCACAATAACGAAACAGTTTAGGCATCAATTACACCTATTCAAAGATTCGCAACAGTAAACATTATTTGCGACATGCACCATCTTTTCCACCACTTGTGATTAAACCATCCAAAATCTGAATAGCAGAACCAAGTGCCCATCCAGTCTCAATTCCCTTGATCTTTTTAGCAGTTTTCATCTTCCTGGTATCGGGCAGACTATAACCAGTACCAAGTAGCTGATGCATAAACCCAAGATCCATACACCAGTGTGGGTTTTCCTGAAACAGTTGTTTCCCAACATCTGTGAGTTTCAAAGTATCACCTTTGCATACCAATTCAGCAGCAGCCTTGAGATCCCCAACAAGAAACTCGGAGGTGGCATTAAATGGCTCAGCGTAGTTATCGTAGAAATACGAAAACGCGTACATGTCGTTATGGGGGAACGTAGCTTGTAGTGATGGCATATAGATGCCATCAAAGGAACAGGTTCGAAGAGGCGGTGTAAGTTTACAGCTAGACTCGGACTTGTCAAAGAGATGCGTAGTGATAAATGCACTACAGGATCCAAACCCATCTGCCGTGCCGATAATGTCCGGGATTTTATCTATTGCCATGATATCCTTTTCTCTGCCTTTGCGTACACAAGGCTGATGATTATTGCTATTGGAAGTAGTGGAAGATACACCCAGGATTCGCTGTCTTCCGGCGCGCAGTCCATACCCATCATATGAGTGCTGGTATAGATGATAGGTGAAGCCGCCAAACGTGAGATCGTATCTGTGACTTCCCTCTGGTAAAGTCTTATGACCCGCATCATTGGTATCTGCAGCCATATCAGGTTCAAAGACAATCTGTGTTGAACCACCACCTAGATCCAAGATGGCGGCAGTAAGATGACGTTTGGCAGTACCAATATAGCCTAAAAGGTAATTGACAGTGATCCATGCATACACTCCTTCACTACTGCCCTCCATGATAACCACTCCGTCCTTCTGTAGCACTGGAAATGGATACTCCTTGTCCAGCTTGGTTTGAATTGCAGCCAGAATCCGAGTGGACATATCACCTTTAAGCATACGCAGTCCAGCAGTGGCTTTGACTGTTATTGGAGTGCATTGATGCAAGGACTGAGGCACATTTTGCAGAGCTGTTTGCAAAAGAGAGTCCAAAGATGCAGCAGCTAGTGTAGGGTCGGTGTAGGAGGACAGCCCAGGTTTAACCTGCTCAAAGACCTCGTCTTCAAGTGTGGGTTGTGACCCTTTGCAGTAGTTGAAGCGATACACATGAATACGAGATCCAGTCGATCCAGCATCAATAATCAGTGCATACTGAATAGAGGGTCTGTCAGAGTGTAAGGGATGCTGACACTGCTGTGATGATGTATGTGCAAATGATTGATACTTGCTTGTGCTCAAGGATATATTGACCAGCTGCGATCCTGTTCATATAGTTGGTATCCAATGTACAATTCGCTTCTATGGTCACCATCTTATACATTGACTAGGTCAAGGCATTCATTAGACCACAAGTACGCTTACCAGGACGTTGAAGTGTCAGAGTCAGTAGTCCAATAGCAGCTACCACATACAAGAGTCCCTTTAGACTGGCCAAATCTGCTAATAGCCCAAGTACTGTTATGCTTTTACTATGACCAGAGGATGGTGATGCATGTCCAATGCTGCTTCCTCCAGGCCTGGTGGCCTGGTATAGAGCATTGGTATTTCGACTAGTAGGTGACTGTCGTTTACTGGCCATACTATAATCGACTATGGTCAATGTGGTATAGTGCAATGTAATGCTCTAGATGCTATTTACTACCAGATCTTGCAGATTGAACTCGCCCTTTTCTGAAAAACAACTCTTGCATACATCTGATCTTCATACTCATTGCAGTATGTCATCAGCTCGCTCTATTCCATTCATCACTACTTTGTATTCTCTCATCACTCGTCTATACATTGACTCGTTGCAAACCTTGTCACTTGTATCGTCTTCACATTCAACAATCATTTACACTAAACTGCAAAGTCTAAATAAAATAATTGATGCCAACTAACTTGTACAACTATCATGAGTTGAATATCTTTGATTTGAGCTTGTTGTATGATGATAGTCTTTTGCAAATTGTCCTATCAAGCCTGTTCAAGTTTATTCTTTTGCTTTTAATACAATACTTGCTAAAATAGCACGCTTTCCTTTATTCCATGATATTCTCAACTCCAGATTAATTACAATTTCTACAAATACCTACTGTAAAAAGTATCCAAAATATATATACCATGCTATTCAAAAACAAACTTTTGACCATTTTCAAACAAACTTGTCGGAGTTTCTACAACTTCAAACAAGCAATTTAGATCTGATTGTTTATTTGATAGGTATCACCGAATCGAGGTTTTTGTAAATAATATCTCGACTAAGCATAGATGAAGAGAAGACACTCAACAATCACAACCTAATTGCCATTATATCCGTTTTCATCAAACATTGGATAGAGTTTACCATTTTTTGTAATCTGATTGGTCAAAAGTATTTAAATGTTTGAAAGCTTTGCTTTTCAAATCATATTAGTTATTTATATATTATGGTAGATTGCTCCCACTTTTGAGTTCCTTCACTTCTGAATTATACTTGATTTCTACAGCAACTCTAGAGATTCTTTATATTCATATACGTTTTATAGTATAAATTATCCTTCACAAAACATTTATTTTTTAAACCTGTTACATACTCGTTTATAAGACACCTACTGTTAAGCATGCTTAGTCATGTATATGGCTGGAAGGCACTATGTGCTTTTGGGCTAGCAGCTCTTGCTCAGGCTGCTACCCATGATATCAGCATTACTATGACTGGTAAGTACTTGATGCTGTTGGTTGTATTACGACGCGTCTTTGATCTAAAAAGACGCGTTTAGATCTATCCAGTTATTCTGTTCACTGCCTTCATCAGTCATGTTCTAACTACTTGTATGGTCAACTTTATTAAAATGTATAAAATATCACACCACTATTATTTATTTGCTTGTCTACATTCATGCAACCATTACCACCCACCATTTTTTGTAAACAGTTGATGATACCTATGACCTCACGCTTGATGGGGTTTGCTATCAGGGCCCTGAATCTACATCTAGCTTGCAAAGCTGGCAAAATGTTCAAACTTATACCAAAAAGGTTGATGGCGATGGTCCGTGGCTTATTGCTATTGAAGGTCAAGACATTGGCACTATTGCTGGTCTGTTTGCTGCCGTTAAAATTGATGGTGTGCCATACTCGACTACTGCCACTTCAAACAATCTGTTTGTCATGACAGCCGACACTCCTAAAGATGGCTGGAAATTAGATGTAAACTACGATGACAGCGACTGGCACACTCAAACTACTGATACTTGTACTGATTACAAAACTGAATGGGCAACCCTGTTACCTACTCTTGACTCTAAAACTGGTAAAGAAATTGCTCGCTCTATGTAAGTACTCAAATTATGATAAACGCAAAATAGTTGTGCTTGATCCCAATGTGATGCATATTGATTTTAAAAAAATTGGGTTTAAATTAACTAAAATCAACGCTTTATCTATTACTGGCGTTAAATTGTATTACACCAGGTGGTATCCTAACTGCAGAAACACTGGAACTATTGAAAATCCTAAATCAATGTATTTCCGCTTGGTTTTAACTCCTCCATCGGTACGTAGTTGCTATTTTATTGGCAATAATTGATCAATCATTTAGAATCGCCACAAACCTTTTACTAAATCATTTATTTTATATTCAGTATGCCCCTCCTTCATATATACCCCCGCCTCCACCACCACCTACCACACACATTCTTGCCATCACCATGGCTGTCGATGACAGTTATGACTTGAACCTTGATGGTCAAAAGATTTCGGTTCCATACACGCCATCTGGCTGGCAAAGCGTCAAGACCTACACCAAGACTGTTGTCGGTGATGGTCCATGGCTGATATCTGTCAAAGGCTATGACGATGGAACTATTGCTGGATTTTTCTCAGTGGTTACTCTTGATGGTGTACCATACTCGACAACCGCTACCGCGACCAACAAATTCCGCATGACACCCAATACTCCAGCCGCTGGATGGGATTCTAGCTTGAGTTTTGATGATAAGGACTGGTACACACAGACATATGATTCATGCACCAACTATTCCAGTTTCTGGGCTGCTCTTCTACCTAATCTGGACGCGCAGACTAAAGGACAAGTTGCTCGTGCCATGTGGTATCCTGATTGTTACAACACCGGTACCGTTGCTTCGCCAAAGCCTATGTACTTCCGTCTTACTGTCGGTGGACCTAAATCGTCTTATATTCCTGCCAACCCCAATCCCGTTCCCACACACACTCTTGCCATCACCATGGCTGTCGATGACAGTTATGACTTGAACCTTGATGGTCAAAAGATTTCGGTTCCATACACGCCATCTGGCTGGCAAAGCGTCAAGACCTACACCAAGACTGTTGTCGGTGATGGTCCATGGCTGATATCTGTCAAAGGCTATGACGATGGAACTATTGCTGGATTTTTCTCAGTGGTTACTCTTGATGGTGTACCATACTCGACAACCGCTACCGCGACCAACAAATTCCGCATGACACCCAATACTCCAGCCGCTGGATGGGATTCTAGCTTGAGTTTTGATGACAAAGGCTGGTATACTCAGACAATTGATTCATGCACCAACTATTCCAGTTTCTGGGCTGCTCTTCTACCTAATCTGGACGCGCAGACTAAAGGACAAGTTGCTCGTGCCATGTGGTATCCTGATTGTTACAACACCGGTACCGTTGCCAACCCTAAACCTATGTACTTCCGTCTTACTGTCGGTGGACCTAAATCACCTGCTATTCCTGCCAACCCCAATCCCGTTCCTACACACACTCTTGCCATTACCATGGCTGTTGATGATTTCTACACTATCAATATTGATGGCGCCATCACTAGTGTTCCATACACGCCATCTGGCTGGCAAAGCGTCAAGACTTACACCAAGACTGTTTTTGGTGATGGTCCATGGCTGATATCTGTCAAAGGTAATGATGTTGGAAATGTTGCTGGTCTGTTTGCAGTAGTTACTCTTGATGGTACTCCTTATACCACCACAGCCTCTCCAACCAACAAGTTCCGCATGTATCCCAATACTCCAGCCGCTGGATGGGATTCTAGCTTGAGTTTTGATGATAAGGACTGGTACACACAGACATATGATTCGTGCACTGATTATAACGATCAATGGACTGCGCTTCTACCTAATCTGGACGCGCAGACTAAAGGACAAGTTGCTCGCTCAATGTGGTATCCTAACTGCAAAAATACCGGTACCGTTGCCAACCCTAAGCCCATGTATTTCCGTCTTACTGTCGGTGGACCTAAATCACCTTCCATTCCTGCCAACCCCAATCCTGTCCCATCTCATTCTTTGGTTGTTACCATGGCTGTTGATGACTATTACGATCTTACCATTGATGGCAAAAGATACACTGAACCCAAAACTCCTACCAGCTGGCAGAGCGTCAAGACCTACACCAAGACTGTTATTGGTGATGGTCCATGGCTTGTTTCTGTCCATGGATATGATGTTGGAAATGTTGCTGGTCTGTTTGCAGTGGTCACTCTTGATGGTGTACCATACTCGACAACCGCTACCGCGACCAACAAATTCCGCATGACATCCGATACTCCAGCCGCTGGATGGGATACTAGTTTGAGTTTTGATGACAAGAGCTGGTACACCCAAACGACTGATTCGTGCACTGATTATAACGATCAATGGGCCGCTCTTTTGCCTGGTCTTGATTCTATGACCAAACCTCAAGTTGCTCGTTCAATGTGGTATCCCAATTGCAAGGGTACTGGAACCAATGCCAATCCCAAATCAAACTATTTCCGTCTTACTGTCGGTGGACCTAAATCGCCTGCCATTCCTGCCAACCCCAATCCCGTCTCTACACACACTCTTGCCATTACCATGGCTGTTGATGATTTCTACACTATCAATATTGATGGCGCCATCACTAGTGTTCCATACACGCCATCTGGCTGGCAAAGCGTCAAGACTTACACCAAGACTGTTATTGGTGACGGTCCATGGCTGATATCTGTCAAAGGCAATGATGTTGGAAATGTTGCTGGTCTGTTTGCAGTGGTTACTCTTGATGGTGTACCATACTCGACAACCGCTACTGCGACCAATAAATTCCGTATGAGTCCATATACTCCAGCAGCTGGATGGGATACTAGCTTGAGTTTTGATGACAAGAGCTGGTATACTCAAACATATGATTCGTGCACTGATTATAACAATCAATGGACTGCGCTTCTACCTAATCTGGACGCGCAAACCAAAGGACAAGTTGCTCGCTCAATGTGGTATCCTGACTGCAAAAATACCGGTACCGTTGCTATCCCTAAGCCCATGTACTTCCGTCTTACTGTTAGTGGACCTAAGTCACCTGCCATTCCTGCCAACCCCAATCCTGTTCCCACGCACTCTCTTGCCATTACCATGGCTGTTGATGACTTTTACACTCTTAGACTCGATGGTCAAACAGTCTCAGTTCCATACACGCCATCTGGCTGGCAAAGCGTCAAGACCTACACCAAGACTGTTGTCGGTGATGGTCCATGGCTGATATCTGTCAAAGGCAATGATGTTGGAAATGTTGCTGGTCTGTTTGCAGTGGTTACTCTTGATGGTGTACCATACTCGACAACCGCTACCGCGACCAACAAATTCCGTATGACACCAAACACTCCAGCAGCTGGATGGGATACTGACGCTTACTTTTCTGATGCAAGTTGGTATACTCAGACCTATGATTCGTGCACTCAGTATGCCAATCAATGGACTGCTCTTTTGCCTGGTCTTGATACTGCTACCAAACCTCAAGTTGCTCGCTCAATGTGGTATCCTGACTGCAAAAATACCGGTACTGTTGCCAACCCTAAGCCCATGTACTTCCGTCTTGTGGTTGCCGGTCCTGGATCGTCTTATATTCCTGCTAGTCCAAATCCCGTCTCCACACATACTCTGTCCATCACCATTGCTGTTGATGACAACTACGTCCTGAATCTTGATGGTCAACAGCACTCTATTGCATATTCTGATAACAGTTGGCGACAGGTTAACACTTACACCAAGACTGTTGTCGGTGACGGTCCATGGCTGATATCCGTTCATGCCTATGATTCTGGAACCATTGCCGGATTCTTTTCTTCTGTGTTTGTTGATGGTGTGCCATACTCGACGACCGCTACTGCGACCAACAAGTTCCGCATGACACCCAATACTCCAGCCGCTGGATGGGATTCTAGCTTGAGTTTTGATGACAAGAGCTGGTACACACAAACAGTTGACGTTTGCACCAATTATGCCAATCTCTGGGCTGCACTTCTACCCAACCTGGACGCGCAGACTAAAGGACAAGTTGCTCGTCCTATGTGGTATCCTAACTGCTATAACACCGGTACTGTTGCTTCACCAAAGTCCATGTACTTCCGACTTTTGGCCGTTAGCTCCAAGGTAAAATTTATTATACTTGATCATTTTGTGATTTTATAAAACCTTTGTAAGTTTGGTTTGTATGGTTGCTGATTTTATTTTTGGTTTAATTAGGCTTCTCCTATTCCTGCTAATCCTAACCCGTCATCAACCCCTGCATACCAAGCTCCTGGATACACACCAACTCGTGTTGTTTACACTCCCCCAGTATACAAAGCTCCTAGCCCCCCAGTATACAAAGCTCCAGCTTATCCGGCATACCAAGCCCCTTCCTATTATTCAAGCTATGATAAGCGCGATCATGTTGCTTCCAACTCTAAACATCCTCGATATGGTAAATCCCAGAACAGTGGAAATTAGAATGATTTGGTAATATTATGATATATCAGGTTTTATTTCCAAGTTCAGTAACTTTTTCAATCATTTTTGATTGGGATTGGAAAGTGACGGTTTCAAAATATTGACCAAAATAAAAACAAGTTTCAAGGTTTTCCCTTAAAGCAGTTCTAATTTTAGGTCTTTAACAAAAGTTGTCTAGATTTAAAATCGTGTCGGAGTTTATTTTGAAAAATCAAACTAAAGCAAACTTACCTCAGTTGTTACTTGCCATGAAAATGAAACCCAAATACATTGATTTGTTTGAGATACGGCTACCTTCTACCCATATTATTTTACCTCGAGGTTTTAAACAAGCAGATTTTCATGCCGTAGCCAAGTCAAACAGAGATACAGGTCAAGGGGTTGAACTCAATGGCTCGGTTGTACTAAAATCATTGGTTCAGCTTGACAGAGTTCAAGCCATCCAAGTCCGCTTTGTAGGCTGTATCATATCAAAGCATGATACAAACCAGGTACATACTTTTAGATTCTCAACCGTGTACTAAAAATCTAAAAAAATGCATGTACCGTTCATTCCTTGTTATAAATATCTAGTGTAGCTTAAGAGGTTCTGAACGTCTATTTGATCAGAAAATAACGTTATTTGAGGGGAATCATCAAACTAGTCTACTTGGTTCAATCACACATGTTTTTGATTTTACGGTACGTGTTCCATCATATATGCCTGCATCGACATCTACTAGCCATATGCAAGTGGAATACCTTTTGGTCGCTGCAGTGCATTTTGAGCATGGATGTTGTGGCCTTTTGCCACTTTTTTCTCAAGACTCGATTGTAACACGACAAGAAGTGATCATTATGTATGATTGGGATATTGGAGCCGAGTTTGAGCAGCTAGTGAAGGTGTATGGACAGAGGCTGATTTGCGAAAACAAGGAAAAGTCAAACGGGAAGGAGAAACCAATGTTGGGATTGTGTTCTATTCAAGTCGACTCGGCTTTAGAAATCGGATCAAGCACATATAATGAGGGTGTAGATGATCAGAAAAATAGTACACCTTTTTGGATTATATGGACTCCCAGTTCATACGTTTTAGCAAGGTTTCCGCCTAGTATGAGCTCTCATGCTATGAATTTTCCTATCAAAGTTGTTCTCGCTAAAAACTGGGTACCCATTCATCTCAATTGGAGTATCACGCAGATGGAATCGTACGAGTTTTGGTACACTATCAATGACAGAAAAATGGACAAGCGTGTGTTTGATAAAGGAGAGTGCTGTCGCAATTGGACCAATACTATTGCATCAGGTGTGGTCAAAGTATTTGGTGATGGCAAGATGAATCTTAAAACCGACGAAGTAGAATACCACGTTGATTTAAGTTTTTGCACATCAGATATCGAGCTGGTTGTTGATATCAAGGTACATTTTTGTAGAGAATTTAAATTCAAGCATAATCAGGCTTATCTGCATGCTTTTATATTTTCAAATATACAGTCGCTAACCATGGTTTATTGACTGGCGAGTGTAGTCAAAAATTGCAAATGTATCACATCTACTACACCTTGACCTAGAAGTGGAAACTAAGGATGCTGATTTGACGCTCATCAAAAACACATTCGACTTGATTTGCCCTATTTGTGTCATAAAACCCGTCAATATCCATGAAACTGCAGATCAAACTAGACAATTTCTAACGAGTAATACAGAGGATATATTTGAAGCAAAAAAAGCAGCTCCAGCAGCTGAAGTTTCGGATGAGGTAAATCAGTCTATTCGGAATAGGTCAAGACAGTCAAAAGCCGTTTCTAACGACACAAAACCAATCCTGTGAATAAACTATAATCTTTATCCTGTACCTAAAATTCTAAACAATACTTTGCACGATGCCTGCTCTCGGCCAACAATCAAGTGGTGTGGTGTATAGCGTGCCAAAAACTAAAAGTTTTGCAGTTTATAAACTGTCAGGTCAATTCAAACCAGTATGTAAATTTGTCCAGCTTAGCAAGCACCAACAGATCTGGTTGCACTTGTAGGAGATATTGTAGCATATTCAATATAGTCTACCAAACAGCATATCCTACAGATATATACGATGATAAGAACTCTTCCTGCCAATAGACTTGCGGCAAGTAGGACACCGTTTGTCATGCCCAAGTGACTGTAGTAAGCACTCCTCACAGAAAATATGACCACATATAGTGGAGGATAGTTGGGTAGTTGGTCCAGCCAAAGTGAGACATACAGCACATTTCAGCGATGCAGGTGGAGGAGCAGGCTCGGGTGGTGGAATAGTTACAGTTGGAAGGCGATCGCGAGATGACAATGCACGATTAATGGAAATAGGTTGAACTCGAGATGTGCTTGTATGTGTAAAGAGTGTAGGTTGGTCCATGTAATTGGAGGGCATGTATTGCGCTCCAAAGCGAACCTGGGGCTGATGAGGAATAGTAGTGTATTCTATAGATTCAAGGAATAAATAGGATGAGTCCAGTCAGTACCAAAAAGTTGGAATATGCTCATGAAATTATTATCTAATCGTCAGAATCAATCCATATTTTTGGACTACTAATACACAAATGTATTAATAGTCCAATTCAACATACCAAATATTCTACTAGGCTGTGGATGCTGATGAAATGTATATCCTGATATTCCTTCCGAGTTTCTGCCAGGCGGCATAACAAAATCAGTAATGTGATGAGTAGTGAATAGATTTGTAGCTCGGTTGGGTACAGATGGATGGACTACACGAATAATTTCAATATCATCAGATGAATAGTGAGTATGCCGTGAGGTAGATCTGGCCGAGTCAATCATAGGACAAGGTAAAGTCAGGTCTGTTATATTTCGCTGCTGTAGTCTACTATTAGGAGGCGTGCTAGGCGCAGATATGACTAAAGGAGGGGTATCATCAGTTAAATCTATAACATCCTGTGCAGATGAATGTGTAATGTCATCCGTTGAATCCAGTATGATGAGAGGTGCTGTGTCTTGTGATGTCGTGAGGAAGGTGCTGGATGAAATAGCAGGCGAGTTGGATCGAGTGGTAAAAGTTATTTCTGACGAGTTAGTTGGTTGAGAGGTTGTAATATTTGGAATGGACTCTCCCGATAACATTAACAACTCGGATTCTAAACATGGCTCTACTACTCCTGTATTCGACTCTTTTAGATGTTCATGATCAGCTTGAATTGTTTCTGGCTCTGTTTTAGCCAAAAGGTCTTTTGAGAGAATGTCAAACGGCTCGATTGGGTCTTGTCCAAGTGAAAACGCAGTTTCGTCAGTTTCAGAAGAAGTTCTGCATACAGTTGGACTTGCATTCAAAAACAATCGTCTTCGCTTATTAGGAGAGAGTTTATCAGTAGAATCATTCATTGGATTGATGGACAAAGTTTCTGATGCAAGCTGACATCAAGTTTAGTTTCTGTTGAAGCTTACACCCCATATATACGGAACAATCCCTATTTATAGGGTCTACTAAATCGCTATTGAATTCATTAAACCGACTTTATCAACTGTTTGGTAGGATGGATGCCGAGGTTGCTCCATTAATCAACCAACATCAGATTGTGCTTCCTCGTCATGCTCGTCGCTCTGGAGCAGAATCTGCACACAACGATGATGACAGTGACACTGGCTATGACCTTGAAGGCTACGGCCACTCTACCAACCACAACTCATCAGATGGCATTGCATCTAATGCTCGATCTTATGGAGATGCCATTTCTTCCCTCTTTACCGACAACTACATGTCTCTTGAATTGAAGCCAGATGCTCATCGTCGTCCTCTGTGGGTGTGCCACAATGGTCGTATTATTTTAGAAGCTTTTTCTCCATTGGTTACCCAAGCCCAGGATTTCTTAATCACCATCGCTGAGCCTGTTACCCGTCCTTCTCGCATTCATGAATTTAAACTCACTGCATACTCTCTTTACGCTGCTGTCAGTGTTGGCATGTCCACCGATGTTATTCTGGATGTTTTGGAACGCTTCAGCAAGATTGCTGTTCCTAATCGTGTCATCCAATTTATTAAAGAATGCACTCTTAGCTACGGAAAAGTCAAACTGGTCTTGAATAGAAACAAATACTTTATTGAATCAAGTTATCCAGAGATTTTGCGAATCTTACTGGCATCCCCCGTCATTGCCTCTGCCCGTGTCATTCGTAATGATGACGATCAGACGGATCTCAACAATTTGAATCCCTCAACTTTAGGCCATATAAACAATCACTCACATTCCATAATGGATGGGTTTAAAAAATTAGGCTCCATTGCTAGCAACAATACTAAGTTGGACCCATGGTCTGCAAAACGCCTTAAACTCGTCACCAATGGCGCAGACAAAGAAGATGTAGATGCCCAATTCGGTGCTGTTATTACCCTGGATAAAGAAGATGATGATGACGATGCAGATGCTATTGCTAATTCTGCAACTCATGCAAGAGATGGTCTGACAGAAAAGGGCTCTAATTTGATTCTTGACGACGAATCCGACTTTACCCAATCATTTGAAATTGCCTCGCACATGGCTGAAGAAGTGAAAAAGAAATGTACCGAGCTAGACTACCCTTTAATGGAAGAGTACGATTTTCGAAAAGATGATATCAACGAAGATCTTGACATTGATTTGTCGCCAAAAACTACCATTAGAGATTATCAGGAAAAGTGTCTGAGTAAAATGTTTGGTGGTGGTGCCTCGGGCGGTCGTGCTAGATCTGGAATCATTGTTCTTCCTACTGGTGCTGGTAAAACACTGGTTGGCATCACTGCTGCTTGCACTGTCAAAAAAAGTACATTGGTACTGTGTACCAATGCTTTGTCGGTTGAACAATGGGCAAACGAGTTTCGTAAATGGTCTACTCTACAAGATCATCAGATTGCAAAATTTACTGCGGATTCTAAACAACGGGTAATTTATTTTATTTGATGTGCATGAATCTATATGTGCTCGCGTTTTAATCTTTTTATCTAGTTTGCTGGAAATTCTGGTGTGGTTGTATCCACCTATACTATGATTTCACATACAGGAAAGCGTGCCTACGACACTCAAAAAATGATCGAGTTTGTCAATGGTCATGAATGGGTATGCTTATACGTTGAAACGCTTTGATTTAAACTAGACGAATCGATTAGATCTTTTAGTATACTTTTATTGTCCTGAACCTATTTTTAAGCGATTTTTAATAACATAATGTATGACATACAACAAAGGGTCTGATGATTCTCGATGAGGTCCACGTCGTTCCAGCAAATATTTTTCGACGTGTATTGACGACAGTAGCCGCACATACAAAACTAGGACTTACAGCCACTTTGGTGAGAGAAGATGACAAAATTGAAGATTTGAATTTTCTTATTGGTCCAAAACTTTATGAAGCCAACTGGATGGATCTTGCTACTCGTGGTCATATTGCCAAAGTTGAGGCTGTGGAGATTTGGTGTCCAATGACTGGTGATTTTTATCAGCAATATATCAATTCTAAGCCAGGGTAAGTTTTTATTTAACTCTAAACTTTAACTTGCAAATAGTACCTTGATGAATTGATCAGCCATATATTTCTACTTTGATTTCATCCATTATATAAATAGCAAGCGAAGGCTGTTGTGTGTAATGAATCCTGCCAAATTTATGGCTGCGCAGTATTTAATCAAGTGGCGTGAGAAACAAGGCGATAAGATTATTGTATTTTCGGATAATGTATTCGCTCTCGAGGTAAACATCTCATTTTTTGTCCATACCAAAAGGTTTAATTTGAGATGCAGGTCAAACAACTGTTGGTTTTTAAAAAAAATTAATATTTTAATTTAATAGTACTATGCCAAAGCTCTTAAAAAACCATATATTTATGGTGGGACATCACACGAGGAACGATCTCGCATCCTCAACTATTTTCGCAACAACCATCCCATGTTTCGAACTATTTTCCTTTCCAAAGTAGGTGACACATCTCTTGATCTTCCTGAAGCTACGTGTCTTATCCAAATCTCGTCTCAATTCGGCTCACGTCGACAAGAAGCTCAGCGTATGGGTCGTATTCTTCGTGCCAAGCGAAGAAACGAAGAAGGGTTCAAATCACGATTTTATACTTTGGTGAGTAAAGATACCGACGAAGTGGTATTTAGTGCTCGAAGAAGGACGTTTCTAGTTGATCAGGGATACGAATTTCATGTGGTGCCAAACTATTTGAGTATGATTCCTGAGGAGGATCGAGGCGAGTTGCTGATGAGTCAATATTCCGATCAGGTCAAGTTGCTGCAGTTGGTAAAGCAACAAACTGAAGAAGTGGGCATGGATGAGGTTGTTGTTGCAGAAGCTGATGATCTGGCTGGGGTGTGGATGTCTCAAAGTGGAAGTATGGGTAAGCGTGGTGTAGCAAATAGACGAGGACGTGGTGGTTCTAGCACAAATGGTCGTCCAGCCGCTGTTGGCAAAAAGTCGCATTCGTTGTTTAAAGCTTGGAAAGCAAAATAATATTCATTTGTTTTATTTTATAGTAATTCCAGAATATTGTTTTCGGTAAAACTGGTCAAGATTTAAAAGTTTAAACTTATAGGCTTGGTCTGTAAGCTTGAGATATTTGGGTCAGTACAACAATCCACTCATCAAACAACTGTTTCAAACACAAGTCATCTGTGACCAACTACTTGATTGAAAATATTCACAAAGTTTACACAATCCCAACAAATTGATATTACAATTTCAAACATGCTATAATATCACTCGTTAATGATGGATGTCATTCTATTCAAATATACATCTACAACACCATATACACTGCATGATTACTTGCACTTTCAATCACCATCTGTCATTATTTTGTTTGCTACTAGTTCACCAGTTTGCATTCAATCACATGCATATTATTACAAACACCATTGTGCAATATACATCATTCTTATGATCGTGTTTGTACCAACTCGGATCTGAATGATTACATACACTTTCAACATATTTGATATGGTCTGATCCAGTGACACATTAGTCAATATCTATATGCGAGTTTCCCACTCACTTTTGATTATTGCAATGCGGATTCACAATGTGATTAAACTGGCACTATTTACCATACTTGAATAGGCTACTGCTAGACCATTGTACACGATTACGTATTCGACTACTGAAATGCATAACATGTTCAACCACAATATATCATCAAGTATTACATCACAACACATGTAGTCATTGACTTGAGATCTGCAACTCTGTACCACACCAACAATTGGAATGACGATCGCAATCATTTATTCCATCGAATGATCAACTATAATACAATAACATGATGGCATTCATTGACAGCTGTCGTGTCCATCACATGTATGATACTGTTCATTTATACATGAACAATGCAGCCATATTTGCAGGTGAACCCACATTCTGCATACTTGATTACTTTTAACATTATCGACCACTGCCTCTGCAACAATCGGAATGCAACACCATCTTGTAATGGTCAGATCTGTTTGACTGGTCATTGCCATGACTCTTTGCAATGCTTTGGATAGTCCAAGATTAAACTGGTATTGACCATTTCAACTATACAACTCATATCTGAAACCAAGCAATTGATGCATTACCAGTTTAATGTTTTGTCGAGATTGCTTGCTTGATAACATTTTCATTTGTCGTATTCTTCCATTGCCCATAATTAATGCTATACATTTTATCCGATTTCCAAGTTGGCTATACAGTTGTAGCCAATCAACACGCCTGCTTACTATCATCCTGCTTTTGCTTATCAACTCAAAATCTAGTCATTTCGAACTTGAAATGAACAAGGCATATTGCAATCATTCATGATTACAAATAGCATGGTGATATAACACACTTGGTATATAAACAGGCATGTCATCAATTCAAGTAACTCAAGCCACTAATAGTGTGTCCACTTTTGAGTACTCGGTTGATTCATGCTCCAATGAGTCTTGCTTCAACACATACAGAACATGCATACAGTCAATATAAACAAGGTTGTTAGTGGTGTGAAATGGACGTTTCATGTATATGCCAAGCACTCATTCAATGTTATACCAGCCCAGTTTTATCTGTCTGAATTCGGCATTTGACTCGCAATGCACAAGTTTGGAGTGTATGCAAGTTGTATATGATATGGCGCATTCCAGCAACATGCATTAATTTCTAGAGTTTAACTGATTTACAATTGAAAACAGGTATCGGTGCTACATCCAACTACAACTGCAATCAAGTTCCTTTGAATTTGCCATACATACAATTAATCAAAAGTAATACAGCAATACATCCGCTTCAAATATATGGCTTGGGTGCATGTAATTTGTAGGCACACGCATCATCCACATATGACATTGATGTGCTTTTTGGCTAGCATATATGTTTGGGCTATCAAACTATTGCATAGCATGCTTTGTAGATTCGAAATATAAAACAGCGTCAAGTCGCATGAAATGGCATACAATCAATCTTACCAATATCCACCATTGTAGCAGCTTAATCCTATACTTGCCACGTACATACTGCAAGATACTAAACCACACAATGTTTGTTTCTACCGTTTCTTTCGTGCTCGCTCTTGCCACCTCTGCAGTTTTTGCGGTTCCAACCATTCCATCCACACAAGACGCCCCTGACAGTCTTCCATTTTACTTTCCCGAATCCACGTACCAACAGATTCCTTATGATCACTCATCCAGCCTCATGGCTCCGTCCAATACCGATCCAGTCAAGACTGGTGTTGCGTATCTCTGTGACAAACTCAATCTCACACCTAACGAGTTCAAGGTTTACAATAACTTTACGGACAGTGCTGGCATAACTCACGTATATGGTGCACATCTAGTTAATGATGCACGTGTATCCAATCACCAAGCTGCAATCCATATCCAAGACGGCCAGATTATCTCATATTCGACTTCGTTTGGTACTGAAAGCCATTTTTCCAAACGTGAGCTTTCGATTGCAGAACCCAAAGCCAAACTGACGTTTGAACAGGTTGCTGATGCTATATCCAAGGCCAAGGGTCTGCCAGTTTACTCTAAGTTTAAACATGAGTTTGAATATGTTCAACAAGAAGATGGCACGCTTGTGTATGCTTATAAATTCGAGCTTCGCGACAAGAATGTTATTTCATGGATCCAAGTTTGGGCAGATACCAACACTGGTATGGTATTTCGGGTTCAGATATTGATTTTTATAGAGTCGGCACTAATCTGAATGTAAATGGATTGATATTAGGCAAACTGGTTCAAGTTGTTGATTTTAGTCGTGGTGCAACATACAAGGCTATCAAAGTTCCTGATCTCAGCCCCAATGATGGGTTTTCAGACATCAAAGATCCAGAATACAAACCATCGTCGCCCAACGGATGGACTAATGGAACTGTCACTGAGGGTAACAACGCCAAGACTATTGACTCTACAAAAAAACCGCCCGTTCCAGCAACCGGTGTTGATGGTGTATTCGATAGCAAGTTCAATCCCGCTGCTAATGTTACCGATCCAGACAACATGCAAGCAGCTGCTGTCAATCTGTTTTATCTTGCTAACCTAATGCACGATATCTCGTATCAGTATGGTTTCACCGAGGTTGCTGGCAATTTCCAAAATGACAACTTTGGAAAAGGTGGTAAGGGTAACGATGCAGTCAATATCAATGTCATGGAGACTTCGGGTTCTGAAAATGCTCTTTTTTTGACTCCACCTGATGGTCAGCCTGGTAGAATGGCAATGTTTCGATACACTTCTACTGAGCCCAATCGCAATCCTGGTCTTGACAGCCAAATCGTTGTACACGAATATGGACACGGTATTTCAAGTCGTTTGACTGGTGGGCCTGCAGCAACTGGGTGTTTGCTCGAAGGTGAGGCTAGAGGTATGAGCGAGGGTTGGTCCGACCTATTTGCCATGATCGTAACTGCCAAAGAATCACACAAAGCCGACACTCCAATTATCTTGGGTGCATATATTTCTGATTCATCCAGCGGTGTTCGCACTCATCCTTTCACTACTGACATGAAAGCCAATCCCTTCACATATTCAGATATTGGAAATAATCAAGAATCTTATATTGTTGGTGAAGTGTGGGCTTCTATACTCTGGGAAGTCTACTGGAACTTGGTCACCAAGAACGGATTCTCCACCAATCTCCACGATGCCAAGGGCAAGTTTGGTAACATTGTTACTATGCAGAATATGATTGGTGGATTTATGCTTCAGCCATGCAAGCCCACTTTCCTTAGTGCTCGTGATGCTTTTATTGCATCTGATGTTGCTCACTACAATGGTGCCAACAAATGCGAGATCTGGAAAGGATTTGCCAAACGCGGTCTGGGAGTCAAGGCTGCTAATAGTACAAACGATTTCTCAGTTCCTGATGAATGCGGTGGTGGTACTTCATCGTCTAGCAGTGTTTCTATTGCTACAACCACAGAATCTACCACAGTAGAGTCTGCCACAACTGTTCAAGCTACCACAACTGTATAAGTTACCACAACTCATGGTTTCTAGCTCATCAAGCATTTATTTCAACTATGCTGGAAAAAGTTGGAATCAAAACTAGATGTTCAAGTCTAGTAATTGTTTCCCACAATTTATTGAATAAAGTATATTGTAACAATGTATAAACAATCTGTATTGGTAACGGCTATTTGGTGTGTATGGCTTTGTGAAAAGTAATGCCATTAGTTTAAACTCGAATGAACACGGCACACTTGCATGGAGTTATCTATGCTTTGATATTCGAGTTTATTCAGAAAATAAATCCATTCAATAATATCAAGTAAAGACTTGAATGAAATACATTCAGATCCATCAGCCCAGAATATGCTGTTTTTACAAGACATTGACTAGTAATACAATATGTCCACCATTGGGTAGAGTTGTACCAATCAAAACAAGTATAGGCTGCATTATCACAATTACTGATGATCGATCTCAGAATTCTGTTTAAACATATCAATCAATGGCAATGACTGTTGAAAAGGCTAGCATGTATGACAAGTGCAAAGTAACTGATTGAGTCGAGAGTATCAATTACACAATCTACCTGCACAATATTCAATTATTATCGACATGATTGGAGTATTGAACATCAAGTTTGATATGCGGTGTCATGGAATCATCTGGTTGTCCATATGATTGTCAATCACCAAACGTGTAGTTGTCAATGTTCAGATCCAATATAAAACAGATGACCATTGGTGATGAGATTGTCATGCAGTATTGATTTACAAGTGCTGACACCAAATCACAATGCATTTGACAAACACACCTAACTAATATTACCGTATAATTGGTTTCAATCAACATCTACGGCCATACACACAAGAAAATACCGGATCCCGTTCGATCTCCGAAGTCAAGCTTGTGATGGCTCAGTCAGTACTGTGGTGGGGGACCACACGGGAATACTGAGTGCTGTAGTTTTTGCTAAATTAACAATCTGATCTCGTTTTGGTATTCTGGATCAAATCTCAACTTGAATCTTGATGATGGTTGTGTTGAAACTGGAAAGCAAGATTTTCATCTGATAAACTATTTGACAGTATCTTAATATGGCGTGTATACTGTGTTCACTACATGATGGTTCATTCCATTTGTCTTGCAAACACTAAATACTACCATAACAGCAGCATAGTATACACTGTATTACCTTCAAGCTATCGACTTTTTCAAGTATACTACATTAATCAACTGTGTATCAGCTATGAACCAAAGTGACCAAAGTTGATAGCAAAGCGTCGGATAATAAAAACCAAAGCATAAATGAATGTATGATGATGGACAACTTTCACTGGCATCGAGACTAGCCATTTATTATGTATTTTAGCTTATTCATTACTCCATTTTACGTGAATACGGCTGTGGATTGAGTTTATAATCACTTTTATAGTAGTGGGATTGGATATGCCACATGCTAGTCCAGATAAAACAACCGAGAAATACAGCCAATGATCAGTATAGCAGCTATTACTTGATAATCGAGTGCATCGTAAGCTCAAACATGCACTGAGTGATTTGTGTTTAATGATTCATTGACAAATCTTTGAGCAATAATGAATTATTCTAGTATTAGATTCATAGTCCGACTAATATTGGATATACTGATATATCAAGACCGATACTACACTGATCAAATGTTCAATGAGTAACAAGTGCTTGCAAGTGATATTACAATCAGAAAGTGAGCATAACAACAATACTAGTATGGAATTGGCAAGGTGGTGATTGGATAAACGAGCAAGCATATGTGATTGACGCTTTTAAACTGACAATTGTATAACATGGACTAAAAACTAGGACGGTTTGGTCGTTTCAAACAAATGAAATCCGACTTTAGCTCAGTTGGTAGCAGCAACAGACTGTAGTATAACAACTATCTGTGGGTCCTCGGTTCGACTCCGAGAAGTCGGATTTTTGCTTTTTGCTGTTGATATCAATTGAAACCTTGTTTTAACTCTAAGCCAATACTTTTGTCAAGTACATGCACAGTTGACTGTCGGACTGTATTCCCTATATATAATCTGTCGAGTATTCGGTACTATTTTGGAGTTTAGATCCTTGTGACTAGTCATTATTGTCGTAAAACTGCATGTGTATTAATCAATCGGCTATTGATATTTATAGCCGTATTGATACAACACTTTTGTATCTTGCAACGACTTTGTTTTGGTTTAGAATATACAATGGTTACATATTCGTTGTGCTTGTTGGTATTTTCAATTTTTTCAAGCATGATGTCCATCGTATGATGCAAACTATGGTTTGAGCTGAAATTGCCTTTATTTGGCATAACCACACATTGTGCAACCACCAAGCTTGAGCCCAGATTCATGTATTGCATTTGGTTGTTTTAATGTTATCAAAACAACTATACACATGATGTATTTTAAACTATCACAGATACATTCGCGTTTGGTTCAAGAGAACGATTGCACATCTTGGGAATGCAACTGTTGTTTGCATGCCAATCACCACCAACAATACCGCTGAGCTTTGTCACCCAGTCCATGACACAATGTTGTCCAGCCAGTGTGATATGAATTGGCACCATCAAACATGAGACCGGCAGTTTATTATGCACATTGACATCTTTATTTAGCGATCCATTTTACGTGAGTATGGCTGTAAAATTGTAATCAAGTACTGTTAATAGTTTTACTTCCGGATATGCATCACCAGCTATAAACGAGGTTGTGGATGCAATATACTCAGTCTTTACTACTAAATTCGCTATACGATGTAGTGTTGTGAGCATCCAGTATTACCATTGTAATGATTGTGCTTTGGATTGAACTGCTCAAACTTTCAAGACTCATTTTATTAGCCAAGATATATAATGGATCAAGTATTGGCTTGCAAGTGCAACTTTCACATTGGTAATATAGGATAATAACGGCTTTGTAACTTACAATAATCAATGTTACAGTAATAAACTTTTATTGAGCAACAATAGTGATTTGCACTTTTATTGATTGTGTAAACTATCCATATATCATGCAATCAACCATGTGCTCCGACTACATGTTATAACAATAAAGGGATCCATGACCATCATCCCGTTTAAATATACAACAGTGATGGTAATATGTCGAACCTATTTTGCGTGAACCAAGAGTTTTAGCAGCATTTTCAAAATGAGGTAGTCGATTTCGATTTAATATGAAAGAATGCTTACGTTTTAACAGACGAGTTTAATCGAGGTGGAATGTGCTCATGTATTCATGCAGCAGTTTGAGTAGATTTTAGTATCAAACCATGTCTTGGCCAAAAAACTGTCCGTTTGAACAGCAATGGCAGTCAAACAGGATACATTCAACACTCTTGTCATGTAGTTAGATTCATTCAAAAATATCGTGTTCAAACTGCATCAGCCGAGACAAATCTACCAAATAGCTTATTCGAGCAATCTCAGTTCAAACAATGACTCATTTCATCCGATGCACTTTTATTCATTATAAAAAGTATGCAGCTGGATCAAACTTATACTTGACGGCAGACTCAACGAGATAGCACATATTTGCAAAGCCATTGCTGCGTTTGAACCATCATCCACGGAGAAAAAGTATGGCCGGCATCAGGATCAATGCGCTCGTCAAACCACTCCGACTTGCCCTCAGCACCATACCTTTCCCTAACACGATCAATAAACATCTTGTTAGCAGATGGAGGAACCATGGCGTCTAACCCTCCACCAAGAATCAAAAGTTTCTGGTTGTCGAGTTTGTGGACATTGTTGACTGGATCCAGACGGGTCAAAATCTGAACAAGGCTGGGTGGAAAGCATTCACAGGAATCGGTTGAAATGGACAGACCGGATGCTTGTGCACGAGGAACCATCAAGGAAGCGTAATCCCCACATCCAATGATCGACACTGCAACATCCAGTCTTGGTTCTATCAGCAGGAACATTACACGTAGATTAGTGATTAGATTCGAAACACAACAGCATGCAGATCTACCAATCAATCCACAAATGCTTGCAGTTGTTTAGATTACCATGGACTGCAGCGAGAAGGGTCGAGTGTCCACCCAGACTGACTCCGGCTACACCCCATCGATGAACGCTCATTGTTGCAGATAAATGCATTGGAAGAACATCCATCAAAAAAGATACATCTTTTGCAGTACCGTACTGGATTGACCACATATCTGTCGCATGAGTTGGGTTTCCTGTTGACCAGGACTCGTTGGCAACTGCAGATACCAGTCGAGATCCGTGGTTGCGCTGCTCAAACAGAACCACCACGAGTCCCAGCGATCGAGCATTATCCTGCTTTGTCATGGCATTCACTAGTGTTTTGGCATGCTCAACATATCTCTTGATTGGTTCTGATTATACAAAGTTGGTGTTTATTCAGTATAAATCAACTGTAAAACCTGGCTTCTATGACAATATACATGAATACCTTTACGGCCATGAAGAAGAAACAAAACTGCAACATCCGACTGCTGCAGATGTTGATCAACACAACTGCGCACAATCGTAATAGGAATTCCTCCAACTGCTTGCTCCTCAATCAAACAGTCCATATCTTGTAATAAATGATTACATCAACTGTTTGATAATAAACCAATTTATCCTGACAAATCGGATAAATCGGATAAATCCAAGACTCGAGATTCTTGTCAACGCAATCAATTAAATCCCATCTCAGCCAACTCCAACTCTCGCATATTCCGTGCAATATCCAGTTTACAATAAGGAATGCCAAGAGTCTTCTGCATCACTGCAATGATCCCATGCAACTGGAAAATCTCTCTGCATTGGTCTCCATATAATGTGCGAAACAATCCTTCGGCATGTCGAGCAATCTTGATCCCTTTTTCCGCATCAACTGCCATCATAAAATACGCCATTTTGTTGTGCTCATTGGCGGCTTCAATACTGGTGAGTCCAAATATACCTTCAACAATGCGGATCGAGCTTTCTAATAGTTTTTCACACCATGAAAGTAATATGCGGTTGTCCCCCTGTTTGGCAAGCTGCACATTGAGCGAGGCAAGATTGTCGTACATACAACCAAGTCTGCTCGATGAGGGATGCATGATTGATTCTAGGTCAGTTTGAATGCCCTGCAGTGTTTGGATGAGGCTGGCTACGTTATCATGTTTTCTATGGTCTTGGCATTCATGCCATACTGCATCGATCTTGGCCATAACCTAAATACCAAATCCCACAATCAATCCGTCTCAGTATCATGCTCTTTGTCATTAGCTGTAACGCGTTGGACGAGGTTGGAAACTACAAGCTAATGTCAATTCCAACATATTGCTACCTTTTGCTGGCGAGAAATGTCCACAATAGAATGGCATTTGGGACATCGAGGTTCCCCCTCATAAAGCGGGTAAGGACATCCAGGACACTTTAAACCAGCCAACTGTCGATCCTTGGTATCATCTTCAGATATGCATGCTGAACATCGACACTCGAATCCCCAGCCTGCTTTTAAATTTTGTTGTCTAGTCGCCCTCAAGCTACGTCCAGCAGATTCGCCCTAGTATTTGTCCACATTAGTTTGTATAGTCGTCAGAAAAACGAGTCTGCCCTTACAAAATCAATTTGAAAGTGTTTGTGGAATCAACCCAACGTTACATAGGATATAGTGATGGCATTTCCTTTACGGATATTCTTGGATGCTCTAATATAAAGATGCGATGCCTGGAAATAAACTAAAGCAGTCGGCTCACAGCTACTGATATAGTTAGCTCTGAATAGTCAAAAGCTAATATACAACACTACTCTTACCTGTGGTTGATGAGTGATGCAGTTGGGTATATGCCCGATCCAGTACGGATTTCACGCTGACTGGTGATCTCTTCATCCATATCTGAATGATCAAAACAGGTAGTGGATATGCCAATACAATTGCAACTACCAATACAAGTTAGAACTAAAAAATCCATCGACTTTGAATCATTCACTACTTGGTCTTTTTACAGCCATATTCACGTAAAATAAATCACTAAACAACGCCATTGCAAGTGTTCCATTTCACATGAATACGACCGTAAATCACATACCTGATTTGCATCATTAAACGCATCAGCATAGAACGATCAAGTCGGTCTTTAGTATCGGTGATAGCTTGCTCCAACAGCAATACTTTTAGCGAGGCCATTAGCACATCCACCTTGTCAATTTTTGTGATATTCGATGCCAGATACTTCAACGCTTCAATGTCATCCATATACACACCAGACTGAGTAAATCCAGGCGCTTTGGTTTTTGTCGTGATGCGTTGTTGAATCGTGGGCCAAAAATTCATGGTGCAGAGGTTCGGAGTTGATCTGGACTCGCAGACAATGCGGGAAAGTCGAAGTGCAAGCAAAGTGTGGTCGTCCATTTGTTGGATGCTGCGATTACCACATTCTTTAGCATGAAGTGACTGCATCTTGGAACGACACATCTCAGAACAATATGGCTCATCAAATGCACAATCGGGACAACTATCAACCCTCGAATCAAATACATTCATCATCAGATTTTGAGATTCAGCATACTGGTTTTTGATCAACCATCATTCCAATGGCATATCAAACATACTATATTCCATGAACACTTGCACGACGAAAACAAAATGCACAGTATTCTCCACGACAAGTACGAGACACAACCCAGGCAATGGGTGCTTCAACCAGCAGAACCTCACCTGCTTTGATATCCTGCGATGCAATCACACTACGATCACCATTCAAATAGGCAACTTCAATTTTTGGATGAACAAAGGGTTT